CCTGAAGCTACCCGCTTCTTCCCCAACCTTCCGCTTTAGCCCTCCGCACGTCCGCACGCGCCCAGCCGCGTCGCACTGGTGCGACGCGACTCGCACGCGCCTCGTGGGACACGATGCCGTAAGCTGCCGTCTCCCGGCCCTGCGAGCTACGAAAAGGCGGCGAAAATGGCGGCCTCGGTGAAAAAAGTATGGCTCGGAATGTCTTTGCCCTTGAAAGGTGAAAAGGGGCACCCCATGAGAAATTAAGACCCCGAGAAGTTCGCTAGAGTTTGCCAGACCGAGTCGATTCGGTGCGAGGAAAACAAAAGGGGGAGGACCAAACGGAAAACGGAGGCTGCGAAACAGAGCAGTGGGTGTTGAACCTTCGGTTTCTCCTGCGGAACAACTGAAAATCGGGCTGCCCGTTTTGCTGAGACGAGTCCACTTTGGCTCCGACCTTTGGAGACAGAAGCTTATTATCCAAGATGCAAACCGGCCGAAGAAATCTGGTACTGATGATACGCGAATGCACTCCATTTGCTTCATTCGTGGAGCCCCCCAAATGAAGCTTCCTCCACACATCCAGGTTTTTGGGATGGCTCCACGTTCTGCAGAGTCGATGCCCCAATTTCTTCAAGTGCCCAGGGGGTCCCCAACAAAAAATGAGCAGTCCCGCAGAGCGTTTGTCTTTGCCTCAACTTTTACGAGCTTCGCCGTCGCGGTTCCTTCTTGGACACCCCTTCCAAGACCGTGCCTTTGTGGCTCCCCCTTCAGAACCCGCACCACTCTGAGAAAAACAAATGCCTGTTGTCCGAAGCGGCGATCACGTGGTGGTGGTTTTTTCAAGGCGACGGTCATTTTTTGTGCCATAGGACATCCTGCCCATCGTTCGCGTCTGCCTTGTAGGCGGGAGGATACTTGGCATCGCCCCGCATGTTGATCTCGACCTGCCGCAAACGCCAAAAGAACAAAATGCAACTCGCAGCCGGGCGATCGCCGCGCTCACCGGACACTTCGCGAAACCACCCCCCGTTTCCTTCAGGGGCCGAACCTGGATCTCTCTCCCTCTCGGCTGGGGCTCCCGCTTGAGATCCCGAGACCGCTTTCTTGGGGCTTGGTCGTTTTTTTTGAAAGCTGACCTGGTGTCCCGAAGGGCGTCCATGTCAAACAATCGCCAAAAGGGTGCAAAGCCAAAAAGAAAGCCACCGACAAAAAAATATGTCCAAAAACTTTACAACCACCTTTAAAAAAAAGAAGAAGCCACCTTACAAACTAAGCCGCGCAAAAAACGCCGGCAAATGCCCAAAACCAGGTTCTTTACCAAAAGTAACCCACGGCGTCCCCCGTTTCTCCACCGAATAAGCGCCGCGAAAGCGCCTCCCGGGCGGCGTCGATGCTCCGCATGCGCTGCTCGTGCAAGGGGTCCGCGAAGGTCCCGGCGACCTGATGATCGTTGGATTTCTCGTTTTTTTTTAGTTGGCCATTTCTTTTTTTGTTGGCCAAGAAAGGAACCCAAAAAGGGACCCCAAAAAGCTGGTCATTCAAGGTCTTTTTTTGGGTTGCCTATTCTTGAACCAGAAACTGCTTTCTTTTCTGTCATTCAACCGCTGTGTGAGCCGCTTGAATGCGTCCGAAGTTGGCATGAAAGGCAACCCAAAGAGTTCCCTACTAGGTGATTCTCATGTCCACGCGCTAGACATCGCCGCCGCCTTTGGTTCCGGCACTTCTCTTGGAAAGGCGTGCCTTCAAAGTGAACCCGGCGAGTCCCAGCGATCTCCATAGGTAACCAACCATTTTCCTCTTAAGGGTGGTCAGTGAAGGGAAACCAGGTCCCAGTTGCCCCTGTTCATAGTAGAAGAACCAGCCATGTGACGTTTTTTGGATTTTCAACGTTGGTTCCCTTGGTTGCCTGCTGTACAGGGCATGGAATCACCGGGGAAAGCAACAGGAAAACCGAAATCGGTTTTGGGGGACCTGGACCTTTTGGACAGAAGGACTAAGGCCTCGCAAAGATTGTTGCGCAAAAGGGATCCGTTGGTGTGTTGGTGTAGGGGGGTCTTCCAGTTGCTTGCCTTCCAGCAAATCGATTTCCCTGTGTGAAACCAAGGGACTTCTTTGCAAACTTCAAAGGAAGATGGCTTCCGAAGTGGCCTCTCTGGGAAAGCAGACACACACACACAGCATCGTTTTACCCATTTGGGTGTGTCTTTACCCCTTTTTAGGTTGGTGTTAAAGGGAGACCAAAGGGAAACCACCCACGACACACACCCAGTTGTAGGCACCCAAGGCCAATTTGAGCTCCTGGTCGAAAGTTTATTTAAGCCAGCAGCGCTTCCGGCTCTGGCCACAGTCCCTGAAACTGATCAAGGTTTGCTGGCTGAAAGGGAAAGAGCAAACCCAACAAGGTTCTTTACCAGGTGATTCCCATGTCCACTTGGTAGACCATTCCAGTGCCCTTTTGGGTTGGAAAATCGCGGCCGCCTTGGTTCCAGTACCCGGGAATCAATACATGCGAAAGGTGGTTGCTCTGGCGGCTGGTGCTTCAAGGGAAACCTCCCAAAAACCAGAATGGTGGTGTTCCTTTAAACAACCAACAACAGGGGTTCCAACTCCAAAACAAGACGAGCCATGTGCGAACAGTTGAAAAGGTAAGCTTTCTGTTGGCGCGCTTTTTGGGCGATCTGCTTTGTAAAAGGGCTGAGTCTCCATTTCCCCAGGAGATCCACGCCTGAAGGATGGCGTGCAATACAACCAACGTATTTGGATGTGCGCTCCTTCGAGGGTTCACTTTTTAGACGGGTTTAAAGGATGAGACAAAGCAAAACCACGACTTCGTTCCCCTATTTGACGCATACCCAATTGCCAGTGGCCAGTCCAATTTGAACGGAGCATACACTTGCAAGCATTTTGGAGGTTCGAGGTCCCAGTTTGGACTGTGCAACGAAAAACAGAGCTCTCAAGCAAACCCGAGGTCTAGAAAATGGCTTGAAGGGGCGTCCATTCAAATTCAAAGCTCAAGACGACTTTCCGTAGGATAAGGGAAAAAGATTTGACTTTGAAGCTCAGGCATTTCTGTTTGGCAAGGGGGAAAGAAGAGCAGCTCCATCTTTATTCTTAGCACAAAACCCATCTAACCAGTGGCTTACCCGAATCTATGTCCCACCAAACTCACCGATCAAAGGAACACCCCATGGCCCTACCTTTCTGGAGCCAGGTGGAACCCACTCAAATGGCCCGCTTCGGCCCCCGGCCGGGTCAAAGGCATTGACCTTCATGTGCTTCTCAGTGGCCTCTCAATGCGACACACGAGGCTCCCTAAAGGTTTCCCCGAGAGAAGGTGTCACTGGTTTTGCTACGTGTCCCTATGTGTCTCGGTGTTTCCCTATGTTTTCAGGTTACAACTTCCCCTTACGCATGGGTGTGGCTCATCTATTTTGGAGGCGAAAGGTACCCCAACTTGTTGGGGTGGTTTTTGGAGAGAGAGAGAGAGAGAAGACAAAAAAAGAAGAAAAAAGAAGAAGAAGAAGAAAACAAGAAACATAGAAAAAACAAAAAAAGAAAAAGCAAAAAGCAAAAAGCAAAAAGCAAAAAACCGAAATGTGGCCATGTCGGGGGTTCCGACTCATCTGAACTCATTCCCGGCAACTCCGCTGAGGCTCATGGGCTCGGGGGCCAAACCTGGGCCCTCCAAGCCCCCATTTTGGACCTTTTAGGGGAAATGGATGGGTTTCCCTGGTAGATGATTAAACCACATAAACCAGGGCCATGTATTTTTCCACCAAAACAACCAAGAAGGACACCTGACCTTAAGCATCTAAAACACAGAAAAAAACTATCTGGGTTGGCGTCCCAGTGACACTTCGCGCGACCGCCAATCAGAAAACACCTCCAACGCCCAAACTTGGCATGTTTTCACTCAGGACCCCGCCGCAAGTGAGCAGAAATGGGCTCTCAAAATTTCCAGCTTCCCTTTGCACCTTCCCACAGGCGGCATTTGTTTCCTCCCCCACTCCAAACCCACCACACACCCCTTCAAACCAATCACGTGCAATACCTTCAACACCCCGAACCTCCCAGCCCAAGCTGAAGCTCTCTTTCTTGCGCGGCATTAACCAGAGAGACCCCGGCACATCTTGTGCCGACGGACGCCTGACTCGACCTACTGAGACACGCCTGCGATAGGCGCCGCGCCGTTTCGCGTGCGCAGCGCGGCGTCAGATGCCCGGAAGGCAAGCCGTGAGCCATGGTGTGGGCGTGCTTTCCAAGCCCTCGTGAAATGCTTGCAACATTCTTCGAACAATCTCCTTCTGGTTTCCCTTTGAAGAAAAAGGACCAGGGGATAGTTGCAGCAAGCGTTGCGGCCAACCAAGTTTTAACTCGAGTTTCTTGGAGACTCTTCTTTTGGCATCCCATGGTGTGCCTCCTTGCAAGTTTTCATGTGGGGCCCTTCCTGGGGGAGAACCCAGGATGGTTGCTCAACCCCCTGTGGGTAGGATTTCCAGATTTCCCAATCCAAGGGTACAGCACAAATATATCCCATGTATTCAGGGAGACATCCATGTCTCAGGGGTAAAATGGCATTGACGTGGGGACAGCGACACAAATGCTGGATGGATACTTGGCTATAGGTTTCACATGATTTCTCCGCGGTGGGCTACTTATAGGGGTATAAAACTGTGTCCACTCCCGCCAAAGCAGGAAGTTCGCCTTGACCATCCGATCTCTGGCGGAAAGAGCCTTTGCGCCTGTCTGAGAAGGAAACAACAAATTCTGCCAAGGGGACCCCAAAAATGGATTTCGGAGTTCAGCTTTCCCTTTGGTTTCCCTTCAAGCAACCTCTCAAAAGGCTCCATTTGAGGGCTTCCTGTATTCCAACACAGACCCACTTGGCTACCAGGAGAAAGGAATGCAGTTTTAAAACCAAAAACGAGATTGAAGTCAACGACCTCCACCTCCACACCACAGGGAAGCCAAAGGCCCCCGACCAATTCGGTGGCGTAAAGGCTTTGCCCCAAGCTTCCTCACCGTGTGGCTGGAGGCCTCCGAACGCGAAAAAATTGCGACGCTCCTGCCGGCACTTGGGAACCCGATGCCGGATGCTCCACTCCAAGGATGGCCCTCTCAAGAAAGGGAAAGGGAGCGCATGGAGCACTCTGCATGTCAAAATAGAAGTTGGACCACAGAATGCTGGGGGTGCCCTTTTGCTTCCCCTTACATGCCCAAGAAAGGGGTTGCCCTGCATTCTGCCCGGCCCATTCGAATGGGGTGGAGACTCCAGGTGCATGTCCGACCTCCGGTTTTGCTTCGATCGGCCTTAACCCAAAACCCCCGACCTCTGGCCAACCAGTCAGCCCCACCCCAACACAAGACTCGAAACGAAAATTCTTGCAACTCCCACCCCTAAGCCATTGTAACGCGACAATGCAAACACCCATGCCACCGGAGCCATGGGGAAAACACACCCAAAATCTGACAATATCGTTGATCGGCATGTGTGCATGTGTGTATGTATATATATAATATAATATATATATATATGTAATATGTATATTATATATATAATCACTTATATAGATATCCAATACCTGCACGTTGGGGAGGGATTGAGGGGAATAAGACCTTGATACTTGCCGTGTAAGTTCATGTGATCCTTCAGCCCTCAACAAACACACACCCATTTGAATATGGCACTTATGATTATCAAGGGGCTCCCACCAAAAAGGTATGTGTTGCTTTGAGGGTACACAAGGGTCAGGTTGGTTTTCCCGCGAGCCCAAATGAAAACCATGGTCCTTCACTATGGCGCTGGTGGGTACCGAATTCTCTCGGCTCCCAAAACCAACCAAAAAGGGCCTGTGTCTTTTGAGGGTGTTCAAGTCAAGAGACCTTTGGACCATATGGGTGTGTGTGTGTGTGTGCTTGTTTTTGTGGGGGACCAAGCCCAGTGGTCCACCTCTGTGGCAATTCACAGAGCAATGCGAAGGCCTACCAGGATGACCAGTCCTGCAAAAACCCCAACAAGTACAGATCTGAACCGGTCTTGTTTTCCAGCAGTAAGCACCTATCTGTCGCAAAGCGACAAAATCACGCAAAAACTTCGGCCCCCGGGTCCCCGGCGAGGGCTGCAGGTGTATCGCCTGCGAAGGCTGCGCCTGGCGCACAAAGTCCTCGCGGCGCGCAGTGCATTTTCCGGCCGGCGGCGCTTCGAGGGATTCGAGGGCTTCGAATCGACCTCTGGCTGGTGTCGTTGGATTTGTTTATAGACCTCTGATTGTTTAATGAAGGAAAGGTGGAACCCAACTAAAGCCAACTAGAGTACTGGAACGAAAGGATTCATGGCCTTGATTTGTCGGATGTGTTGGATTTCACGAAGCCCTTGTGGTTGTCCTAAAAGGTGGAACCAAAATTCAGAACAGCACAACTCAGGGAATCAGAAACCTTTGTTCTAATTTCTCCGTGCATCTTGACCCTAACAGCTGCGATCCCAAAAGGAAATCTTCCCCCCAATGGGATTTGCCTGGGTGATTACAGTGCGGGTGTTCGAGTACCTTCCTTTGAGGGCAAAGTGGAAGAACCCAGATAGGAGCCGAGTTGATTTGGCGCCCCTGGTTGCTTGTATGCTCCCTGCAACAGAATATGTTTTGCGGGGTCAGAATGATTTCTCTCTCCTCAAAAGGGACCCAGGAAATCCATGTTGCCAAGGGATGTTAGGACTAGCTTTTTGCCAGCTGGGATTTCTAAACTTTTAGGGGAGCAGAAAGCAACCTACTATGAGAAACACAAAAAGCACGTCTTGCTTTCGTAATGCTTGGCACCCTTTTTTGGGGGGGGCTGTTGTAGTTTCGGGCTTCGGGAGCCAGGCATGTTGGTGGTTCTCCCCATTCGATAGTTGAGCATCTCCCTTTTCGAGGACCCTCTTGTGGAGTTCCGCGTCTATTGGAGCAGAGTTTTTTTTGTTTTTTTTGCGGTGGTATACAAAGGGGCAAAAGGCGCCTGGTTCCCGGGCCACGAAGCGTCAACCTCTTCGATCCCCAACCCCAAACCCCCAAACCCCCCGTCGCGCATCAAGTCCCGGTCAAATCATCTACAAGCTGGTCAATTTCCCTCCAGAAACCACTCAAATCTCGCTAAAAACCAGTCGAGCCAGTCGTTACAACTGGTCAGTTCCCCTCTAAAAGCCGTAGAAACCTGTCAAACCCCTCTAAAAAGCAGGAAAACAAGCCAAATTCCATTTTAAACCGGTCAAATCCCTCCCAAAAACCAATCAAATGCACCTAAAACCGTAGAAACGCAAAACTCCCCCTAGAAACCAATAGCTCACGCATTCCGGCGCCGACTCACTCACTCTACCTCCAAGCCAGCCAAAAGCGGACTGGCCGAGGCGGGCAACGAGAAGCGGTTACAATAGGTGATCACCTTTCAGGGGGCAACCTATGGGAACCACCAGGAAAACCGATTTAAGTCAGTCAAGATCGATTCGCTTTGGGCGTTTGAGTTTCTAGGAATCACGCTTCCGGGTTTTGGCGACACCCACAAGAAGCCCCCTCAAAGGAAACCACCAGTTGGATGGTTCTTCTTGGGGAGCCATTCCAACTCATTGCCAGACGTGTCTTTGCACATCCCACGGACCTTTGCTAGGTCCTCCAGCAGAGAGGTTGAAATAAGGGTACCCGGGTACCCTTTTTTTTCTGTAGTCTGCTTGCGTAGGGGAACCCCCCAACCAACAAAGGGGTGAGAAAGGGCACCCAGCTGGGGGACCTAGTTTGGCTTTTTCCCAACCAAAAAAACAAACGACAACCTCCGAATCCGTCCTCGAGGGGCATCCAGGCGCTGTTGACCCATGCCTCCAGGCTCCTTACTTGGGAAACCGCCAGTAGCCGGCCACGTGTTTGGTAGGCTCTGGAGGTGCCTTTGGTCTGATGCTACCGCGGAAACAGGTGGAATGGAATTGTGTGGCCGCACTCCAAAGATTCGAGGTCCTGCGCTGGATGGCACACTTACAAGGGCAAATACCAGAGAAAGAGACACACACGTTTGGGAACCCGTACCCGTACCCCCTAGTTTACACAAAACGGTGGAGGGCAACAAGGGTGGTGTGCAATGCCAACCACCACTCAAGCAACCTACATTTTTTTGCCCACATCGCTTGTGTTCCCTCCCTTCTTGGGGCGGCATGGCTCGAACCGCACCACAAAAATCCGCCCTGGGCTTCGCCCGGCTTCGCTGCGCTGGGAGCGGTCGAGCGAGCCGTCGAGCGAGCCACTCCTGCCGCGCAGCCGCAGCAGCACGCGCTGAGACCCGAAGAGGTAGCTGCCCGCCCCCAGCCGGCAGAAGAGCGCCTGGCTGGCGCTTGAAGTGAACCCCCTGGCGCTTGAAATGAACCCCCCCCCAAAAAAAGAAAAGAAAAAGGAGAAGCGGCTGTGGTGGTCAAAACCCAGGAAACCCCTGGTGAAATGTTCAAAATAGGTGGTGTTCATCCGCCCCCCAAAATGGAGGCACAGGTTATGACCCATGGCCAAGTGGGTATCTAGAAGAACTGTCGGAGCCTTGTTTCGGAGCCAATTTTATATAGCTTCAAAATAACGATATGAGGTCATGAGAGATTGGTCTTGTCTAACCCCATGTTTGCGGGGTCGCGGAGCCTTGGGTATGTCCCCTTTCTTCCGATGAATGTTGCTGACATTTTGAAGGTTTAGGGCGCAAGGATAGAATCCGCGGCAGTCTTGTCATGACTTGGAACCGAACTGGACCCGACCAGACCACCAGGTATGTTTTGAAGGCACCGTTGATGCTCGAATTTCACAGATGGCGCTTAGATGAACCTGTCACACGGAAAACAATCTCAGAGAGCCTCCCAAAGTTGAGCCTTTCCAATAGATCTGTGCTGGTCATCCGGGCGCTCCGCGGCTTCGATTTGCTCGACTGTCAACCGTAGCGCCCTTCTCTGTTGGAAGGAAATCGACCGAGGCTCCGCCTTCTTTTTTCCGATCGATGCCAACGCGGCTGCTCAGCCAAGAAAAGTGAGCAACGCCTGGTATGGACCGAACTTTGGGTCCCAATCTTTGACCAGGCGCAGCGAACCGTATCTGAGTGAATTACAATATCATTTCACCAACCTGAAATGAGGTGGTTGGGGGGGTGTTCTTCCCCACATAAAGCGACCGCCCTTTTTTTTTGAATTCGGTCCTGTGAAGTCGTTTCAACTCACCGGTCATCGCCTCATAACTCCGCCCTCCCCTTGCAGAGTCCTGTGATTTGAGTGCCTTGGATCTGCAGGTCCAGCAGGTGCCAAGTCTCCTCATCCCTGGGCATCCTGGCAGTGTGACTTATGGAAGAAACCATCACCTGGCCATGGGTCAAAAGCCATATCGAACCCCCAGTCAACATCCCAGTCCCCACTAAAATAGGTTCTAAAATGGGTGGTGCACCGAAAACCCCCAAAATGGTACCATTGGTTTTGACCCACGGCCACCTGCTCCTAAACCACTGTCGAAAGTTGCGCTGCAGGTGAACCGAGACCTTTTCCACCAAACTGGTTCACCAGTCTCCCAAAACCTCCCAACTCTTTCAACCACCTTTGCTTCCTTTGTTTTTTCGGCGCCAGACATGCCCATCGTTTGCTTTTGTGTGTGTGTGTGTGTTTCTCTTTTCGGATACCCACCCGCGCCAAGGGGGAAAAAAAACAACAACGTCCCCTCCTGGGGATGCAGCCGCCCAGCCGGGCGTTGCCCTCGAAGTTGGTGTACTGCAAATTCGGGGCCCCGAAGATGGCCGGCGGCACCTCCGCTCGCTGCTGGTGGCGCGCTCGCTGGCGCTGGCGCTTTTCTTTCTTTTCCCCGGAGGCGGCGCGGGCAGAAAAACCCACGACATCAGGTGCACGTGTTTTTTTTGGGCGGGCGGGTAGTTTTTCGTTTTGGAGGGGAACCCCAGGGGGGGAACAAAAAAAGAAGGGAACCGGTTGAAACAAGAGTGGGGATGGTCGACCTTAGATGCGGAAAGCATGGATCTGATTCAGGTGTCGCTCAGCCCCCGAGCCCGCCGGCCGACGCCTCCCCCGAGAAGTTGTTACGATGCACGCGCAGGGCGGTGAGATTCTGAAGCTCGGCCAAGGCTTTGGGCAACGGGCCCGAGATCTGATTCAGCTGCAAATCCTCATCGACTCGACGGCCAAAAAGCCAACACTTTGTGGGGAAAAGGTGCAAACGTCGTAAATACACGATTGGAGTTAGGTCTACCTATAGAATGTATATGTTATTGCGTGCTTCACTCGGAGTCACTGGTAAAATGTAAAATGTATCCTAAGTCTACTCCAGAATACAGGACACCCAGATTCAGCTGCAAATTCTCACCAGGAGCAGTTCTAACTTCAGCTGCAAATAAAGGACACCCAAAAAGGGCCTCCCGTATGGGGGGCAAAACGTGTGCGCCGAGCCTGGCAATGAATCGGAACCCTGCGGCCATGGATATGTCTGTCAGATGTTTTGGGGTCTTTTTGGTCTGAGTCACACTCCAAACCAAGTATTAGAATGGTCATAGGTGGCCTTTTGGAGAAATAAATGGCCCTGGTAAATGGAACAAAACCCATCTAAACCAGTGCTATCTGGATGTAACCAAACTAACCTAAAAGGACGCCTGTGAGAATGGTCGTAATCCCGGAACCATGCTAGAATCAAAGGGCGGTGTTCACCCAGGTAGGATAAAAAATGGGATCGCTTCCCAATCTTGGCTCGCCGGCTCACCTTTTTGCCCGTGTTGACCCCATATTAATCAACCCACCAGTTTATTCATATGGGGGGTGGTTTTGGGGCCCTCCAACAAGTGGTCTGATTCCAACCACCTTTCACCCAGAAGAAGAAAAGGAAAGAAAGAGAAAAACAAAATCGGATTTATTCATAAACTGCTTGGCTTCACTTCAGCCGGGGTCCAAACCCTTCGGCCCACCGGCTCAAAAACTTCGTCATTTGGTGGGTCAAAACCCAAATCGTTTAGCCCCCAGTGAACATCCGATTCAATCCAACCACTAAAATAAGTTCAAAAATGGGTGGCGCACCTAAAATAGGTTCTAAAATGGGTGGTGAATTCACCAACCAAAATGGCATCAACCAAAAATGGCATCAACCACAAAATTCACCTACCTACAAACCCCAAAGATGGCATCAACCAAAACGGTTTTGACCGCCACGGGCATCTCGGGGATTCGGATCTCGGCCACGGCGCCAGGCTCCGCATGGCCGGCCACGCGCGCGCCAAGTCCTCGGGGAAGGCGCCGTGGAAGAAGTTGGCGTCCACCCAGAAGCGCTCCAGGCGGCGCCAGGACCACCAGGGCGCCTGCCGAGGAAAAAAAAAAAGGTGTTTAAAAGAGATAAATACTCGTATAAATTGGTATACCCAAATAGTCATGGGAGAAAAAGACGAAAAAGAAAAGCCAAAAGAAGAAGAGGAAGAAGAAGAAGAAAAACCGGGGCGGCGGGGGGAAAAACAAAGCTGCTGGGTTGGGAGAGACATGTTTTTTCCCCCTGTTTTTGATCCACCAAGCAGCTTATTCATAGGTCAATAGGGGTGTGCCTGGGTTTGGTGGGGTTGACCTTGGATGAAGAAACCAAGCAGCTGTAATTAGTTGCGGGGTGTCCGATTCTGGGTTTGGTGGGCCGGATGAAGTTAAACCAACCAGTTTATCCTTTGGAGGGGGGCGCTTGTCCCTCGAATCAGATTCGGTTCCCAACACCCGGACTCGGTCACTCCCTACTGAGTTTCAGCTGCGATAAAAGCGCTGCCCTCTGTCCCACTTTGCCATGGCCCCTAGGGAATTGGTCCCGTCAAGAGGAAACTGAGCTTCCAGGTGCCCGTGGCAAGTGGGCTGGGAAAACCGAGCAGGTCCCCAAAACACGGGACTTCTCAACTTCGACATCTCTTGTTGCGCAAACGGCTCACTAGACATGGCCCGTTTTCTTGTCACAGCACCTTCTCGTTGCTTTGTGCCGAAGCTCGGGGAGTTCGGTCCAAAAGCCCGCGACAAGCCGGGCAAGCCACGAGGCGGACGTCCGGACGTCCGGACGTCCGGGCAAGCGGTCCTGGGGATGGTCCAGGCGCACCAGCCAGGACTCCCAGGGGCACTGCCACGCCCAGGCGTCCTCCGCCTCCGAGTCCATGGGCTGCGCGGCGTCCCAGGAGGGCCGCGCCCGGCACCTCGCGAGCCGCGCCGCGGCCGCGGCGCGCGGCGCGGGGGGGGGGGGGTTCTTGGCGGTGTGAAAAGGAAAGCCCAAGAAACCACCACCCCACAAACTATCTTGAAACATCTGTTCAAACCACCAAGAAGCATAATTTTCAAAGAAAAAAACAGAAAACCAAAAACCGCTCAAAAAGAGGGCACCCCACCCTCGTAGTATCAGTATTCAGCCTGTTGGGTGGCTTTGGGTCGGCGGGGTATCAAGGGGGGTCCCATTTCAGCGCAGAGTCCTTGGGGTCACCAGGGGCCGGCAGAGGCTTTCGTTTGGATGGGTCAAAACAAGGGTGCGCCAGAGATATGGGCGTGGGTCAAAAATAGGTACCCCAAATGGATCTCTGGTAAATGGAAACTTCCTGGTGGTTTAATTTTGACCCATCCCCATATGGCTTGAGTACGACATGAGTGTGTCTCAAAGTCGCGGAACCTCCAAAATGGGTGGATTTCCTTGGGGTTCACTTTGCAGCAGTCCAAGAAGGGGGAGTTTAGAAGAGCAAACAAGTCTGGTCTGAAAAACAATTACTACCTGGGCAGAAAAACATAGGGCCCACAGACGCCTGTTCAAATACATGGCACACTTGAGTTCACAGAACCTAGGAGAGGGAATTGAAAATGGATTTCGGGCAGGAGGGTCGTCTAATCATGTCCACCAATATTACTTTGGCACGCACCCAGTTTTTCACAACCATTTGAAGGTTCAGATTAAATGCAACACCCAGTTTTTCACAACCATTTGAAGGTTCAGATTAAATGCAACACCCAGTTTTTCACAACCATTTGAAGGTTCAGATTAAATGCAACACCCAGTTTTTCACAACCATCTGAGTTTTTCACATACACCAATATTAAATCTTCGAAGCTTTCAGATGCAACTCATTTGCCACTTCCAGGGTCCTCCATGTTTTCCGTGGAAAAACGCTCCGTGCCGAGGTTTGCCCAGCCCTTCAAAAGCAATCCCGCGCCACACAAAATCGAGGATCTTGAGGGCGCAGATTTGAGTGTCCCCGAAAAACGGGAACCGTGAAAATTTTGGTGGTTTTTTGTCCCTGTGGTGTGTCCCTTTAACCCCAAGAATCACCCTCCAGAGCAGCAAGTTGCCCTGTCTGTTTCCACCAGTCTGTTTCGGGCAACGTCCAGACCGAAAAATGATAGCCTCAAGAAACGGCACACCATGTGAACTGGGAAAGCCCCCGCCCGCCTCGTGAGAAAGGCCTGTGAAGTTTTGTTCCAAGGAGGTTCGCGACCACAGCTGCGATCCAAGCCCTGAGAGCGTTGGGTGACTCAACCCCGCGCTTTAAACCATTTGGCTGCGTCTTAAAATAGGGCAAACCCTCAACTTGCATTTGGCTAAAACCCCTGGGAAAAAAGAATGATTCCAGTAGTGATAGATTTCCTTCAAAACCAACAGGGGAACATTAAGAAAGATTTGTCTTAAGCAAACGGAAGTCAAAACGGTTGGTTTCTTCTTGGCCTCCCAAGGAGTGCCCTCAAAAAAGACAGACTCATGTATGTCTTTTTTCACCATGGTATGGTGTAAACACCTGGTGCCTAAAAAGCTTGGTCTTTTCAACATATTATTTATTGCACTACCCCCAAAACACTACCCCCAGGGCAAAAGGTGACACATACCCTTTCCGCAGAGGGAAAACCGACTATGTACCAAATTTATGCGATGGTTTAGCCCCTATTCCGACCTTTCTGTTTAAGTTTATTCACCTGTTCGGACCTTGACAGCCGGGTCACCGCGACTTTTTGGCAGTGCCCCTTTGTGTGGTTGGTTTTAAAGGGAACCCAAAGGGACACCATCTTGGGGTCCCCTATTTGAAGACCCCACGCCTGAGAGTAGGCGATGAAACTCACCAGCGTGTTTCCCAGCGATGCCAAGGCGGGGGGCAAAGCCGCGTCGTCGCGGAATTGCAGGCCCCGGACGTCCTGAGGTCGCGCGAGACTTGCTTTGGGGAGCCGGTGAAAAGGGAAGATCCAGAAGAGACAAAAAAACACGGCGACCGACCCACAGAAAAGGCAAACTCGCAAAGAGAAAAAAACACCTTGCCGGTTCTTGGAACATGAGTTGAAGTGGCTGACCACCCACTTCAGCAAAGCTATAAACTGACTCACGGGAACATGAGGTAAGCACATTAAAAAAAAAGAGCTATAAACTGACTCAACTTGCTGGTTAAACTTTGAACTCAACATGTAGTAGACACATAATCTAAAAAACCATTAAAACAAAAACAACAAGTAATTAAAACAAAAAGCCTGGCGAACCAAAAAGGCTAGGCCCTACGGCCTTTCCGACGCCACGCATCCAGCTCGAGCAGCGGAAGCTGGCCCAGGCACGAAGGCAGGTGGCTGATGTATCCGTCCAACTTCAGGCGTCGCAGCTTCTTCAAAGAGCAGACGGGCTCCTCAGAGCTGCCCCGAAAAGGGGCAAACAAAAAGTGGTCGCTTTAGTGGGGACCTATACCTAAAAGTGGGAACCCAGAATGGGAAACTGAAGGGTGAGAAAAGAGGTCGATTCGCTTTGCTTGCAAGTGAGGCTCCAAGAGTTTCGAGGGCACCACTACTGGATCATGTCCCATGTCATGTATGTCGATGTGCTCGTTCAGGCTCAAGACCAAGCCCAGCAACTCCTCCTGCCAGCCTTCAGGGCTCCCAACATATGTCCAACCTAAAAACCTCACCCCGGGACAAACACTCACCTTTCATAGTTGCCAAAAAGGCGATGAAAACTGCCAAATAAAAGAATCTCCCCATATTCTAATCAACAACCCCCACCCCCACCAATGGAGATCACTCGGGATCCGACCCCCTGGGCACAGGTGTCCTTCTTGGGAAACTAGATTGTAGTTAGTTGAACCACCAGGTAAACCCAAAAATATCAACCACCAAATAAACCACCAAGTTGTTGATTGAACCGCCCGACCTATTTTTCCCCACCAAATCCACCGAAAAGGCCACGGTTACGCCCTCGGGCCTCGGAGCAGAGTCGCGACGTCGGCCAGAGGCGTGGAGCTTGGAATCATCAGCTGCAGGACTCTGACCCCGGGGAACGCCCGGGGCCAAAACTCCGGGTGCTTCAGCGCCCCGACCTGAGGCGACGAAAAAAGCGGCCGTTCGACGCCAGCGGAAGGTGAGTTCATGACCCTTTTTGTGGATGGAAAGGCCATTTGGGTTGGTCTCAAAAACTAGTAAAACCCAAACTGGTGAGAGATGTTCCTCTTGGCTCGCCTTTACGGCCGACCCATTTGAGGGGGTTGTTTGCTGCGGCACCCCCAAAAAACTCGGAGCCACACTCAGCTTTCCGGAGAAAACAAAAAAGGAAAGAAACAAAACAAAAAGCACAAACACGGGCATCCGCTTTTTGTAGGGGTCACTGGATTCCCCTTCAAAGGTTAATCGATTCACTGGTGGTTTCCCTTGAAATTAGAACGCAAAAGGGACATGGCTCAAAAAACCCTCGTGGATAGTTCCAAAACCTACTGTGGATCCAAAAACAATCCAGATCGTCAACGTGCATAATAAATATATATATATATAGATAGATATATATATATATATATTACATAGGCCCACATATGATCCCAAAACTGGGCCAACATATATCTTGGCTGCATTTCTTCTCCCCCTCCCCTCGCTCCCCACCCTCCGCTCCCCTCCCTGCGGCGGCGTTCGGCCGAGGGCCCGGCGCCCTCCAGCGCCAGGCACCGCAGCCCGGGCGCCGCGCCCGGCGGCAGCTCCCGGGGCCAGCGGAAGCGGCTGGCCCGCAGCTCCAGCGCCCGCAGCTCCCCGCCATCGCCGGCCGCGGCGCCGGCGGCCTCGGGCGGAGGGGCGCGAAGCCGAGGGGCGGGAAGGCAAGGGCGGCGAGAAGGCGAGGGCGGCGAGAAGGCGAGGGCGGCTTTCGGTGGCTGTGGCTGTGGAGTTGGAAGGGGAGAATTAATGGGAAAGAGCTGAATTTTGGGGACGCAATGCGATCAACCCCTGATTAATAGACCACTTAGCATCTGGGGGGTCCTTTTAGTGGAGCAGCCTGTCTTCCAGAACGGGACCCCTGAAGCTGGGGGGGTCTATTGATCAGGGGGCCTGAAGACTGCTCGCTTTCCATATGTGTCATGGCCTCCACATCCCTTGCAACCATCCATCTCAAAGAGTCCTGTAAAATGAAGTGTCGTTTGGATGCCGTCATGCGAGTTCCGATTCCTTTTTTCACGCCAAAAGGGGTGCGAGTCCGTCCATTTCGAGAAATGTCCCGATTAACTTTTGAAGAAAGGATTTAGCACAAAAAAGGGACCCTCCTTCATAAGTGCTATAAATATTTAAAGAGGAAAACAAATAGGATTGATCGCATTGCCTACCAAACAAAAAATGCCGCGCTTCTCGCCCGCGCCTCTGCCGCTTCGCCGGTGCTTCTTCCGCAGGCCGCGAAGTGGCACGCGCAGGGCGCCGCCACGTCGCAGCGCCGCAGGGCGCGGGGCAGAGATTTCGGGCCGAGCATGGCCCACAGCGCCCCGAACAGCCCGGCCTGGCGAGTCCGGTCGCTTGGGATTCGGGGGATTGCCCGTGGCGGGCGGGAAAAAAATGGAACGACTCCCCGCAGCTTTGGCGTCGCTTTTTATAAAGAGGGCCCTGGATGAAACCTGTTTTTCTAAACAAGCACGGTGTAAAGAGGTCTGGTATCAAGCAAGCGAACCGAAAATCATGCCTTAAAGGCGAGTGGGGCCTTGTTTGTGCGCGAAGCCTGTCGGTGGGCCCGACTTCCCCCGCCCATTTCGCCGGCACGTTTCGAGCCTCGTGCTGCGGCAGCGGCAGGCCTTCGAAGTCCAGCTTGTCCAGCCAATACGTCCCGGCCACCGCGGGGTAGAGCTCCTTCCCCCCGTAGGTGCTCATGATCTCCTCCTTCTGGAGACCATACCTCTGCAAAGAAGACACGAAACGCGAGAGGAACCTGCGAAGAGTCAACACTCCCCCCCCTCCCACCAAAGATGTTGCCCGCGCCGGTAGAGATTGGAACTTGGAACTGCTTGCAGGCGTTGGGCTTCGTTCACAACCCCCTTGTCCTTGGGTCGGACAAGCCGCTGTTGCTTAATTGTTTGCAAAAATCACCTTTCAAACCCCCCCTCCCCCTTCTGTCGTTTCCCCCCGTTCGTTGCATTCCCCGGAAGAAAAAAAAAAAAAAACGCATTCCCCGCATTTTTGCCCTCCATGACACGGCACCGCACCACGGCGGCCAACTGCCGCAGCCGCTTTCGCCAAGTGAACTTCCCCCGACTCTTCCGCTCGCCCTCCTCGAAAGCGTCGTCCCGCTCGGGCGAGTAGTCCATGAAGTCCCTCCAGGAGCCCAACATCTCCTGCATCGAACAGGTCCATGGAAATTCGACCAACTTACCTCTGGGGGGAAAAATGCAAAAATGTGGATTCTTTCATTCTTTCCCAAAAATGCAACTTGAACAACCCAGAGATTCTACCAACTTCAAAATTCGAAAATCGGGTTTTAGAAAACCGGATGTCACAGACCCGGGTGTTCGGCATCCTTTTTGTCGGGATCCGGATCCACCAAAATCGGGCCAAACGGGTTTGTTTGGGCTCGCGACCAAAAAAATAAACGACAAATGGGCACCAACTCTTTAAAAAGAAAATATCATGGCTTTGAGCCAAACCCATGGATTCCACCAACAACTTACCTCCGGGGTATTCTCAAAGTCAGATCTCTTCAGATTCCGTTTGACATTTTTGAGTGGATGCCACCAAACCCGGTGAAATACCAAAAAAATCATTCTCCGCCTGGTGAATTCAACCAAGAGCTTCTACAAAAAGAATCAGAGACTCGGATTCTGCTTGGCATTGCGCGCCAACATGTGCAGCTTCCACAACCCCCCGAACATGGGCCGACACATAGATAACTCGCTTGGGTGTCAACATCTCGTGGAGTTCAAGCCTAAAACATGAGGACAAAATGGGGTATTGTTAAACCCATATCATTTTTCGATAAACCCAATACAAACCCATACAACTTGGACCCCGAAAGACTTGAGGTCTAGCCCATTCAAGCATGAGACAAGAAGCCAGACGTCTCCAGTTCTGGTTCATATTTCGCCAAGATCTGGCGTCAAAACTCCAAAGACATGGGGCAATACATCAATGGGTCACTGTGCCAAGATTTGGTCTCAAACTTGACCCAACTCTGTGGGATGCCAATCAGACTTGAGATCTTCAGATCTTCAGACTGCTTGATACTTAACCAACATATTCGGGGTATAACCCCCGGTTTGAAGACGAGGCCAAAATGGGCAGTAAACCCTATAAACCCCCACCCATAAACCCTGAGTCAACAAATAGCCAACTCAACCCACTTGGCCCAACTCTGCACCTGTTTAGAGTCGATGTCACATGTCGCCAACATGTCCCGGTGAGTTTCGCAGACAAAAATGAGTCAAAAGCTATCTCATCCCAAGTTGGGAGATGTTTTCTTCGTCAATAGATATTTGTTTCATCCCAAGTCGGGTTCAAGACACGACGCTTAAAAAACCGCCCGCCAGTTTCCTGCATGAGCTCGGAATAGCCGCCTTGCGCGAAGTCATGAGGGAGCGACGGCCGGATGCCTTGGAGGCGCTCGGAAAACCCACGGATTGACTCGCGGGGTCGATTTGGCTGTGGGTCACAAATGCGTACCCAAAATGGGTTGCCCTGGTAAATGGGTTGCCAAAGACTAACACATGCGGTCCAATTCCTGGTGGTTTTATTTTGACTCATAGCCATTTGGTTTTTTAGGGGACCCCAAAAAAAATGATATCGGGGTCGTGCTTCATCCCACTATTGGCGAGGTTTCATCCATTCCGACTGGTGCAGGATTTTGTCCATCCACCCACAGAAGGGATGTGACTTTGGATACTGGGCCAGTACTGGCTTCAGCAGCCCCCCAAAGGAAACAGCAAGAAACCCATTTGTGTGAGTTGCAATTGAACACGCCCAAATATTGACCGCTGCTCACTTACATCCAGCTAGAGGCTTAAAGTAGCAAAGTAGATGGCACAATTTTTGTGTGTACGTAAGCTGAAAGGATGAGGGGCGTGCCATCTACTTCCACCCTATTCCCAGCAAAAGAGGACTCCCATGGCAAAACATAACAACCTCCTGTTCGAAATCCCCAAGCAAAAGATGAGACAATTCTAGGGGTTGATTCCAACCATTCTTTTCAACCATCCTTCTTTTCAAAGACCGGATCCGTTTCTCTCGGGTCTTTTGCATGGTTTCCTGAAAAGATTCGGACCCCTGGGTTCAGAACGGAAATGGAAGTGTCCCCTAGAGCCACCGAACTCAAGCGGCGGAACCCACCACGATGTCCAGCAAAGGCTGCCCTATTTAAAAACAAAAACCTCCGTTTGCTTAAGAAATGGAAGGTGCCCCTAGAACAATACCAAAAGCAGACTGGACTCCATCGAAATCCAAGCTGCTTGACTTCTTCCCCAACCTGGAGAACTCGTCATCCAGGCGCTGCTTCGCACGCCCACCCGCACGCAAGGCAACCTTCACCTCGCGCCGAGTTTGGGTTGCCCCGTTTGAACTTGAGTCGCCGAGAAGGTTGCCTGCAGAAACTTGGCAACGTGAGCAGGTGTCCCGTTGAACGTGAGCAGGTGTCCCGTTGTGTCCCCTTTGAACCACCGCAAAACGTGAGCACATGCTTCCCCTTTGAACCACCTGCCAGTTTGAACACAGCCCCCAGCAAATCATAGGATACCGCGGTCCCCCCCAAAGATTCCCCCAATGAATCGGCCGCAAGGCCCGATTCAAATAGCATGATGTCTGCGTGACTAAGGCCTAGTGTCAAAAAACCTTATTAAGCCGGTACTAGCGGCTTGCTAGAGCGCCAATAGCATGTTTGATTGAGAAAAAACATGACGTTCCTTGGGCTTGCGCTTTCAAACATGCTACCCATTGCAGGTGCAGGGAACGGCAAACTCTTTCCACGAAATAGCTGGAGCTGCAATGCTTGTTCTGGCACTCAAAGGCTTCTGGGGCACCAGTTGTTAAGCCCTTGCCGCCCACGAACACATTGTCTCAATTTCAACCTTGGTTTCAAAAACCATGTCTGGACATGCTCAATGTGCGGATATGGTCTTTAACTGCCAAGATTTTATCTGAGGCTCCAACCACACTCAGAGAAGATTCATTTTGCCCACACTTTGGTTCCATGAACCAAATGCAGCCAAAAAGGGCCAAAGGCCAAAGGGGCCCAGGCTCAGCTCCCGAGAAAAATGGCCCGTGGGGAATTTGGGGCGAGGCTCCGGAGGGATTTCTCGCGCCTCGAAGTCACTTCAAAGAAAAACATCTGGAAAACCCAACGGGGTCCTGCGAAAGCCGTGGGCGCATTTTTTGTCCCGCGAGCATTGGCATGCTCTCCCAAAAAAAAAGGTGAACATGTGTCTAAGACTTGAGCTTCTCACTCGCAGATTGAGCACTGGGAATCTGAGAGCAAAGTCTTGGCAGTGCTGAAATTGGTGGGGCTCTAAGGTTAGGTGTTCACTTTTCTTGGATTCAAGCGGCAGGTGATGTAGGGTGATCAGGGTTCGAGCTGCAGCCAGCCTCTCCTTCTCCAGAGATTTGGGCCTGTAACACCTAACGCGCTAGGGTTAAGGATTTGCTACATCAGTGTCTTCTGACAGCTGTTTTGGGGCTGGACCCCAGGTTAACCTGATTATGATCTCAGAATTTGAGAGGGGGCGAGGTGTGGGGGCCGGGCCGCCCATTGGTTTAAACATGTTTAAACCACTGGTGATGATTCTTCCCGTGTAAAGGTGGTGTTTGAACCATATTTTGCACCACCCAGTTTGGGTGGGAGGAGCAAAGGGCTCCGCTAGTGACAACCTCCTTTGGGTTTTCCTCGCCTGGCCTCACGCTCCGTTGGCTCAACTGGAGCTTGGCAATGAGGTGGGAGGGCGGCGAGGATTTGTGCCACCACGGCGAGAACAACTGCCCCGGTCGTAGCACGCGACATGCCGCAAAAAAGGAAACTGTCGCAAATGCCTGCAACAACCTTCCGGCAAATGTCAGAACTGCTCCTTGGCCGATTTCAGATTTCCCCAGGTAGGCGTCAGTGTGAGTGTGTGTGCGTGTGTGTGCTTGGGGGAAGGGAGTGGTGGCGTGGTCCCCCAAAACGGGGGGGGGGGGGATCTGCAGGCATGAGATGTGTGTTCCTCAATCAGAGCTTTGGGCGTGTGCTTTGGAGCTGGTACCGGCGGTGGGGTGGGTTTAAAGCTATCCCTTGCTTTGAGCGCAAACCCATCACCTGCATCGCAGCTGGATGCGTTTAAAGGATGTCTAACAAATTTGATGAGGAATAAGGAGCAGCTGTTAAAGAAGGCGTTGAGCAAAAGGCAGGAGAATAGCAGGTCGACGCGGATGTTCGCAACCAGCAACATGAAACGAACACAAATGCGCTGGGCTTCGGCACAACAGTTGAAGTGCTCTTCCCGGAAGAAGAAATTGTAAGTCGGGCGACCTTTTTTTTAATCGGGTCATCGTCGAAGCCGAGAGGATTTGGCACTTTGCATTACGGAAAAGTCATGATCCAGAGCGAATCTTGTAACCTTGAAGGTCTCGGTTTTCAGGCCCTCTTTGACAACAAAACCATCGAGGTGTTCAGTGACCTACTGAGGATGCTTGCTGTTGTCGGGGGCGGGTCCAAACTGAGCTGTGCAGAGTGATCTTAGATCTCCGTTGCTCTGCTCCTTACCTGGGTAGATCACCTTCATCCTGTGACTCGACTCGGCTGGAACGGTGGAACAGCGCCTTTGAAACCCGCACTCCGCACTCCGACCCACTTGGCTTCAGATGCGCAGGCAACGACGTTTCAAACAACTTGCGGTTGAGTTCCCCTTAAACTTGATCAGACTCAGACCCCCTGCAAAAAGTTGGCGCTTTGCTGAGAATGGAAAGTGAGAAGAACAAAAAAAGCACCAACGTCGCAAACCCAGCCAAGATCACATTACGGCGATACCAAAAAGGTAAAACAAAACACGGCAAGCAATGTCAAAGTTTGGTTGCCAGGTCTTGAAACCCATCCTTTCCAAGCACCAGAAAAAATCCTCAGGCCCCTTCTTGGAGAAAGTCACCGGTCCTTCCACAAAACGAACCGCGCATCTTCCTTCTCCCCGGTTCGATCGCGTGCGCCGGGAGCCGATCTGCTTCCAGATCCGCCGCCTTGCAGGCGCTGTACAGCGGCTGGTTCACGAACTCCGCCACCTCCGCTTGACCGTCGCCCCAGCGAGCGTCGCGAGGAACGAAAAACGTGAGCTGCAGAGAGCCCACCGGAAAAGAAAGAAGAAAGAAAAGGGGGAGACCGGTTCCGCAGAAATGAAAAAAAGAAGGTGCCCATGGGGTCCGCTGCGGTCCGCTGCAACAAAAAAACTCTCCTGAGTGGGGGAAAGCAAACCACACAAAACGCTGGGCTTTGACAACCTGAATGAAACTTGTTTCCTTTGCAATGTCCTCAACACCGCGCAAGCGCGCCCCGAAATGGCATCGGCCAGCGTTTCGTCAACGCGAAACGCCTTTTTCTGACCAAGAAGGCTGATCCAAACTTCCGTTCTACTTCCACAGCCCACTTCTCGTGAGTGTTTGTCGGCACTTGAGCGTGGGTTCTTACCATCTGTGGGCATGGATGCATTGAGGAGAGGGTGCACTTGAGCGCAGGTTCTTACCATCTGTGGGCATGGGATGCATTGAGGAGCGGGTGCGCTTGAGCGTGGGATCTTACCATCTGTGGGCATGCGATGCGTTGAGAGGCGGGTGCGCTTGAGCGTGGGTTCTTACCATCTGTGGGCGTGCACTTGAGCGTGGGTTGCTACCATCTGTGGGCATGGGATGCATGGAGGAGCGGGTGCACTTGAGCGCGGGTTCTTACCATCTGTGGGCATGGGATGCATTGAGGAGCGGGTGCACTTGAGCGCGGAGCGGGTGCACTTGAGCGCGGGTTCTTACCATCTGTGGGCATGGGATGCATTGAGGCGCGGGTGCATTTAAGCAATGGTGCTACCATCTGCGCGATTACAGGTTGTCCGGGCCGTTACAGGCTGTCCGCCAACAACAGGGAAACCTGAGCCCAGTCTAGCCGCTGCGCTTGTTGCGCCCGCCATGACTTGTGCGCTTTGCTGCAGGGTTAAAGCTAGCCGGAGTCGACATGTGGGCAACACCAACATGCATAACTGCACCTGCAAGCCTATCGTGACAAAGAGGCGTGGCAACACCAAGTCTGAAAAGTGGCAACAGTCCCGGCGGCTTGTGGGCGCCGCCACCTTAAACATCACCCCAAAAGAAAACTCATTTAAGATGCTGCAAGAGGTGATGCCTAGACCAACCTAAACGGAAATAATTTGGACACCCTGCACTTTGGGGGGGGGTCAAATCAAACCTAAGTGAGCCCAGCATGTTGGTGAGCAAAAAAAACTCTCATCTCTTACATCGGAGCTTCGGGGTGACGTTCCCCGATAGAAACCGCGAATCATTTGCTCGCGTGACTTTGAGAAGTCGTGGCTCAAACAAATGTCTCGAAATACATGGAACCAAAGACTAGAACCTGCGTAACCCGATCTCTTTTCATTTTGACCCGCACTCAACTGGAAATCGGAAATGGCACGTGTTTGGTTGGTGCAGCAAATTGTTGGCAACCAAGAAAGGCGGCCAAGCTCGCTTCGGTGACAAGCACAAACCTTTGGCGAAGCACATTGTCTATTCTTTCACGTCAGCATTGGCCGGTAGCTGTGGCCAAACACTGCCGACCAAGCCACACACTTTGCCCAGTCTAGGCCCTCCAAGAGTTCCACGCATAGTAAAGCGATTGGATCCTCCAACGGATGTTCGGCTTTCCGGATCTTTCGGCGCGTGTCACATAACGCCACGCCACGAAGCGCAAGCTCTGCTCGTGGTGCGGACACGGATGTCCGGACCACGCATCTGACGGTGGGATGGGGCTCCTCCGGGAGCTTCCGGGGAAGTGTCGCGCAAAGAAAACGGAAGTCGAAGCGGCGGGTGTTCGTATCCTCAACATGCCCGTCCTTTCAGCGATGTGCCTAGGTTTTGCATTTTGGGCGTGCCAAAAAAGAAAAGGCGGGCCTCAAAGTTGGTTTCGGCTTTCCGTTGGCTTCCCAAAACCACCCAAGGGGGAAAGCCTTCATGGATCCTGTCTTCTCACAGCCGTTTGAAAGAGATATTGGCACGTTGGAACCCGAGAGAAGGAAAAGAAGAAGCACACCAAGTAAGCTCGGAAACTCGACCGCGTGTGCACCTTTGGGTTCCCTTCTTGGATCCCGTGGATAGTTCCAGAAGTCAGCCGACTTAAAAGACCTAAGAGGTGCCAGTTGCTAAGTGGATACCAATTAATTCATGGAGATTCAGAAGGATTCCTGGGAAGCCACGAGTGGAGTTTCTTGGAAGGAAAGCGGGGAGGGGGAGCGCAAATGAGCATATGAATATGTTGTTGAATCCCCCGCTCGGGCAATATTTTCCACGTGGGTTGTATGCAGGTTCAAAACTTGCTAAGGCTGACGAACCACCCAACCAGTTATTAACCAGCTGATCATTTACCCGTTTGGGGGAAAGGGTGGTCTAAAAGGAAAAGCCAGACCACCGCAAAGTCACCTCATTGCTCAGGGCGGCTCATTCAACCAGCTCCAACTTTGAACCCCAAACAAAAAAAAACACCTCACGACCAGCATCCGGGTCCCAAGCCTTTGGGCTACCGCATTTCCAGCTTTTTCAGGGATCCTTACATTATACACCTGAACATTGCAACTTGTAAATGGAGGTGTCCTTTTATTTTGGCGGAAAAAGCCATGTTTCAAATGGTTGCAAAAGCTATCTTCTAAGGAGCCCCTGCTTTTGGTTTGCACGCTTGGGAAAAAGAAAAACAGGCGGCCTACGCCACTGGCTCTTGGCTTGCCAAGCTCTTGTTTCCCTTGGCCAAGCCACCGGGCGCGTGCTCCCTCGACCCCATGCACCCGTCGCCCTCGCCTGCTGATCCAGCGGGTCCCCGGGGTGCGGCCTGGCGACTCGACCCACGGGAAACCCTGGGCCTCGCGCGTTTCGGGGGGAGAAATCGCACCTCGAACGACAAAAGATCTTTGGGCATCAGAGTTGGCCACGATGAGTTTCACGGCCGGCTCAGACAAGAGGGGTGCACACGCAAAAGCCCGCTCCAGTTGGCGGTTTGGAGCCGAATCATTCGTGGGCATTTACCCTCTACGAAAGCCCGGGGGTCAATTCCCCAAACCACGAAGCCAAAACACCAACCAAGGGAGACACGAATCCAGAGCTCCACAAAAATGTCATGTTCTTCCCATTGGGATGAAGGTTCCCTTTCGGATCAAGCCAGAACCAGATAAAATCCCGAACTCGCCCGTGTGTTTCGGATGGTTGTGTCAAACAGCACGCAGGAACCGAATGCTTGAAGAGATCTTTGGGTAAAACATGTGTCTTGACTAACAAAAAGAGGCGCTTGTCTTCGTGGCTGGAGAAGAATATTAACACCACCCTCAAAACACGGAACGGCTGATGTGTAAGCCAAAAAGCAAACTTGTACAAGGAAAAAAAGAAACACCACCCTCAGAAAAAGAACGGATGATGTGTAAGCCTAGGAGAAGAAGAAGAAGAAAAAACGGTACAAAGCCAAAAACCAAAGTGCACACGCCGTACCAACAGACACTAGGGAAACTCCGCATGCTTGTGAAAAAAGAGAACGACTACCCGAAACTGAAGCAGAACGCTTCACCCCAAAAAACCACCGAGCGGACGGAACGCCAAAGCTGGCGACGTTCGTTGGCGCCTGTAGCTCTCGCTGAGCAACACCGAGGAAATGGCCGGGAAGCCTTGCAGCGAATTCCCGGGCTGGACGAGCAGAGCCGAAAACCGTAGCTCTGGAGGTGCCTTCCATGTCCATCCCTTCCAAAAATCCTTAGAAAACCCGCCGCAAGCCCCGGGGTTTGTAACGGATCCGGAGTTTGGAAAGAACGATGCTTGAAAAAAGAAATGGGACTCAAACCCTGGAGTACTGGTGAAACCTCGCCTGACCTAGAAATCCGCACGAAAGACTCCCTGGAAATACCAAACCATTTGCCTGGTTTCTATCATGGTGCGAAGTGGATTGCGTCCACAGTACCACGAAGCAGGGCGGAGGGGAGGTGTTTCTCAAATTTGGGGCCGGCAGGCAGATGCAAAAAGGATGCAAACCTTGTTTAGGAAGCGGAAGATGCTGGTGCCAGGGATGGAAAGGATGCTGGAGATGCCAAGGATGCTGGAGAATGATGAAGATACCAAACATCCCGGAGATGCTGATGATGCTGAAAATGCTAGGGATGTGGCGTACAATCCGCGGCATATATATATATATATACATATCTCCCTTTCTGAATCAATCATTGGGGGTAGGATGCTGGGGATGTGGGATGCTGAGAATGTTGTGCACGGGATTCAACAAGGATGCAAAACCTGCTGGAGAAGCTAAAGATGCAGGGATGTCAATGCAAAAAACGTGGCAGAAGGCAGCTAAGCAGAAAGGCTTGAAACATGTCCAACCACACGCGTGGCGATGTTGAGGGAAGCCAACAGAGATTGCGGGGACAAAAAGAATGCAAATCTTGCTAGCCAGGAAAGGATGCCGAGGATGCCAGGGATGCTTGCTGCAGATGCTGAAAATGTTGGTGAAGAGTACCAAATTCCGCCAATTTGTGTGATCTTGATCCAAATAGGGAGACAAACCAATATCCCAGCTGCTTAGCCCTGGGCTGTGCATGCGTCCTTCTCTTGTTGGTGCCCTCTTCAACAATGCTTTTGGAGGAAACAAAAATACACCACCCATTCCAAACTGCTCGGTGCAGCCAAGTAGCTTGACAGCCGCGCGCCCGACCTCAGGCCGGCCGATTGTGTGCCATGGAAGCTCCAAATCTGCCGCGGTCGTGGGTCGGCCCCTTAAAGTTCAACTCCCAAAAGAATGGCCAGGACCCTAGATAGATGACTCCTTAGTGTTTTAGTTCTGTTTTTAGGCGTGGCACATGTGCCCTGTCTCATTCTTTACTGGTTGGACTCAAAACCCACGCCGGGTAGTTATTTAGGTGCTTCTGCTGCACCCAGTGGAAAAAAGCGAGAAAAAACACATATTCTCAAACAGCTTCCTTCACACCCGCTTCAAGGCACCACCAACAAATACAGCAAATGTATCAAAAAAATGGACAAATCGCCTTCGTCAGCCGATCAGTTCGTCAAAAAATTGTTGGATTTGGACCCGACTCAAAATGGGTGTGTTTCCTTTGCCTTCCCTATCGAACCAATCCTCAAAACGGCCCAGCAAAAACGAAACACCACGCCCAAATAGGCATGAACTTCTGATGAGGGGCCTTTTGGTTCGACCGAATTCCGTGAAGATTGATCTCCACACACTTTTCAGGGTTGCTCTCTAAACAAAACTCATCCGCCAAATCCCCAAAGGACGGGGACAAAAACCGAACCGTTTCCCATGGCACCGTTTTTCCCCCATGCGCCCGGCATTGTCCCGGAGTCGGGGGAAGACATCCGCCTGTCGCGAAAAAGAATGGCGATCCGGCACCCGGGTCCCTGCCGTTCCTCCATCCTATCCCCCACCAAAAGTGAATCACTCGTGACAACGAAAAAGCTAAGCCGAGGAACCCAATCCCAAGCCCCCCCAACCCAGGTCCGCGGAGTCCCATTCAAACTCACACCTCTGTAAGGCTCGCTGCAATACCCACCCACCCAAATGCGGAAAAACGGGGCACTTGCGGTTCGCATGGGGAATATCCTCTCGTCCATGGGGAAGGGTCCTTTATTGCCCCCGCCCCACCAGCGAATATGCAACAGCTTGCAGTCCCCTCGACCAAACCCATCCTTCGGGTGCATTCAGGTCGAGCCCTCAATTTGTCCTGCTCTGGAAAGTGATTGCAAAACGGAAAAAACATCCCCGTGGCATTTGGTCTCAGTCTATCCGAAGCGTGAACGACCTCACCAATGGACGGGTCCAAGAATATGAACTGGGCGCAGACTTTTGTGGTATCCACCATGCCCGTTCCTTTCGCAACAAAGAACTTCCAAGAATATGAGGGCGTGAACTTTTTGTGTTGCGACAGAACTCATCTCCTTTTCTTGGGATGAGAAATCGACCACAAAGGTCCACCGGGAAAACATGGAAGCAGCATGCGGAGGCCATTTTTCCCCCCCATCCAGCTCCCCGCCTTGGGCTTTTCTGAGAGGCGGAACGCAACTCCTGAGCACGGCATTTTCCGGATTGGCAAAAAAATGGGCACCCTTCAAGAGAACAGGCCATGAACATCGGATTCTTTGGACGTCCTTGCCGGATTCATAAACCTTGCGGATTACACATAGAGGGGGTTCCCCTCACAAGCGAAGGTTCAGCCCGTTCCCAATTGCTGGGAAATCCTCGTTCTGTCTGAGGGCATTGAGGTCCGACTTGACGGTCCATCCGCCACATTGCTCGGAGAGTTGTCTTTCCCTCATTTCGCATCGAAGTTCCGAACTGCAAGGAGCAACGTAGATGGGTAGGAGGTTTCATAGGGTCTTTTGGACATGAGAAAGGTGAGGATTCAGGTCCACCACTGTTGATCAATCTGGCGCTAACCCCAAAAAAGCCGTCTAGTTTGGGTGGCCTATGAATTCCAACAAATGGATGCTATACCAATCTAGGTGCCCTTTCTGTTTTTGCTTATGAGCTCTGCCAGCCTCAAATTCTGGCCATGTCTGCAGTGTCCACGCGGTGTGCCCCCAGAACCCGCTGACCCCAAAGGCACCAAAACCTGGGTCCGTAGATTGTTTATACATATATACATACACATCTACATATACATATATACATACACATCTACATATGTATATATATATATATATACATATATGTCTTCCGTGCGCTTTTTGAGGCTCGGTACCCAAAAACTCCTTCGCGAAGCCGAAAACTGAGACACCACCCCGAAGCCGAAGCTCACACCACGGCCCCTCCTCCGCGGCCTTGGCGCCGGGCGCGCCTGTGATGGGCTGAGGGGTCCGCTCGCCCGGAATCGGAGGGTAGCAAGGGACAATCCCAGTCATACAATGAATTTTAGTAAGGGACCCTTTGCTGGACAACATTTGAGTCAGAATCGAAACCCGCTGTTAGAATGGTCGTATTGCCAGAGACATGCTTCAAGAATTAAGAACAGATATTTTATGGCAAGAGGTTCGTCCCATACTAAGCTTCACCTACCAGGAACGAATTTGGTGGACACGAGCTATAGAAATTGGTTGAGGATGCTCCAGCCATCAGACTGGGGGGTAAGTGGTTGGCAACCATGGGTATAACCCGCCAAAGCTTTGGTTGTAAGTCCCCAACTGGGTTATCATCATGGTTAGCAACCATTTACCTGACGTACTCTGCCTTCAACCAGTGCTTTGACAGTTTAAGTGGTTGAATCTCACTAGCCACTCACTCCCTGCCCCTTCAATTTGTCTGCAACAAAGAAGCGCCCAACCCACCACAAGGGAATTGGTCCATTTGAGAAGCACCAGGGTGTCCTTTGTGGCAATCGAGAAAGATTCCGCAACCCAAAAAAAGAATAAGTTGAAAACGAAGGCACCTAGAGAATCAGCTGACCAGATTGGTAAGATGGCTCGTTTCCTGTTGGGCTTTCCTTGCACCCAGAAGCAAAAGAGGGAAATGCACCCAGAAAAGAGCGCGAGAGAGAGAAATTGACATGGTGATGTGTAAAAATAAGGAAACCCCGCAAAACTGCGCGGTCCCTTCTGTTTGTTTTTCATCCACCCAGAGAATGGTACCCCACCCCACCCCCACCCCACCCCCACCCCACGCCACCCCGTGTCTGGGAAGCTCGCTTCCACCTCCCCGCCTCTGGGCGACTTCGGCGGGGTCGCCGCCTGCAACGAAATGTGGAAGGGGGCTGGGGGGCGGGGGGGGGGGGGATTTTGGGGACCTCTCGGACACTGAAACACGCAAAAATGGCGCCCGGGTGTCCTGCGTTTTTTTTTTGAAAACAACCAAACAACAAAACAACTCGATTCCCTTCAGAGAAAAAACAACTTGGGTATGAGTTTCCATGGCCCTTTCGTGACAGCGGAGTTCTATAGCTTCGACACTCCAACAAGTACACGGATCGCCACTCCAGGCCGCTCGAAAGCCCAACGGACTTCCAGCCGATGGCTCACAGACCGATGCCTTTCAAAAAGTTGGGGCACTTCCACCCCCCACCGGTGGCAAAAGGGTCCGGATCCTCCAGGGCGGGTTTGGAGGCAAAAGCTTCGCTTTTTGGAGGCGAAAGGTACAGCAGGGACCCTTACATTATACACCTGAACATTGCCTTCTAAATGGCGGTGTCCCTTTATTTTGGTGGAAAAAGCAATGTTTCAAATGGGCAAAATGTATCTTTTAAGGAGCCCTGTACAGTTCACCTGGGTTTAAAGTTTTTGAGGAAAAAAAAGGGGCGATCGATAGCCTGGTCTAGGATCACTCTGGCTTCTGCGCATTGGCAAACATGCCCGGCCATAAGACCTCCAAGAGGAAGGTTCGCACCAGAAGGCGGTTAGAGTCCATTTGCAAGCCCGAGCCGAAAAAAACAGCCACAAAGGATGGTCAAGCAAGATCTCCGAAAAGCAGAACAAAAACAAAAACAAGAACAAAATGGGTGGCTCAATGAAACATTGGGGACCAAACTCCTCCAAGTAGGTGGTTTCTTCTTGGCTTGTTCCCGGGCCCCATGTCTCCGTGCCTCCAGGGCTTCCACTGCGGGCGGCGCGAAGGCCCCGGCGGGCCTGCGGGGATCGAGAGAAAGGCCCCGCCGGAAAGCGCGAGCCGTCAGAATACCAGGAAAAACGGTGGGCTGCCCCAAATGGATGATGTTCCGTTGTTTTTTGTTGTTGTTTTGTTTGTTAAGTTATATATAGATATATAGAAATATAAACATGTATGTATTTTTCCCCCCAAAAAAAAAAACGGTTCCCATGTGTCTGTTCCCTTCGGTGTTTCTGCAAAAAACCAGTTGGCTGCGGGTCAAAACTAGGAACCAAGGACTAAGACCTGCGGTCCCCGGGTGGTTTCATTTTGACCCATACCCCGTGCCCATTTTTCCTCGTTCATCATCACCCCACGCTGCACTGGCCAAGGTGATGAGTCAGTCCCTGACTTTGAAAACCACGGAAAAGAGACAAACCAAACGCACCCATCGGATTTCAACCACCTGGCTAGCTCGGCTCTGTGCTTCCGGGCCGGACTTTCTTGCGGATTTGTTTGCAAATGTCTTCGGAACTTGTTTTGCAGATGGATCATTACAACGTCGGCATCGTCGTTTTGCTCAGGCACGCTATCAGGTTCTGACTTTGCGGCACTCACTTTCTCGCAGCGCAAGAAGCCAGGTCCCGAAGCTGGGTTCGTCGTCGGTTGGGTTTTCGGAGCTTCAAAGTCGGTGACTTGACGTCCACCGGGCTGTCAGCTTCCGCCTTCCGCGCTGGGGGAGTCTACAAGGCAAATGGTCAAGGAGAAGAGCAGGTGTTTCCAAGTGACATGGGCAATTGGAGTCAGGCAATGGCAATTTGGCGAGCCCATGAGAGAAACGTAACCTTGCGACGTCCGTTTCACAACCCAATGTGACCCCTGTGTTTCAACGTTCATTCGGTGAGTCTACCCAATGTCTACCCTATGACTCCAAAAGGCTTGCGCCCTGAACATAAGGAAATCCTACTCTCATGCTTTCAGCTTGGTTGCCAACCCTCTAGAAACCGTTTTGGATGAGCCTTTTGTGGATTTCACCTGTTCTTCCCCCTGTTGGTCCTTTTTTAGTGCTCCTTTAGTACTCTTTTAACCTTGGGGTGGACCCACAAAAGCCACATCCAAACCGTTTTCTAGAAACCCCGCCTGGATCCGGCAATGAGCTCCCCCATCTGGAAGGAGTGAAGCTTGTTTTCGCTCGCCTGCACCTGAAGCGTGAGACATCCGGCAAAGTGGGGTGTGAAACTGAAATTTGGGTCCCGGACTCTTTGGACATCAGACTCCGGCGGGGCTCTCCATGAATGAAATCCCCTGTACATACCAACGAACGGTTTGGTCTCCCATGGTTTCAACCTGGTGCGAAATGATAGATAGTTCCCAAGAAACTTGAGAAAGTTACCCATCGTTCTTGGCTCTGTGTCCACCAACCACTTGTGAGTTCCAAACTCTAAAGTGGGTGTCAACCAATTCTTGTTTTTGGCTACCTTTTGCCGGTGGGTTGCAAAGGCGCAAACCAAAGGGGAGACCGAAACCCATGTTGGGGGTCCAAATCGACGAGCCACCCAACCAGCCACTCGTGTGCATTCCGGGAGGTTTTTCAACCAAAGCCCGGCATCCGAAGGGAGACAAAAGGCAGGGTTTGTCTCTGGTTTCCCAAACAGCTGAAAGCTATGGATCAAAGATCCGAGAAAAAGCGCCTTCACTCACAAGAGTCTTCAAGGGCATAGATCCTACCCTTCCGCCCTCACGTTCAAGACGAGTTCGGCCGAACCCGGCAAAGCGCACAAGTTGAGAATACCGGAAGGCATCCTCACCCGCACCGAAAAATCAAAGTTGATCAGTTTTGGAGCTGCCCCTCTCATTTGCGGGGGCAAAATGCAAAGCAAGAGAAAGGCACTCACTACACTCCACGAAGGAACCGCCTTTGTACGGCATGACCCGCTCGGCTTGCTTGGACTGTGGTGAGCTCCCATTTGGCCATGGGTCAAAATCCAAATCGTACCCCCCGCGAACATCCCCACTAAAATCCTGACTAAAATGGTGAATTCACCCAATCCCCAAAATGGGATCCCATTGGTTTTGACAACCACAACCATGTCCGAACCCCATTTACTGAGCTGTCCTCAGATCCCCCGCTAAAAGTCACTAACTTTTAGTGGGCGAAACGGAAAACCAACCACTAAAAAGCTAAAACTTGCCAAACAGCTAAAAAGCTAAAAGGCTAAAAAGCTAAAAAGCTAAAAAGCTAAAAATCTAAGCAACCGGATGGCTGGGAGCCACCAAGTTCCCCAACCGCCAGCCACCTCCAGCCCTCGTCCACGAGATAATGTTTTTCGACTCGCCTGCTCGGTCATGTCCCTGAGAAGCTGATCCTCGCGGTAGGCGGCTGAGCGAGCGCGTAAGGAGCAAACCCACGCGGGAGTCTGTGCAAAAGCAAAGGGCCGAAGAAGGGGGGAAGAGGGCCTCTGAACCAAAACATCCCAAAGAATCCATGACCAAGTTTCCGCAAACCATTTGAAAGGATGTGTTTTCTTGGACACATTGGTGCGAGGATTTCTTGATGCGAACCCACCGCCTTTGTCCGCAGTGCGCTTACCTCCCTCCCACCTGTGACGTGACTCCTCACGGCCGAAACGGACCTTTGGCATGCCCATAACTTATGGCCGCCAATGTGGACGAAACCACCCGCAACATTCCCTTGGACCTTGAGAAGCAGAAGATGATTGAAACACTGCCCACAAGAAATATCGAGCCCCTCAACCAAAGGATGATGATGCTCAAACCATTAAATTCCAGTTGGATGTCCCGGAAAACGTTCCCCCGTTCCGGTGGGCTTCTTGTTCGTGAAGGACAATGCCGCCAAAAAAACGAAACTACAAGCAAACACATCTATCCAGAAAAAAGTCTCCAGGGGGGCAGGTAGGATGCGCTTCCAAAGTAATCTTTAAAGTACTTCACTTTCGTTTCTTTTCAGAAAAGGAAAAAACATACACCTCGAAATGTCACAGCTCCTTGCGACCCCAAAGCCAACACACGAACAGATATTTGCTAAAAAGAAGAAGAAAGAAGAAAAAAGAAGAAGAAGAAGAAGAAAACAAACACCCTTCCGAATCTAAATCTCCAAGCTCGAGAAGAAACATCCGAACATCGAAAGCAAAGTTCAAGAAGCGGGGTCAGAAGATGCTCTCCAGAAGCTTCTAGACCACCAGCCCAGACCAGTGGTCATGGAAGAAGGGCACTTGGTTCGGTCGACTTTTTTTCTCGGGAATCCTTCTCCCCAAGTCGAAAACGAGGGCACCACCGGTGGTCCCCGAAAAGGGGACAACAAGCTGTGGTTTGCTTGGTGGCGGGCGTGATTTCTCTCCAAACGCGCTGTTGCGCGCCGGGTCCATGTCTTTGTTTGACCCATGAAAATTAGCCAAGGCGGATCGAATCCACCGTTTATCTTGGTTGTTTGATGGCCAAAGTACTGTGAAGTATTCTGGTTTGGATCCAGAAATCGCAGTGGAAAATGTCCATCTCCCCAAAAAACAGATCCATCGTCTCCGTGGTTGGGGGACCAAAAAAGACCGCCTCCAATGTCTCTTCAACCCCAACAAAAGCCAGAAGTCCCATGGTGGCCCATCCATCCAGGAAACGGAACCGGCTCAAGCTCGAAAAAAAATCCCGTCCATCCATCTGGAAGCAAACGGCAAACATCCAAAGATCCCCTCGGCGCGGGAACCGCGGCTCGCGGCTCCTTGAAGGCGCCGCTTTGGCGCAGCTGCCGCATCGCCTCCTCCGCCTTCGCCAGCTTCCCCCGCAGCTCCTCCACCTGAAAAAACGAAGCTCCCGCGGTGGGCGCGGGGCGCGGGTGGGTGAGCGTGTGGGGTGTTTCCCCCAAGAGAGGAGAGGAAACAGACCAACCTGGGCCCTCAGATTTGCCGCTAAAAGTGACTAACTTTTAGAAACTAAACACTAAAAGGCTAAAAGGCTAAGAGGATGGCTGGGAGCCACCAAGAAACGAAGAGGAAAACATGTTAGAGGAGGAGTTCAGTTCGGCTGAATTGGGAGATGTGCTTCTGTTCCGGGGAAAAAAAAGATCTGGTCACCTGAATTGGAGCCTGTGACCCCTTGCAACAGTCTGAAAGGTCTAAGATGAGAATTACCCAAGTTGCATGTTGGGAGGGCAGTTGGGGGGGGGGGCCTCCACAGAGTCGAATCCATGGCATTTCCAGGCCCGAAACGTGTCGGACGCTCTTTGGCACATCGCCGTGAACACATATCCAAGACCCAGAATCAAAAGTTTCAACCATCAACATCCTCCTCTAGACATAGAACCAAAACAATGACCCCATCTTCCAACCTTTAATCACACCGGAGAAACTCAGACCTTTCCAACTTATCTAGAAGGGCTTCACATCCAGCTGGAAAAAACTCAGCACTCCAAACCACTCAAGTACCTCACCTTAGGCCCAGGATGACCCTAGCTGTACTTCCAACCTTACATCATCACCTGTGTGCGTGGGAACTCTTGATGCTTGTTGTAAATATATAGACATATAGACATACCACAGCGTTATCAAACAGGCCCCAACTCACCCCAAATTACCCGCCCTCTAAGGGCTGCCGACCGGAGCCCAAAACGACCCGCGCCCGGCGACTCGCCGCTGGGTGCCCGAGCTCGCTGCTGCATCTCCTGGGCACAGGTCTCGTGCTCGGTGCAGGCGGCCTGCGCCAATTTTTCGCGGCCCCCTGCTTAGGGCCTCCAGTGGAGAGGTTAGAATAAGTTGGTACCAGCTTTAATCTGTAATCTATTTTAGTAGGGGAACCCAAAACCCGCAAAAAAGAGGTGAAAAGGGCACTACTGGGGGACCTAGCTGCAGATGAGTGGGGCATCCGCTCGAGGAACATGGGGTTTGTCGGTGCTTTTTTTCGTTCTGCCCCTTTCCGTCGCTTACCCACAAAAAGGACAGCCACAAGGAAACGCCGGGTCCAGTGTTGCCCTGGAAATGCCTCTGACAGGGTTGCGCCAAGCCCCTCAAACCAACAGATCTATCATCATTGGTAGGCGCAATGGAAACTCCACTTGTTTCGAAAGTTTCAAAGACCAAATCGCCATGCTACGGAAAATGGACTTCATCCGACAGTGGTGGGCCGAGCTAGTAAATCTGGGTTCTGGTTGGTAAAACCAAGCGCTGCTTGCGTGCAAATAGCCACCCTCATCTCTGGTAGAAATCGCCCCCCGATCTGCCGCTGCTCATTCCAAAGGCAAACCTGGGTGTGTCCTTTTTTGAGGGTGCCCCCCCTTTTTTGGTGGTTTTAAAGGAAAATCCAACGGAAACCCACCGTTTTGGGGTGTCCCCCTGGAAGACGCTGCACACAGCCCAAAGAAACAGCTCCCCTGGTGTTTGCCAGGCTTGGCAGAAAAGGACCGAAAGACCCCCACCAAGAGGAACAGAACCAAATTGGTTGGCCTTTCCAAGAGGTGCTTTTGGTGTCAAACCGCCTGGTTTCTTCAGGTAAACAAATGTTGAAAGTCCTGCGGCAAATGAAGCCAACCCACATCAACCCAAATGGGTCTGTCGCTGTTTGAGGGTGCCTCTTTTTCTTGGCTTTGCAGGGACACCAAAAGGCAAAAACCGTTGCGCCACTTTTGGGGCTTTGGTCCACTAAAAAAAACGAGGTCCTCCAGTAGAGAGGCTCGAATAGTCTATGTTAGTCGGCGAACCCTCCCCCAGAAAAGTTGGTCAAAGGGCACTGGGAAACCTAGAAAACGGACCACTCCCAAATGGCTGTGGCTCGTACCAAACCGGAATTCCAAAATGGGTTGCCTTGGCAAGTGGAACATGGACCAAAACCTGCGGTTTGCCCTCCTGTTTAATTTTGAGCTACTCCCAGATCAAAGCGAAGGCGGCCCCCGCCTGTTGCCTTACAAAGCGCTGGTCCCTCTCGGCGACCTCCGCCTGATGTTGCTGACACGGGAAGGGGAGGGGCGCGTTTGGTTTGGAGAAGCTAAGCCCCTGCCAACGCAAACGTAGAAGCCAACCCCCCCCCCTCCCCACATGTTTCTTTTAGGGGAAAAAAAGTAACCCCCCCGCAACCCCTCCAAAAAAAAGAAAGAAAGAAAGAGAATGAAATCCCCTGAAGCTGCTGTGCCTGTTGGGTTCCAAGTTCAGCTGGCGGCCGACTAGGTGATAGCCAAAGGTTCATGGCCGAAACATGAACCGAAACGCAGACTATGGCGAATCCCAAGCGCCGGCAAACGTAGGACTATAGGCAAAACTTTGTTTGCCTTCATTTGCCAAACCGTGAATTCCGACATGGCGAAGCAGCCGGTGGGACTATCAGTTCTGATAAAGGACGTGTTGGTGGACATGTACATGAAGACTAGTCTATGAATCAAATTCATTCCCAAGTGTGCCTTCAAATGTCCAACTTGAATCACTGGTTTTGGAGATACAGGCTAGCCTCCCTTCCACATAGAACCTCACTGAAGAAATCACCGCTCGTCTTAAAGGGGCATTCTGGGTGCCATAGGCGCGTCAGCTTTTCTTTTTGGGTGCCTGGGCTGAGGGACCCCCCGCTGGAGGAAATATCCACCGATGGGCAATGGGAATTCTCGCCATTCCAGTCGAGGGATTTGGCAGAGATTTGGGAGCTGAGATTCCAATCCCAACAGCACCGCGCCTGTATGAGTTCTGCAGATGCGGAAGGTCCTACTCAGCGTACAAATTGGGCTGAGATCCCTTAGCTTTCAGCGAACAAATGACTATGAATTTTAATAAGGGACTCTTTGGTGGACATCATTTGAATCACAATCGAAACCCGCTGTTAGAATTGTCTACCCAGAACCATGGAAAGAAGTAAGAAGGCAGCCGCAGCTATTTATGGTGGGGAAATCTTCCCTTACTAACCTTCATCTGCCCAGGTTTCGGTTGTGGCTCATTTGGGTGCGGCTCAAAATTAAGGAGCTAGGCTTACGCAGGTTTCAGTCGTTGGGTCCATTTACCAAGGTGCCATTCTGGTCTCCTTTTTTTTTTTCGGGCCACGGCCATGTCAGACTTCATGACCCACCACCGTTGGTTGGTAGACACCGCGCGCCCCGAACCGCCGAGCAAAAAGATCGCCCCGAAGGCGGCGCCTTGAGGTCGGCCGCCAGCTGCTGAGCCGCGCGGCCTCGGAGCTGTGCGACCCCGTGAGGATTTTGGGAAAGGAAACCTCTTGGCACGGGAGGTTTTCCTGGTGGCCGTTCAAAAAAGGAAGAAAAAGGGGGAAGAAAAAGCTCCAAGCCTGGAAAAGATCCTTCTATTTTGCGACTCAATCCCTGGGGTATCCTGTTTGGAGTAGCCTTTTATTTTGAACGGCCGGAAGGTTGGGCTATCCTTGTGAAACTGAAACCCTAGGCTGGTTGAGTATCTCTCGCTCATTTTGTGACTCCTTCTGTCAGACGCAAATCGATGTTGCCTGCTGGGGCAAACGGGAGGTATCCCCTTGTTGGTTGGTTCTATCTTTACTCCGCCCTTTTGCCCCTTCCAAGAAAATATTCTGCATTTGAAGCCTTTGCAAGGGGCAAAGCGGCCGCACAATCTCCTTGCTGAAAGGATTTGTTCGAAAGTGTTGAGTCCTGAAATCGGGGAAGCTTCAGGAAAAGAAGACACTCGGATTCCCTGGACAAACAAACATCCAGGTGCATTCTCAAAGCCCTCTTGGTTTCTACTAAGGCCCAGCAAAAACGGTAGGAGTCATTTTTTCTGGGGCTTTAGGTGAACCTGTTGAGCATACCCTCAGTTTCCAAATAAAAAGGTGAAGCCCTTTTGGGACCTTTACTAAAAATGGGAACCCAAAAAGGGAAAAGCAAAAGGCCAGAGGTCGATTCGCTTAGGTTGCAACTGAGTGCCTTGCTGTAAGCGGGTTCCTGCTGCTGTCCCCTTTCAAACCCAAAGGAGGCGCCCAAAAGTGGCAGTTGGGTGGAGATGACGCAATCTCCCCGTGGGTAGTCTCATCACCGGCGGCAACGAACAGGGAACAGCGCCATCTACTTTCCGCATGCAAGGGTCAAAACCATGGCGTTTGTAGAAGAGGAAGCTGTTCGTGATTCTCTAGCCCCTCACATTACACATCCATCCCACTCAACAGGTGCCATCAGCAAAAATGATCCTCCTGTGATTTAGGAATCTAAACACTGGGCTGCCCTCAAATCCCCTGCCAAAAGTTTGACTTTTAGTGGGTGAAATGGAAATCCCCACTAAACACTAAAAAGCTAAAAGGCTAAGGGGATGGAGCCACCAAGAAAGGAACAAGCCATGTTGGAGAACCTCCTTCTAAGCTCGCTTTTAAGCGGCCCAGCCTTAAACAAAAACGCCCGGCTGCGGCGTTTTTATGGCCTGTTTAAAGCCCGGGTGGCTCTCCCTCTGCGCGGCCGCCAGCTGCTCCTGGAGCCGTGGCTTTAGGTGGCCATTGCGCAAAAACGGATGGGGGGGTGTCCAAAAACCGCTTTGGGGCTGGACCCCGGGTTAATCTCATTAGGAGGGGGGTGAGGTTTTTTGGGGGGGAGGAGCAAAGGGCTTCAACCATAGGTGTCCTTTGAATTATAGATGGGTTTCCCTGGTAGATGAAACCACCAGGTCATCCAGGAATCGAAACCCCTCTATTTTTCAAGCAAAACCAAAAAGGACACCTATGGTCATGACCTGGGTCAACCAAATGGTTGCATTTGTGGTTGACCATCGATGGTTTTTGGCCAAACCGTTGGTCTCTAACCCTTGAAATAACTTCAAGTCTTGCCTCCTTCGGCCTCTGAAGGTGGTGGCTTGGGGCTTGAAACCAGATTTCCCCCAAACCAGGTGCTACTGTGGATGGTTGCGAAATCCATTTCGCGCCATCTAAGAAAAAAATATGGAATGACGATTCCACTGTAAAAATACCCACAAACCATGGTTTCAACCATGGCTTCCAAGTGGTGCGAACGGATTTGGTCCATCTACAGTATTGAGTGCTTAGGCCTTCATTGGAAATTCCCAGAACCCTTCCCCCTTTTGAGCCTGTATTGTTTAAGCTCCTGGGATTGCAGCCGGCTTTCCCGAGATGAAACATGGGCATGAAATCTGATTCGGACCCTTTGGTCCTTTGGTGGGCATCATTCACATGCTGTGCGTGTCCGCCAGGTTTGCTGAGTTGGCCATACAGGGGAACTCTTGCAGATTTACCCAGAGGCAAAATGGGAGGAACCATCAGACCAAATGAGCAGAAATGGGTGACCATGAAAGTCTTACGTCTTGCCTGATAACTTACATCCAGACGCTGCAAGTCGGTTGCCGCCACTGGCTCTGGTGGTATGGATTGCCTGTTAAAAGGCAGGCACCATACTTTTGATATCTCGACAGTCCCTATTGTTCAAACAGCTCCTTTACCAATTTTGCAGCCTGGTTGTTTAAACCAAAAGTGGAAGGACATACGTTGTGGTCCTTGATGTCAACGGGAGGCGCAACCCCTTTCCCAAAAACGCCAAGAGTTGAAAGCAAAATGAAGTGTGTGATTTTTGCGGGTACGCTTTGTGTGTGTGTGTTGGTTTAAAGGGAAGGGGGGTCCAATTCCTAAAACCACACACCCATTTTGACCTGTCCTACCATGAGCGAGATCCGCTTGGCACCAGTTGGCACGAGTTGGCAGAAAGGAAATTTCCCCGAGACCACCAACCCCCAAACCAACCACTAAACAAACCCTAAACCAACCACCGAATCACCAACCACAACCCCAAACCAACAACTAAACCAGCCCTAAACCGATTTGGACGGCACGACGTCAACCGACACGAAATCGGACTCCATCTGCCTGGACTTTGTGCAGCTGAAACTGGCTGCCGCTGAGCGCCAGGTGCCGCTCACGCTGCAGCGCCTCCACCTGCGGGCGACCCCCGAAATGGCGCGAGGTCCGCTCCATTTTTGGGGTCTTAACATAGGGACGGCCCAAAAAACGGCAGATTTGTTTGTTGTTGTTTTTTTGGGTGTCAAAACGTCTTGACATGCGAGATGCGTGCCCTCAACAAAAAGACACACCGATTTGGGGCTCGGAACATGGGAGAACGAGCGTCCTCATGTGTCCTCACAGAACCAGGGATCCTGGGCAAATCATGTTAAATTACGGTCAAAGAAATGTTGAAGAAGACATGTGGCAGTGGCGATGATGATGATGTTGATGATGATGATGATGATGATCATGATGATGATCATGATGATCATGATGATGATAATGATGATGGTCATGATGGTCATGATGACCATATTTTGAATCATGAAAATCAAACTAATCAATTAAATCAGCAAGGGAACATGCTTCCGACCCAAGAGAATCCTCGAATCCTCGCTCGCCGCTGGCATCTACTGCTGAAAGGCGCCTGCTCCTCCAGCTGCAAGGTCCGCTTCATCTTCCCCGAGATCGTGGAAGTCAGCTCCTGGGGAAATTGCGAAAGAAAGGAACAAAAGCCGGCCAAACCAAACTTTATGGTAGCCGATATGCATATATATATATATATATATATGTATCATGCATACATTATGTGTATATATATATATGTATGCTTTATTTTTGGGAAACCAGCGCCATGCAAGAAATACAAAGGATGCAAGGAACGCGAGGGATGCGAGGGATACGAGGGATGCAAGGGATGCAAGGGATGCAAGGGATGCAAGGGATGCAAGGGATGCAAGGGATGCAAGGGATGCAAGGGACGCAAGGGATGCCAAAAAATGCGAGAGACACTGGCCTGCCCAGAGAGGTTGCACATGAAACTTACAATGAATTGCATCCCTTCCGCAAATCACAAATACCTCACCCAGTATGATGAACATTTTGAACTCGTTAGGACAAAAACAGCCATCAACGCACGACATGCAAGGGATGCAATAGATGCAAAGCACAAGGGGGACGCAAGATGCAAGGGATGCAAGGGATGCAAGGGATGCAAGGGATGCAAGGGATGCAAGGGATGCCAAAAAATGCGAGAGACACTGGCCTGCCCAGAGAGGTTGCACATGAAACTTACAATGAATTGCATCCCTTCCGCAAATCACAAATACCTCACCCAGTATGATGAACATTTTGAACTCGTTAGGACAAAAACAGCCATCAACGCACGACATGCAAGGGATGCAATAGATGCAAAGCACAAGGGGGACGCAAGATGCAAGGGATGCAAGGGATGCAAGTGATGCAAGGGATGCAAGGGATGCAAGGGATGCAAGGGATGCAAGGGATGCAAGGGATGCAAGGGAAGCAAGGGATGCCAAAAAATGCGAGAGACACTGGCCTGCCCAGAGAGGTTGCACATGAAACTTACAATGAATTGCATCCCTTCCGCAAATCACAAATACCTCACCCAGTATGATGAGCATTTTGAAATCGTTAGGACAAAAACAGCCATCAACGCACGACATGCAAGGGATGCAATAGATGCAAAGCACAAGGGGGACGCAAGGGATGCAAGGGATGCAAGGGATGCAAGGGATGCAAGGGATGCAAGGGATGCAAGGGATGCAAGGGATGCAAGGGATGCAAGGGACGCAAGGGATGCCAAAAAATGCGAGAGACACTGGCCTGCCCAGAGAGGTTGCACATGAAACTTACAATGAATTGCATCCCTCCCCCTACTCACAAATACCTCACCCAGTATGATGCATACTTTAATAGTGAATGTGGAATGCTGCTAATGCAGAAAACGCGCGGAATGCAAGATGCATGGGGTCTCAGGAATGCAGGCGCCATGCACGTTATGCAAGGGTTGCAATTGCAAGGGCGCGAGGGATGCAAGGGATGCAAGGGATGCAAGGGATGCAAGGGATGCAAGGGACGCAAGGGATGCCAAAAAATGCGAGAGACACTGGCCTGCCCAGAGAGGTTGCACATGAAACTTACAATGAATTGCATCCCTCCCCCTACTCACAAATACCTCAACCAGTATGATGCATACTTTAATAGTGAATGTGGAATGCTGCTAATGCAGAAAACGCGCGGAATGCAAGATGCATGGGGTCTCAGGAATGCAGGCGCCATGCACGTTATGCAAGGGTTGCAATTGCAAGGACGCGAGGGATGCGAGGGACGCGAGGCATGCAAGGGATGCAATTGCAAGGCACAATGCGATGCATGCCAGAACGCCAGAAATGCAGGCATGGAAGGATTGCAGAAAAGGGACAGGAAGGGATGTGAGGGATGCAAGGGATGCAAGGGATGCAAGGATGTAGGAGCGAAGGTATGCAGGGGCTGCCGGAGATGCAGGAATGCAGAACGAGGGGATGTAAATGCGGTGGACTCAACGCTGGCAGGGGATTCAGGGAATGCCCAGCACAGGATGAAAGGTAATACACCTGCTCACCCAAAGTCTCTACAAAAGAGCTGTGCGATCTGCAAACGCTTTTTAAAGATTCACCAATCTACAAGGCGTCCCCATCAACGAACCTTCATCTCTTGAGGTCGCACAAGCTCAGGTAGTCCCAAAAGGGTCACCTTATCTCCTTTCGAACCCCGCCCATAAGGCAGAATCTTGCAAACTGCCGAACAGACCTGGGCACAGGCATGGACCTAAGGCAACCAACACACAAAACTCGACCCTGGTGGCATGTGCGTTGCTCTTGAGGATACCAATTTCCAGGGCTCAGCTGGAAGCGCACCCATGCGCGTCTGTTTTGACGGCATGCTGTATGGTTTTGAAGGGAAACCAAAATACACGAGCCAGGTTTGGTGTCTCTTGTTCAAACTTGTACGTCCCTTGCATCCCGTGCATTGCCTGCATTTCTGGCACTGCATCTGCACTGTATTCCGGAATCACATCCGCTGTACACCCCCCTGCAGTCAATACATCTCCTCACACCAATATGTATCATACTGGGTGAGGTATTTGTGATTGGGGGTACATCTGCATCCCTTGCCTCCCTTGCCTCCCTTGCCTCCCCTCCCTCACATCCCCTGCATCCCTTACATCCCTTGCATCCCTTGCCTCCCTTTGCTTCCCTTCATCCAAGGGATGCATCCCGTGCATCCCTTGCATCCCTTGCCTCCCGTTCCTTCCCTTCATCCCTTGCATCCCTTGCATCCCTTGCATCCCTTGCATCCCCTGCATCCCCTGCATCCCCTGCATCCCCTGCATCCCCTGCATCCCCTGCATCCCCTGCATCCCCTGCATCCCCTGCATCCCCTGCATCCCCTGCATCCCTTGCATCCCCTGCATCCCCTGCATCCCCTGCATCCCCTGCATCCCCTGCATCCCCTGCATGCATCCCTTGCCTCCCTTGCCTCCCCTCCCTTGCCTCCCTTGCCTCCCTTGCCTCCCTTGCCTCCCTTGCCTCCCTTGCCTCCCTTGCCTCCCTTGCCTCCCTTGCCTCCCTTGCCTCCCTTGCCTCCCTTGCCTCCCTTGCCTCCCTTGCCTCCTTGCCTCCCTTGCCTCCCTTGCCTCCCTTGCCTCCCTTGCCTCCCTTGCCTCCCTTGCCTCCCTTGCCTCCCTTGCATCCCTTGCATCCCTTGCATCCCTTGCATCCCTTGCATCCCTTGCATCCCTTGCATCCCTCGCATCCCTTGCATCCCTTGCATTCTTTGCATTCTTTGCATCCCTTGCATCCCTTGCATCCCTTGCATCCCTTGCATCCCTTGCATCCCTTGCATCCCCTGCATCCCTTGCATCCCTTGCATCCCTTGCATCCCTTGCATCCCTTGCATCCCTTGCCTCCCTTGCCTCCCTTGCCTCCTGCCTCCCTTGCCTCCCTTGCCTCCGTCACATCCCTTACATCCCTTGCATCCCTTGCCTGCCTTCCCTTACATGCCTTGCATCTCTTGCATCTCTTGCATCCCTTGCATCCCCCTTGCAGCCCTTGCAGCCCTTGCAGCCCTTGCATCCCGTGCATCTCCTGCATCCCCTGCATCCCTTGCATTCCTTGCCTCCCTCATCCCTCACATCCCTTGCATCCCTTGCATCCCTTGCATCCCTTGCATCCCTTGCATCCCTTGCATCCCTTGTATCCCTTGCTCTCCCTTGCCTTTCCTTGCATCCCTTGCATCCCTTGCATCGCTTGCATCGCTTGCATCCCGTGCATCTCTTGCATCCCTTGCATTCCTTGCCTCCCTCACATCGCATCCCTCACATCCCTCACATCCCTCACATCCCTCACATCCCTTGCATCCCTTGCATCCCTTGCATCCCTTGCATCCCTTGCCTCCCTTGCATCCCTTGCCTCCCTTGCCTTGCATCCCTTGCATCCCTTGCATCCCTTGCATCCCTTGCATCCCTTGCATCCCTTGCATCCCTTGCATCCCTTGCATCCCTTGCATCCCTTGCATCCCTTGCATCCCTTGCATCTCTTGCATCCCTTGCATCCCGAGCATCGTCAAGAGTGGATGCAAGGGGTGGACGGGATACAAGGGATGCAAGGGATGCAAGGGATGCAAGGGATGCAAGGGATGCAAGGGATGCAAGGGATGCAAGGGATGCAAGGGATGCAAGGGATGCAAGGGATGCAAGGGATGCAAGGGATGCAAGGGATGCAAGGGATGCATGCAAGGGATGCAAGGGATGCAAGGGATGCAAGGGATGCAAGGGATGCAAGGGATGCAAGGGATGCAAGGGATGCAAGGGATGCAAGGGATGCAAGGGATGCAAGGGATGCAAGGGATGCAAGGGATGCAAGGGATGCAAGGGATGCAAGGGATGCAAGGGATGCAAGGGATGCAAGGGATGCAAGGGATGCAAGGGATGCAAGGGATGCAAGGGATGCAAGGGATGCAAGGGATGCAAGGGATGCAAGGGATGCAAGGGATGCAAGGGATGGGGATGCAAGGGATGCAAGGGATGCAAGGGATGCAAGGGATGCAAGGGATGCAAGGGATGCAAGGGATGCAAGGGATGCAAGGGATGCAAGGGATGCAAGGGATGCAAGGGATGCACAAGATGCACAAGATGCACAAGATGCACAAGATGCACAAGATGCACAAGATGCACAAGATGCACAAGATGCAAGGGAGGCAAGGGAGGCAAGGGAGGCAAGGGAGGCAAGGGAGGCAAGGGAGGCAAGGGATGCAAGGGATGCAAGGGATGCAAGGGATGCAAGGGATGCAAGGGATGCAAGGGATGCAAGGGATGAAAAGATGCACGGGTTGCAAGGGATGCAAGGGATGCAAGGGATGCAAGATGCAAGGGATGCAAGGGATGCAAGGGATGCAAGGGATGCAAGGGATGCAAGGGATGCAAGGGATGCAAGGGATGCAAGGGATGCAAGGGATGCAAGGGATGCAAGGGATGCAAGGGATGCAAGGGATGCAAGGGATGCAAGGGATGCAAGGGATGCAAGGGATGCAAGGGATGCAAGGGATGCAAGGGATGCAAGGGATGCACGGGATGCACGGGATGCAAGGGGATGCACGGGATGCAAGGGGATGCACGGGATGCAAGGGGATGCAAGGGGGACGCAAGGGGGGGCAAGGGGATGCAAGGGATGCAAGGGCCCGTTCTCTGCATTCGCGTCATTCCACATCGACTGTATCCCCTGCAGCTCGTACATACGCCCTAGCAATTGTTACGTCAAAAAATATAGTTGATATTCCGTGTTCCCACCTTTGTTGTGACTGTTCGTTTTCGATGCCACTACCTATATAAACAATACACGTCACGGGAAAAAAAAAAAAAAAACATGTTGAAAACACAATAAAAGAACAACAATTTGTGGTGCATTTAGTTTTGCAACTGTTGTTCTTACTCGTTCTGCGATAACTGAAGGATCTAACCATCTTTGAGCATTCAATTCCTTCGCTTTCACATTCAACCTTGCACGTACCATCTCCACATACTTCGCATGCAAAGGCACTTGTGCAGAAGAAGAAATACGCGTATCATCTAACCACTTAAGCCATCCAAACAAACTGCAACAATCTGCTCAGTTTTGTTGTTGTCCCTATTCCAACTTGTAGTATCTGTTTTGGTTCTGTGTTGTTGGTATCAACGGTGCCATTTAGGTCCATTGTTCATATGTGGACATGTTCTCCTAGTAATTCACCAAAATACTTGACAACCCATTGAATTTCAGTTTTAGTCACTTGGCTCTTCATAACATCACCTCTGTTTTGTTTGGATCACCATGTGGCAGGGATTGCACCCAAACAATGAGCCCAAGTTACAGTTCATGCATGTCTTGCATCCCACCCTGTGCATTGCGGCAATTCCATGCATCCCCTTGCCTGCGTCCCAAACCCCCTACATTCTATTCCGTACATCTCTTGCATTCCGCATTCTCTGCATCTGTGGCATTCCACTGTATCCTCAGTTGCTTCATACATCTGGAATTAATTTCATCTTCTGCAGTTCATGCATCCCTTGCACCCGCATCATCCCTGGCATTCTATGCATGCACATTCTGTATACTCAGTTGCTTCATACATCTGCAATTCATCACATCTTCTTTCCACATTCACTCTATCCCCAGTTTGCATCGTACATCTGCAATGCATCCTTGCAACTCATGCATCCTTGCGTCATTTACATCACTTGCACTGCATCCCTTGCATCCATTGCATCGTGCCTGCATTCCTGGCAGCCCATGCTTGCCTTGCAGTTTGCTGTGTATTTCCATGCACCGTTCCTTCACTTGCTTCACTTGCTTCACTTGCTTCACTTGCTTCACTTGCTTCGCTTGCTTCACTTGCTTCACTTGCATCACTTGCATCACTTGCATCAGTTGCATCGGTTGCATCACTTGCATCCCTGGCAGATGTTGCATCACTTTCATATATTGCATCCCTTGCATCCCTTACATCCCTTGCAGCCCTGACATGCCTGGCATCCCTTGGATCCCTTGCATCCCTTCCATCCCTTATGTCCCTTGCATCTGCATCCCTTGCATCCCTTGCATCCCTTGCATCCCCTGCATCCCTTGCATCCCTTGCATCTCTTGCATCCCTTGCATCCCTCGCAAGGGATAAGGGATATGCATATCACTATCCCTTGCATCCCCTGCATCCCTTGCATCTCTTGCATGTCCCTTGCATGTCCCTTGCATGTCCCTTGCATGTCCTTTGCATGTCCCTTGCATGTCCCTTGCATGTCCCTTGCATGTCCTTTGAATATCCCTTGCATTGCCCTTGCATGTCCCTTGCATGTCCCTTGCATCCCATATTGCCTGCATCACCAGTCACGCTTGAACATCTCAACTCTTCGCACTAAACCTCCGTGGATTTGTCTTCAAAGCTGGGAACGCACACCAAACTCCGTGTTTCTTCTTTCACCACTCCCGGAGCACAGCTCCTGGTTTCCCCAGGAGCTGACTTCAACGCATCCGATCAATCCCTTGCCTTCACCTCCGCTCGCTTCTCGGCGACCCGGCCATCCAGCTCCTGGTGGATGCGATCGGCGCTTTCCTTCTGTCGGGTTGTTGGTTCGTAGGCGGGAGTGATTGACTCATGGCGCTTTTTGCTTCGCGCTTTTTGTGTGGGTCCAGAAATTGTTTTGAGGGCGCTTGTGTGGGTCCAGATTTTGTTCGAGGGTAAGCAGGGAAGGAGAAGTGGAATGACCACCATGAAACATCCAAGTGGTTCCCTTCAAGGGAATTTGCGGGTTCATTCGGGTCCATGTTGAGGGTTTAGGGGGCCCATCTTGGAGGGGCCACCCCAAAAATGGGATGTCAGGGGTTCTTCGGAGGGGTCCCTCTTAAAGACACAACCATTTGTTGCTTTTTCTTGGGGAGGGGGGGGGTACAACCTGAGGGTGGCGAAAGGGCTGGTACTTTCCAGAATCAAACCTGTGAGAAGCGGGATGAAACGTGGCCAGGGGGGAGAACAGGGATATGTTTCCCCCCAAAAAAGAGGAAGGAAAACATGTTTGTTCAATAAAAACCACGAAGAAAAGAACAATTCGCCTATTGCGGCTCTTCCACTTGCTGTCAACATTAAGCTCCTCTGTACCTTGGACTCCATTTGCGTCTTCCATCCTCGGTCTTAAATTGAAAAGTCCCTGCTCCCTAATTCCACGCCCAACCCAAGCGACCCGCGGCCTGCGGCCCGGGTGTCTCTTTTCGAATCAAGCCGAAAGGAAACTGCCCGAAAGGTGGCCATCCAACACCTTGAACTCCACGCAAGTCCATGTGAGAGTGAAGCGCTTCTTTCCTTGGGGGAAACAAATACAGAAATCACATATATATATATGTATGTATGTATGTATGTATGTATGTATGTATGTATGTATGTATGTATGTATGTATGTATGTATGTATGTATGTATGCATATATACGAACATATATATTTGTAGAAGGATTTGCAAATTTACTAAAAGAACCATGCACCTCCAAACCGGAGGCTTACAAAACGGTTGGAAAGACCCCGAGAAAGACCTCAAGACCCCGACACCGACCGCGCCGTCTCGCCGTCTCCTGGACCCGCAGCTGCAGCGACTCCACTTCCTTCCGCAGGTCCTCTCGCTCGATAAGAGTTCGAAGGAAGCCGAGGGAAAGAGGCCGCCGGTTGCTGTTGCCCCTTGAGATTCAAAGACAACCCTGAAACGTCCGGTGGTTTTTTCCGGCCAGAATTGTGTGGGATCCTCACTGAGATTCAGGTTGAAAACCCGGAAGCTTAAAAAAGGTTGGGCTTTTGAGGGGAGAAGGAACATTGGCTATGCTCTGGAAAATGGGGAGATGGAAAATGGGCAAATTGGGTAGAGTGAGTAGATGTGGTGTTTTGCCCCTCATTGAAAGAAAACCCTGAAACTTCCGGATGTTGCTAAGGGTAGATGGAAAATTGGCAGATATTCTTCGAGTGAGTTCTGCTGAAGCGTTAAAAAACGCGACAACCAAGGTCTGTGGAAAGATGTTTCTTGGGGCCCTTTTTGAGATTCAGAAAAAAACTGTTAAACTTCCGGTTAGTTAGTTTTTTTCCGGCCAGAATTGCGTGGGCCTTGAGGGGAAAGGAAAACCGTTCAAGGAAATGTTCAAGACTTTGAGACAGGGTGTCTTTTTCGGCCACAAGCAAAGGGAAACTGTTCACCATCTATCCAGATATGAAACCCTTGTTTGCCCCTTTCTTGTTTGGACTTTTGTTTGAGGGTAACCTTTTGGGGTTGGTTTAGACAGGGGCTAATCCAACGGCAAACCACCTTCCATATTTTGAGGACACACCCACCTAAGTTCTGTTTCGGGCCCCACCCAAGCCTTCTGCAGCCCACCGTTCTTTGCGTTCTTTGATGCGGGGGGCCTTTGAATGTACCATCCCCTTACCGTAGTTATAACCTGCTGACCGAGTAGCTTGAACACCCTGATTTACGAGTTTGGGGTGGACCTCGCTTGATACCAATTGTGACTCGTGCAATATGTGTGTCCTCATTTGCCGCTGTTGCGGTTGCTGTCACCGTTCAAAAGTTCGACTCTCATGACTACTCAAAATATAGTCTTCCACATTGGCAGCTCGCGCCCAGGCTTGGTTGCAAAGGCTTAACAGGCTTCGCATCTGTAAAGAAATGTGATACTTCACCTGACGATGGGTGGGTTAAATGTTAAAACCAGGGGCCCTCTTTCTCCCCTACGGCCCCCAGAACCTCTCGCTCCCTCCTCGTTCTCCCGGGAGAGGATGGCACTGTCCTGCGAGAATGGATGGCCCTCCATGCCCTCCGTGGCTGGTCTAGGGTCCGAAATGAAGATGCCTCCAGACCTTTGCTTGCCCCGAAGATTCACTCACAGCTATTTTGGAACATGGCTGGTGAAATCTTCCAGATAGGGAGATCGAAGAAGGCACTCCTCTTTGAAATGATGTCTAAGTTCAATGAGTGCGGGTAGATAACGCTTCCATGGGGAAGTCCGAAATGAGATGATGTCTAAACTCCAGGGGTAAAATGATGGTCCCGAAATTCAAGTCACGGAATGAGAACCAAAGATCCGGGAAGGAGCTGAAAGTGGAAAGCAATCGATCCAGTGTTGGCTGGATACCTGGCACCCCAGCCCGAGGGAAAAAAGACCCCGCCATCTCTACACAGAAACCATTGTACAAGAAAACGTATAGATAAAGCCCAATAATATCCTTTAAGAAATAATACTGTAAATAATATTGTTAAAAAAAAGATAATCTCTTCCAGTCAAATCATTTAGTATCATTCCTGGAGGAAGACGATTATCATTTCATTGAGAAAGACATATGTTTTTTTCTCTCTGACTCTGCATATTTAGACCCTGAAATATCCTAAGGTGTCTTTGGTTGGGGGTCCATCTTTCGCGACTACGAAGGGCCCAAATGCTCGGCCGGTGTTTCTTGTTCCGGTGCCCTGGCCAGGGGATTCTGCGACTTACACTCAAAGGGGCCGACATCGGCGAGTCCTCTTGAGAACCCTTGCCAAAAAACAAAAACACCCGGTGCGGAAGCCTTTGGGGGGGGGGGGGGCCAACCTAAAACCCCACCCTGTGCAGCTTTGGGGGGGGGGTCATTCCAAAATATATAAATGAATAAAATAAATAGATAAATAAATAAAAATGGGCTGCGTTTTGGGGTGAGCAACTCCGCTCGTCCTGCTTCATCTGCATGGAGTCGTGGAACATCTGGATGGCCTGCGGGGTTGGGGCGATTTCGCGCGTCGTCTTCCGGAGAAATGAACATCCCCCGTTGAGAAAACCCGGGGGCCTGGGACGAAAAAGAAAAATGAAAAAAACACGGGGAGAGTTGGGGTTTCTTACTTGGAGGCCAACTTTCGGGTTCCCTACTTGCGAAGTCTGAAAAACAACCGAGTTGGATTGCTCCGTTTAATGGTGGAGGAAAAGCTGGAAGAATTCCTTCTTCGTGCCTTGGACTAGCTGAGATGAAAGGCTGTCCCAAAATGCGCGGGCAACATTGGGCAAAGGGCGGGCCTCCCATTCCTGCGCTGTCCGTTTTCAGATCCCCTGCTACAATTTACATCGCCCAAAAGAAGCACCAAAACGGGATATACAGGGCCCGTTGGGGAATCAATGTTGTTTTGTCCTTCTCACGGACTCCAACTCTGCCCACAAACACCGCGAATCTTTGCCAAACATGCGCATGTAGCCAAATTGCCTCCATTCCCAAACTGCAAATGTAGGAATCTCCAGCAAACGACCACGACATGTTGGCTGAGCTGGGTTTGGACTGCAAAGAAATCACCATGCCCCAAATACAACCGGGGCAAAGTTCAAGTCATCTGAAAGGCGGTGAAGTCGGTCCTTGCCAAGCATGCTTCGTCAAGCGTGTTTCCACGATTAGAGTTAGGCCCGGTTATAAAATGTATATTTTATTGTTTGCTTCACTTTGAGTCACTGGTAAAATGTAAAATGTATCCTAAGTCTACCCCAGTTTCATTTGCAGGGAACGTCTTAAGAACCTCATGGCTGGCGGCCCTATCCCTCCCATCCCATCGGCTCCCATCGAATCGGCTCCCACCGAATCGGCCTTGGCTCCCAGCTGCAAGGCGGAGGCGTCGGACATGGCAGGGTCCAGGCCCTAAGTCGTTTCGGTGGGCAGTTCCCTGGGCACGGGGCGTTTCTTTGGCTTTTGGCGTTTTGAAACCACCACCACGGTTCAGTTTGGTCATGGGGTCGTGGCGTTTTCCGACATCCCACGCTCCAAACCGAAACGACGAGGCCATGGGAGTTACCAACCATGAAAACCATGGTAAATTCAGGAGGAAAAACAGGGGTTGAGTCCGGTTTCACCAATGGATTGTTGCTTCGAGCCCAACCCATCACTATCACGGCATGAGCGGTGAGTGCGCGCAAGAACAGCGAAAAGCGCGCCCCCAAAGACTTGCCAGATTGCTTCCAATTGTTCTTTCTGGTCTCCCTTGAAACCGTATTCAAAAAGCCACCAGGCAAATCAAAACAAGCCTTTTTTTGGCTTAACAGCAAAAACCAAACACCCCCTCCCCTAGGTACAATCCACGTCATATATATATATATATATATATATACGTATATCTATATATATATATATATTTATATGGTCAACCCCTCCTCCCCCACCCCCCATGATCCACGTCTAGAATGTGGAGGGATTGATGATCTAAGATGAAGGAGGCTGCATTCTTTATGTGGCAATGAAGCAGGCAATCTGCCTTGTTTAGCAGATTTGCTTTCTAGATAAAACTTGTTGATTGCTAGATGGGTTTCAGAAGAAGCAGACTGAGCTTGTTCGAGTGCTTTCAGATGAAGCAGGTGGGCTTCATCTTCCATGCAACACAAAACAAGCACCTCTCAGCATTTTGCGCATCCAAGACAAAAAAATGTGCGGTTCCAAGCACCACGAGAGTTCTGCGAGGGTTCCGGAAGGGTGTGATGCTGTGGAATGTCGCCCGGGCTTATTTCACATTTCTATTCTCCCGCCACATGCCTTGTTCCTTCTCTTGTCATCTGTCGCAGAGAGCTAGCTTTCACTTACCCCATAGCGACAGGTTTGACACGCTCACAAAGGGGCAACTGCCTTCCTCTCCAAAACCCAGATAAATTTCACGCAATCCCGTCCGGCCAGCCAATGACTGAGATTCAGACTTGCAGCTCGTAGTCGTGTCGACAATGTTAAGCTTATTTTTTCAAGTTAGATAAGTGCATGCGTGAGCACGCTCATCTTGCACAAACCATTAGCTTTGGAACTAAAGCGCGCAGTCTTGCTGACCGAAGGTCAGCCTAGATGCGCAAGATAAGACTGGGGAAGAAAACTGCTCCTCTGCCATTTTACGCTTACACCTCGGCGTGCTGGCCTTGCTTAAGAACGTTTTCACCAGATCACAGCTATTTTCTATTGCACCTCAAGGCGCTTAAGCTAAGCTTAACTTCTGCACAAATAGCAAAGGTATGCCTACAACTAATTCTCGAGGTTTATGCGCTTGTGCGCTTGCTTTCGTGATACGTTTGGCATCATTCAGTTTAAAGGCCCCAATGTTATAAAGGAGGCCAGGCTCGTGAGGAGCTTTGCTCCGAAACAATGCTGGCCGGTAAACGTTAAGAATCAATCTTGCAGGTCAATAGATTTCACACACAGCTTGCTAAAGGCTTGGAGCTCCAGAAGAGCTTGCAAACAATTGAAAAGAACATTCAAGTGTATAGGGTTGTCGTGAAAATTCACTAGCCACCTCTAGGTCCAATTGATGAAGTCATTTTTGCTTCAAGTAGACGGCAGCATTGCAAACAGGTCTTATGGCTATAGATTCAAGTAAACCAGTAGGATGTGGTTAGAGAGAACTAATTGTTGGTGATCGTCAAACATGCAGAACATCCATCTTGATAGATAGCGTCCCTAATCAAAAGTGTAACACCATATTCTACACCTCTCTCAGTCAAAGCTCGTCAAGCCTTCTGCAAGGCTTTCTATCCCTTGTACAAAAAGATGAATGCTCATGGCCACAGCCAGTTCATCTGCTGTCCATCGATACTTGTGCTCTTATAGCGGGGGGGCTTGCTTTGTCTGAATTCTTTGCGATAACTTGCGAGTTGCCTTGCTTGCTTACACTTGATGATGATGATGATGCTGATGATGATGATGACATATAGACCTCCTATTGAGAAGACCAGCTTGGGTGAGAAGCTTGTCCAGCAACTTAGAAAGGCCTGCAAAATTATCATACAATCTTGGTGGTAGTAGCCTCACTTGTTTCCCAGTTCTTGACACATTAGCAGGAGATGTTTCAGTCTGCATAAGCGCAAATGTCATCTCTATTACTGACAGTCAAATAACTTTATCTGCAGACTCATTTCTATCAGGTGTTTCTCAGCTATAGCTGTTGGATTATCTGTAACACGTGTAGGTTCTATAGCTCGATGGAATGGAAAGAAACTAGTGGCAGGCTTTTGTAAGCTAGAGCTTGCTCAATTGGTTGAATTACAAGCATTCGCTACGACTTGTAGACATTTTAAACAACCCAGGAGATCTCCAATAAGTTTAACAAAACAAGTTGGCACATGTGTCATTAGCTAATCAAAACCTTCTAAGCACTTTAGCAATTGAAGATGTAGACCTCTTTCTCAGTCTCTCTCTCGCTCTCTCTCTTGGTTTACGTGCATGGACGGAATTTGGTGTGGACTAGGTGTGGAACGCACTCGGCCAAGCATTCCCCGTCAGGGGAAGCCTAGCATGGCTGTGCAGCAGCAGTCTCCCCTCCTAACATACAAGAAGCGCAAAAGAGTGCCAGGGCCACTCACGAGGTCGAAGAACATGATTCTTCAGCCGCCTCACGGGTGCCTGCAATACAAGGGGCGCCACGTGTGCCACCGCTTGGCCATACGCCACCAGCCAGTCAAGAAGGACTTGAACGTGCCGCATATGCTCAAAGTCCTGTCTTGTGCTGCCAAGCCCTCGTCATTACCTTGCCGCCAGGGCTGATTGCCGCGGCAAACAATTCAGCACAGTCCGCACTGCCATCTAAAAAGCGAAACCCACTGATTAGTGAGTTGGCAGGGAAATTGATACTTGTGGTCGCTAATGACTCCATGAACTTTGTATACTCAAAAGGTGGATATTTCACCGTGTTGAATAGCAGGAGGAGCAGGATAGTTTCTGGGCACGCTTCCAAAGCAGCTCGACATTAACTGCCACTAGAACAGGTATATGCCACAGGTGTGAACAACACATCTTCAGTAGCAAAAAGATATCAATATGTTTGACATAGAACCGGCGAAACCGGTGGTCGGAAGTTTCTGAAACATAACAACTATGGTGATGCTCTTTTGTATGTTATTGTTTGGTGTTATCTTCTTTCTGTTCAGAGTTTCTTTTGTTCCATCTTTCATTGTGTCCTGATTGAGTGTTTCTTTGTGTCCCTCTTTATGTTTTCTTTATTTTGTTTTGTCTTTCTTGTGTTCGTTCTGTCTTTCTTTATTTCTCTCTTTATCTCTTTTATTAGAGCTTTCTTTCCTGTTATGTTCTTTCTTTCTTTATTGTCTGTATTTCTGTCTTTCTTTATTTCTTTACTTCTATTTGCACACCGATCTATTTATCTATCTACCTATCTGTCTGTCTATCCATTCCTCTTTTTTGCGCTGGAGGTTTCTGAACAGTTGTGATTTCGGAGCTGGAGCTGCGGGAATGTACTTCGCGTACAACTTTGGACTGAAAAGTCGCGAGTCTCGCGCCAGAGCGTGGGAACGCACTTCGTATACTCCTTTGGAGCCCAAAAGATTTCAAGTGTACAGGCATGAAAAAGCACCACTTGTCTGTCGTCCGCACACTGGTACCTTCTTTGAAAGGAAGAGCATGGACAGTCAGGTTTGTGTACGAACGTTTTGGTGGCTTCTCATGTTGCGCAAGACAACAAAGCGTGCAAGGCAGCATGCGGACCTTTCTTGATCCAGTGTAGGAAACATGCCCAAGCGGCGGAAAGTCTATACAAGAGGCCGGCTCTCGTGTGGTGGCGGGCTGCGCCTGATGGGCACTGTTTCGCCGTTGGTGCCCACTGTTAAGAGGACACCGTCGAAATGGAACACTTCTGCGCCGCAGAGAAGTGAAAGGGAGACAGAGAAAAGAAATGCCAACAGACATCAGCTTCAAGTAACAGTCCTTGTTCAAGGAAAAGCCTACAAAAACCGGCGAAAGAGCCATCCGTGTGACCAACCTTCGTTGGCCAGGTGCGCTTGGCCCAGGTGCGTAGCTCCATTCTTGAATGGCCCGAACTATTTCCTGGGGCAGCATCCCAACAAAAAGACCAGACATACCTAGTCCGCCTAAAAAACAATGCAACAATGTGCTGGGCCAACAGCTGCATATCATCATTCCTGGCAAGACATGACAGTTGTGCATGCTAAGTTAGCCCACATGTATGGGTTTTATGAAGGTACCACTTTGCATATTAAGAAGTGCGTTTAGTTGCTTAGCACTCTCATGTTTTGCAGATTCTACCAGGAAGCAGATGGATGAGGTTGTTTAGAAGCATTTTGTTGGAGCTTGCATTTTGTAAAGCAGAAGGTTGGGCCTGCTCGGCGTGGATCATTGGGGGGGGAAGGTGAGCATACATGTATGTATCTATGTATATATATACATATATATATATAGATATATCTATATATATATATATACATATGTTTAAAAAACACAAAATGTGTATTTTATATATATATATATATATATGTGCAAACCGCCGGCCCTTCTTCGACCAACCCCGTTTCCCGTGTTTGCGCCCACCCAGCGCCGACCGAAAGCCGACAGCCGACAGCCGCCGAACGCCGCCTGCACCGCGGCGAGCTGGCGATCTTTGGCCAGGAGCTGCTGCTCCAGCTGCGCCTCGATTCGAGGCCCCGGGTCGCGACCGGCAGCGGCAATTCCAGGCTGAGCGGCCGAAACGCCCGTGGGGGCGAGAAGGGGGCGAGAACAAGGAAGGGCTGGGGCTTTAGCCCCCCCACGGGGCGAAAAGAAGGGCGTGGGGGTGGGTTGTTAAAGCCCCAAAGACTGGCTCGAAATGCAGTTCTGCGTGGTCCGGTCGGGGTCAAAGCTGGCTCGAGCCCTTCGGTTCCGGTTCAAAGGGTCTTGTTCTGTGGGTTTCCCGGGTTACCCCGGTTCCGATGTTTTCTTGTTTTTTTTGTTTTCCCCCCGAAGATTTGTTATTGAAGTTCCACATGCCTTTGTTTTGCAGATCTTGGTAAACAAAAAACAACCACCAATCAGAAGGGTTTTTGGAAAGCCGATGTTTGAGATGCCTGGACCAAAGACCAAAGAACGTAGATTGGCGTTTTACTTTCGAAGACAGTTATAGGCTTTTTAAACTCATAGTGTCATATAGGGATTCGCTTAGACCAAAGACGAGGTAAGCCCATCTGCCCAAGCTGATGGCAAGAACCCTGAAAAGCCCATCTATTGGGGACCCGGTTGGTCCCCTTTTCTGGCTTCCATGTCGCAAGGGAGGCCAAGATAATGAGGAGAGGCAGCCAAATGGCAAGGACTTGAAAGAACAGCCTGGATGATAGTCCACAGAACCCCGTCCGGGATAGTGGACAATGGGGCACTGAAGCCAGGCAAGACCCAGCTACATCTTGGGGGGACAAAGCAGGGGGAAAACAGCCCACCCCACAACAGACACAGCTGAGAAAATGAAGCGGACACGGAAAAGAACAAGCCCCGATGCTTGTTTCCTGATAGACTATTGTGGGAATGTTAAAAGTGGGCCTGCTTTGGACTGCTTGGGGACCAGCTCAGAGTAGGAAACCATCTGAACCACTGTCAATCTTTATTGTGCAACCAAATGGTTTTGGATTTTGGTGAGTCACCCCCATTTCTGAGTGGTAGTTTGGTGAAACCCGATGTCATCCCTTTACAGTAGATGCGGGTTTGTCCCAAAATCAGGATTCGGACCCCCAAGATGAGTGGTTTCCATTTTGGTTCTCATTTAACCCTAACCAAAAGGGAGGGTCAACTCAGAAAACGACGAGCCGCCCATGTCGGTAAGTGACCGGCATCCAAAAGACACCCAGGAACTCCTCCGAACGTCGGTCCGCCTTGTCCCTCCGCAAGTCTGCCACCAGCCGTGCCTGGCGAAACGCGCAGCGATTGAGTGGCCGCCCAATGGGTCCTTTTGGAGAAACAGAACTGAAATAGCAAAGCTCAAAAATCCAGGAGCTCGGCAAGTGAGTAAAGAGCTTTTCAACATCCTTGGCACAAAATGGTCCTTCCGTAAAGTGATTATAGTCCAGGAACTCGGGGGGCTGAAGAAAATGGGTGTTCGTTTTTGGAGTTTGCACCTTCTCAATGAGCTTGGCAGTGTTCAGCGGACATGTGGTCGGACGAAGAAGAACAAAGAAGACGAAGAAGACGGAAGAAGAAGGAAGAAGAAGGAAGAAGAAGGAAGAAGAAGGAAGAAGAAGGAAGAAGGAGGAGGAGGAAGAAGAAAGAAGGAGGAAGAAGGAAGAAGAAGGAAGAAGGATGAGAAAGGAAGAAGGATGAGGAAGGACGAAGGAAGGAAGAAGGAAGGAGGAAGGAGGAAGGAAGAAGGAAGAAGGAAGAAGGATCAGCTTCCCTCTCATTGATGGTTTGAATCGACGCTTAGGTTGGGCGGGTTCCCGTTCACCCTCAACAACCAGAGGTTCAAATCCCCAGTCCCCACCAATCCAAACCACCAAGTAGGGTCAACCTAGGTCACCTTGGATGGAATCCCTGTTGCTTTCCTCCACAGAACAAGACCTGAGTCGCAATGGTACTAAAATGGTCGTAATCCCAGAACCATGTACAGGATTAAGAAGGCGGCCGCAGCTATTTATGGCTGGGATCGCCCCTTACAAACCTTCATCTACCCGGGGTTTGATTGTGGCTCTGATATCTCTCACCATATCCGCACACGTGAGATCTCTCTCACCGGGTGTTCTGTTTGACCTGGTGGTCCCAGAGGATCGATTTTTGTTGGTCACAGAAAGTGGCCATGAAGCCTTCCCAGTTTCCCACAGCCCATCGAAGACATATCAAGGGGAACACGAGCCAACTACCATCCACACCTCTTGCAACATGGGTTCTCAAACAGCGACAAAAACAACACGGTCTGACTGCAAAATCCCTTTCTTCATTCTTTCAGGCATTCGCCTTCTTTCTTCACAGACTCCCGTTGGCTCCTGGAAATCGATGACAGATTTACGAGATTCTGAGAACTGCATCTAGTGAACCTTCTGCAAAGAATCTGCTCGCTGAGCCCCAAAGTCTGTCCTTGTCTTCTCCCTACTGCCTCTGGTGTGGTTTCTCCCAACTCGAGACGCTGTGAGGTTGGTTGCTGGATATGTCTTGCCATATGCTTCCAAATCAAACAAAGCTCGAAAAAATAAACCAAAATAGGAGCATTCCTGCAAATGCCTTTCGTGTCTTATTGTCATATAGACGTGAGATGTGTGTACCATCAAGATTTGCTTAAAGATTCATCTCTCTATATCTTCGCACAAGCATCCCTGCCCCCAAGACCCATCAAAAAGGGTTCTGCTTTCGGTGTCCCTTCAAAACCAAAACAAAAGCTTGGCTTCAGCAAACACACAGAGATGACCACACTCTTGGTTTAGTCAATTTGGGGTGTCCAAATGCTTTGAACCCCCAAAACGTCTACTTCGGTTTTCTATTCTTGGCGTCAGACACACTTGGTTGGGACAATCTTCGGGGTCTCAAAGGCGTCCTGCGCGCGCGCCTCGGGCTCCTCCCGCGCCTGCACTCCCGGAAAAAACGGGAGGTGCGAAGGAACGCTCCGATGGTTTTTCCCCCAAGGCTCGAAACATCAGCTTTCGGGCCAGTTCCCCTGACTGACTGACCCGCCTGATCATTTGGCTTCCACGGTTGGGGTATATAAATGATTTTCAGATCGGAGGCTCGGAAATGATGAAGGGCGAACCTATGACGCTGGAAACCCGTGAGAAACCAATGAGTTTCCCTCAGTAGCAGGGGATTGTATCTGGAAACCAGACTCAACTTGTCCTATCGAAACATCTGGGAAACCTATGGGGTATGGATGCGAATTTAGGTCAGAATCGCCCAGAAACACAAACTAGAACCAAATAGGGATAGGGTGCTGCTGATCGGGCAATTCGATCCATTGAAGGAAAAAAAACACGATGGTTTCCTGGGATCTTTGAAGATAACCGAAAACTGCCCTGTGAGTCCGATATTTGGTCAGTTAGCTCCTGTTGGCTCAAGCATCAACAAACGCACAAGGAAACACCTGAGTGCGAACCTTCTGTATATCGCCCAGTTAGGCTTGGTTCTGTGGCACACGGCACACGCATACACGCATACAATCTCACACACACACACACTCACACTCACTCACACACACACACACACACCAAGCAACAACACGTAAGAGCAATGATGGCGTGTCGATCAACCTGCAGGATCAAGCCAGCGGGTTCGGATACATTGGGAGCTTTTCTGTTGCAGCTTGTCTTTTGGCACCAGCCGGCTGGTCTGAGCAATCTGGTGATTGCGCTTCTCTGTACGCTCCGGCTTCGCCAGAAGCAAAGAAACGGTAAGTCGGGATGGACGTACATCGCTGGTTGCTCCCGTCTTTACATATGGCTGAATTAGACCGAGCTGGGTGAAGAGCCCTGTAAGCATCTCCACCCTGCTGAAGATTCATCAGCTTGCGCTTCTTGCGCTCAGCATGGGTTGCAGGCGAAGACAAAGCAATAGTAAATGCCTCCAAAGCCCAATTGGCGGCCATACTGGCAATACTTGCCGCAGCTGCACTGCAGGTTCTGCGGTTCACCAGTGCTTGGTGACCAGTCTGCGGACCGCAGAGTCGTGTTGCCAGCCTGGTGGCCCTTTGCAGCTGGCTGCACGCTTCCTCGCAGAGTAGCTGTAGCTGTGGCATTGGTGAAGTTGGTGGAGTTGCAGCCACGGCAAGAACAGGATTGGCCAAACCAAGCATCCTCCAGCTTCTCACACGTGAGGCCGCAACTGCAAGACACCAAGTTGCCCCAGTGTGTCTCATTGCTGGGAGCGATTTCTGAGCCACCAAGGGCCACCATCAGCAGCATGGGCAAGGCACGAAGGCTCGTCACGGCCATGCTGAAGAAGCGCTAAGAGCTATCTGACGGAATCTAGCGAGCCAGTCTGAATTGCGGTCAAATTGGCACAGTCAGCACCCACAAAACAGAATGGACGGACAAGCACTTGGTCTTGATTTCCCAGGAACACCCTTTCGCAGTGGCAGACTTGACGCCATGTTGCAGAATACTTTGCCGTGACGATTGACACCAATTTTCGGTGATGCCGGTTCAAAACTAAATGCCCTCATGTTGCCCTCCCAACTCGCATGGAAGGGGTGCCGCGTACACCCTCTGTGTTCACCTGAGGACCCCTTCAAATGCAAACCACTTCTCTCCGGTTGACTTTGCGTCCACCCCAGGTCCTCTGATGGGTGGGCGATGCGTTCACCCACTACCCCACACCCACTACCCCACACCCAAAACCCACACCCAAAACCCCCCCCACACCTACCCCTCCACCCCACACCCCACCCACCCACCCAACCCCCAGCCACCCCGCGCCTTGGGCACCACACGCTGCAGCTCCCGGATCTGCTGGTCCCGCACCCTCACCAGCGACGACATCAGCTCCAGCTCCTTCTGCTTGGCCTGCGGAATGCGGCGAATGGATCCATTCGGATCCAGCGCGTGGCCACTCCAGGACCTTCAGCCCGCCTCCAGCAGCAGCCGCTGCTCCTCCTCCTTCATCTGAAGCTGAGCCGGCACGTAGCCCTGGCGGCAAACCAAGTTACCAAAAAAAAGCAACTGCTGGCCTTTGAGCGCTTCTCCATCTGTAGACCCTCTTTCCTGCTGTAGAACTCATCTAGAAGGCTTTTCAGGTCAAGTCGCTCCAACCCCGGCTAGTGCGCTTCTGGACGAAGAAGGTCCCCCGGGAAAAAACAAAAACATGAGCAAGACACAACCCCGGGCCAAATGGGATGGGCTCCATTCCCCGAAACATGGGCGCTCAAACCGCACCCACCAAACAGGCAGAAAACTGGATGGCCCCGCTGGCGATTGGGAAGCCAAGCTGCAACTGGACTCCATCTGGGCGTGTCTCTTTTTGTGGGGGAACCTCCAAAGTGGATTTCGTTGGTCCTTTTGGCTTTTCTCTCCACACAAGAAAGGGGCAGAACAAAATAATATCTTGGCTTTTCAAGATGAGGTGAACTCCAATGGCTTTCACCCGACCCCCCCCATCCCCAAAATCCACTAAAGACGTAAATATGGGATCCCATAAGACACCCCATTCTTTTCCTCCCCCCCACTCACCCTCGTCCACACCCCACAACATGGCTCTTCCAGAGATCGACGCCGTGCCGATCGCTTAACGATTTGAAGATGAAGATGGTGGACAAAGCACCTAGTAATTCGGTGCAAGAGTTGGTCTATCCAAAAATACTCAAAGATGGAGTTTGGAGCGCCAGCTTGAGGATGCACAAAGCATTGGACAACGTGGAAAAGCAATTGAAAAGAGATTGTGAGTGCAAGCAATGGACATGCCAAGGCACCGTGTGAGGGAGGGAAGAGTGTGCCAACGAGGAATGTGAGGCTCGTGAGTGTGCATGCTCCGTATCACTCATCTGCATTGCTTTGCGCTCCCCTGCGAAGTCGGCGAATTTCAGACCTTTCCGTTCGCTCCAGCCGAGGCGGAACAAGTCGGCCTCCAGCGAAGCGCCGGCTTGGAGCGAGTGCACGGCCTCGCGCGCCGAGCGAGGAGGAGCCGGAACCCAACTGGCGGAGTGGACCCGAAGGAAACCGAAGGACGCCTCACCCAGCCCATTTGTAGAAGCGGAATCTCTGTTTTGAAGCGGACCCCGAGTTGCTTTTGCAGGCTTTTGTGAATTTGCTGCGGAGCAAGCTGGGTTGTCCCAATGAGACACAAGCGAAAACACTGCCATGCAACGGGAAAATATTCTCCCTCCAAACGTTTGGAAAGCGGAAAACGCTGCAAAGGAAACCCAGAGAGATTCAGACGGTAGGTATCAATGGCGTTTCTGGCTGTGGATTTGCTTTACGAATGCAGGCTCTGCACTGTTATATTGCATCGGCCGAGGTCTTGCCGACAGGGGACAACATGAAAACTGGTGTCCCAAAAAGGCTTCTCACATACTGCTCAAAAAATCATCTTCAAAAAAAGCGGTGGGACCATAGGTGTCCTTTTAGGAAAATAAAATTGCCTGCTAGATGATTGAACCGCCAGGTAAACCAGGAATTGCCTTTTCCATTTTTCAAGCAAAACAAGTTCAAAAAGGACACCTATGGATGGGAAAAGGTTACCCTTTTTTGGGGGAACTGCGCTCCTGGTACATCGATCCATCCATCCTCTTTTGACAAACTTTATGGCAGCTGGCTCTTGTTTCTTCTGGCTGCGGATAGATACATGCACTTGATCATAGCCAAAAGGCGGAGACCTGTCAACTCTATGCAGGCCCCCTTGAGGACATGCCCATGTGGCAATTCCTCACACATGTAGTGCCATGCCATGTTCACCTTCGATGAACTGCAGGCACATCTCTGTACACAATTCTTGAATTCTAGGGCCGGCCAAGTGCTTTGTACCCAGGTCAGCACTGTTCTTTGCTGTTCCTACTTTCTCTAATCGTATCTCTCCCTCATGAATGCGTTGTTGCAGCCAAAGGAAGCATCTTGATATATGCTTTGCTTTTCCATGTCCTCGCCTCGACATCAGAGCTTTCGCTGCCGAGGCGTCGAATACAAGCACCGCTTCAAAATCGCAACCCAAATCTTTCATCGTCGAGATTCCTCCAAGAAGTGTCGACCCAGCTTTGATACCAGCGTAAAATTCGCTTTCGCCTGAAGACAAAGCAATCACATGCTGCGTTGCACTGTAGAATTTCAACAAGTGTCGCCCATGATATAATGCACCACACGATGTGGATTTCCGAGTCTGCACGCACCCACCATCGTCTGAATCACTGTACATCCTCAAACATGTTTGCGTTGGTTGCTCATCATACCGCCAGACCAACCTCTTACACCCAGAAAGATATCTCACCAACCGTTTCAAGCCATTCCAAGAGCCCTTAGTTGGGTGTTGCATTGACCTCGCCAGCTCCTTCGATGCGAAGTGAATGTCCGGACGGTCCAACGCCAAATAATTGCACCGCATTACCAAACTCCTATATTGTGAGGCATCCGATGGTTCCAACGGCGTCACATCTCCACCGTCATTGGAAACTCCGGGGCTGCTGACTGATTTGCCTTGCTGCAAATTCAGAGTGTTCACGAGAATTTCAACGTGTCTCGGATCTGCCTCGATTGTGGTTGCATATTCACCATAACACACAAGCCGATTCAGTACGCTCACTTCTCGCACGTCAGGTTCATCAGGCCCAAGCAGGCCTCCAAACTTCAGCTCGTACCTCTCTTCCAGCATGCTTTTCATCCAAAACAAATCATCTTCAAAACCCAAAGTTGTAATATCGTCTCCGTGGAGGGTCACCTGCAAATCCCTCGTCTGATTGCAGAATAGCACCGGAGAGCCAATGCCAGGGCAAAATCCTGCTGTCGTGAAACAGTCCGTTATCTCCAATTCCCAACAAGCAGCAGCGTCCCTGCACCCATACATTGCTTTGTTGAGACGTCCACATTTGCCTGGCCCCACACCTGCTTCATCCGGCAATTGCACGTAGACCAACCTAAAAATCTTCGCCGTCCAATGCGCCCTCCGAACGTCAAGAAACATCACCTTCTTGCGGCGCCCTTTGTGGTCTCGCTCATTCCCAGACCTCTGAAGACTCAAGAGCATCCTGATTGACTCCAGCGGCGGCGTAGCAGCAAAGATCGCCTCGATCTCCGAGGATCTGACCTCTTGCACGACCAATCTGCTGCGGTAGTTTGGTCGGTTGATGTCGCCCTTGTCCAGGTCGATCCAGCGCGTGCTAATGGGCGGCTTGCCGGTTGCTTTGTAACACTCGTCCGTGTCAACAACCGTCCAAACCTGATACCGCTGAGCATAGTCGATTTCTTCTGCCCGTGCCGCCTGTACTTTGGATGCTTCCAAAGCTTTCCCAGAAACCTCATCCACAAAAGTGCACCAGTCTTCATCCGGAACTGTACTCAAATCCAAATCCTCCTCCTGGTTGGTCGGACCAAACTCCAAAGCGCTCATGGGGATACGCTTCTTCAGTTGCTTGCGCAGTCCACGCAAAATACTGCGAATAAGAGGTCGGGGGTACACTTCACACTGCTTTGCTTTGCCCCCAACCAAAGGAACATGCCGATGCCAATTCCTCCCTTCTCGCACAAAATAAAACAACGTCTCTGTTCTGTAACAGTTGTCCGGGATCTTGAAGTGCAAGTCAGAGCGGGAGGCGCTGTGTACATCTCGAAGATCTTGCAGCAAAATGCCATTGCTCAAATCCAAAGTCACCCTCCTTGTTACACTCTCCCAACAAGGACCCTTTTGTCCAGGCATCCGGCCCGTCCTGGCACCGTCATCTGTACGCCTCCAAACAGCGATAGCATCAGGATCATTTGAACATCGTTTTGCAAGTTCCTCTGCAATACACACACTGTCTGTCAAGTATGCCGTCGGTTTGCGCACACGTCCAACACCATGCTCATCTTGTATAAACATTCCTTGCTCACACATATCTCCGACCACTTTCAAAACACCTGGAAGTTGCTCCACCTCCTTCACACATTCGTACTTCCAAGAGGCCGCCGTCTCCGGATGTTCATGCACAAAATACTTCCCTCGTTCATGTTGTCGAGCATATTGTTTGCAGCAAAACTGTAAATGCTGTTCACCTTCACGAAGTTTGCTCTCCATAATCTCAGGGTCGGCTCTGTCCTTGTTCAAATTCTGCATTTGCGAAAATGGCCCACATGGCGGGCATCCAATCAATAAATCTGGACTCAACCATTCAATCAGATCTGCAGCTCGCTTCCGCACTTCAGCAATTGTAAAATCCCACGGGTTGCCGTACTCATCGCTTGTAGTCAGGTCTAAAGCCACGCCGCTTCCTATGCCACGTCTTCTTGCCTCGTCTGAAACTCTCGGCGGTGAGAACAGCTCTGCAATAATAGGCTGACCCAAATCATAAGCATCCTGCACCGAAATGGCCCCCACTTGCAGAAGAAGACGTCGATCTTCGATGTCCTCCTCCATCAGCAACATAGCAGTCTCACAGATACTCGCTTCTCGCACGGCTTCCTTGAAATCTGTGGATTGCCCTCTGCTCATCACATGCAAAGCACCAATCTGCATAGCAGGAGCGCTATCGTCTCCAGCTGAATTCTCATCACTCATCAGCACAACGTCATCTCCACCTCCACCTGCAGCTGTACCCATATCTGAATCCAGACCACCTCCCAAGGCTGCCTCATTGCGAACGGCCCCCTCGGATACTTGGCCCGAGACATCCCCAAGTACAGCGTCCACCACATTGCCAGGGTCATCCGACTTCGCAGACTTCCCCTTCTCGCATTCCACCTGCTCCTCAGCAGACCTCTTCTTTCTTTCTTCGCTCTCTTGCACTGCCACAATGTACCGCTCCTCACGCTCTTTGATGCGTCTCACTCTCTCCTTGCCCTCGTCGGACTTGCTCATCTCCGCCATGATCCTCTCCTTGCAAACACGGCTGTGCTGCTTGTGGGACAAACCATGTCGAGCTCGCTCACAGCCATCACATCCTTCAGTGTAACCATAAGCTTCCAGCTCCACATCTCGTCTAATATAAATGCCCCTCGGCACGTAATTCTTCTTCTTCTTCTCGATCATCGGCGGCTCACCTGCATCATCTACTTCCGGTAAGTCAATTTCAAGCCGTACATCTGGCAGGGCTCGTCGTACATCTGGCTGGGCGTCTATCCTCGGCCGGAGTTGCCATGGCAAACCAACAAAACTGCTCAACTCGTCCGCTCTCCACTTTTCCTCCTCCGGCTTCCTCTTGATCGTCCATGTGCGCACCACTCCTTCTGCTGTCCCAATCCACCTCATCGCTGTGCCCTCCTGGATACCCAGGTATATTCCTGGCTCAAACTTCGCCTCAAGTTTGCTCCGATCTCGCTCTCCTTTCAGCGGCTGATACCAAACGCACTCACCGAACTCGGGCAGCTCAATCCTCCACTTCTTCCCAGTCGATCTCTCGTACGGTGTAAAGCCATCTGCACCTCGTTGAAAACGGGAAAGCAGGGTTCCGCAGTAATCGACCAGCCAACACAATATTGGGTGTCTCGGTCCAATAGAAATTCCGTACCGAGACTCCAAGCTGCTCTTCAAAGTTCGGGCTTGCGCCTGTAAACGACCAACAGCAGATTCAATCGGACCATTGGTCTGTGACTCTCCTTTCACAGCATCTTCAAACCCAATACCAGGTAAACGAAGCTGTGCCGCTGACCTCAAGGCAACCAGCGATCTCTCCGTGTCCGTCTTCAGCACCGCGTCTTGCAGACCCAAACATTTCAAAAGCTTGACCACAATCGCCGTGTTATACTGGTGGACCACACCCTTGCCAGGTAAAGCCACAGAGAAAACCCTCTGAGACTTCTCATCTATAATTGCCAGCAGAGGTAGCGCACTGTCATCTGACTTCTTCCCCAACTGGAAATAGTCCATGCTCACCCTGGGTCTTGCACGTCCAGCCTCTTCTCGACTTGCTCGATTCTGCTGATGCTGCAACGCTCGGCCTTTGCCTCTAACGCAGTGCCCGCACCAGCTCCTGTACGGAATGTGGCTGATGTTGTGCTGTCTCACCTCATCTGCAGTTGGCTTGATAGGAGACCTTTGTCCCAATCTCTCACCAACCTCTTCAAATTCTTCATGCAGCATCTCTTCCGGTAAATCGCCCTGCTCCTCACCCAGCTCAAAGATACCTGGTTCAGCATCCTCTCCTTCACGGCTGCTGGGCTGGTACAGGTCGCTCCGTCCATCGTCGTCCTCCACGGGCTTCGGCTGCTCATCCTCGTTGGCACCAACTGCACCAATGTCTTTGACCGGACTTACAGCATCCCAGGGGACATCATCTCTCAACACTCCATGGCCTCCACAATCGCCTGCCTGCCAAAACCCACAGAATCAGCACCAAGCACCACCAACTTCTGCACATAGACTCCATCCACCTGGTAAAGTCTCATCCGCTCACCTGTGGCCAGCTCCTCGATATAGCTCACCTTGTCCTCTGCTTCCAGAACGATCCGATGACCTCGATTGGCTACCTGCGCAGCAGACATCAACGGCTTGTGAACATCCGCCACAGAAAACTGCGTAGCTCGAACCTGTTGCTCCTCTGTCACCACCACTGGAACCACTTTGGCCATCTCCGGAACCAACTGACCATTTGCAGACAAGAATGTCACACCAGGGTCCGGTGCTTCATGATCATAATCCTCAAACGTATGTGCAGGACAAACTGATGCCGCGGCTCCACTGTCCACCGTAACCAAGATCTCACGACTTCCCGGTCCATGGACAGCTCCTCGATTCTCAGCTGATCCCCAACTGCTCATTGCATTCGTTGCAGAATACCAGACCTTGCGACCCAATGCACACAGATGCTTGATCACCAAACTTCCCATCGGGACAGAAGAACCAACTGTCGTCGGCGCTGAGCTTGTTGCTCCCCCTTGTGTGGTCCCTGTTGGCGACATAGGCATTGACATCTGTGACTGCGGGCTGGTAGGCGGGTTGCACTGCCTCTGGTACTCCTCCATGGCCGCTTTCGCGTAAGCTGACTGCAGTTGAGACAACCTGGAATCTTGGCGGGCATCAACGGTGTTGAGGGCCTTGGGTTTGGACCAGCAACTGTCCTTCGTGTGCCCTGTTTTGCCGCAATTGTAGCAAACAGGACCCTTTCCGTTACCTCCTTTCTTCCCTTTTGATTTGCCGCCATCCTTACCCTTGCCCTTCATCTTGCCTTTGCTGCCGTCTTTTCCTCCTTTGCCTTTGTCATGGGATTTTCCTTTGCCTTTGCCCTTCATTTTGCAATCTCTCGCCGAATGCGGTCCTCCGCAGTTGTAACATCCACCTCCTTTCTGCACACCCACAGAACCAACATCCATTGACGTAGAGGATACGGGCACCACCTGGTCTAAGTAAGCAAACACCTCTTCTCGCAAGCTCAGATACGTTGTGTAACGACCTGCATTTAATTGCAAATGCTCTCTCAGCTTGGAAGGACACATGTGCACCAAGGCTGCCATCTTCATCGAATCTGAAATCCGTTCTGATCCAGGGGCAATCTCATAATCCACGATCCTGTTCTCCCACGCCACAACCTCAGCTGCAAGCCTTTCCAGTGCGACCCCTTCAGTAGGGTTTGTTATCCGGATGAGTTGCGCTCTCTGTCGCCCAATCGTCACCGGATTGAACCTCACCTGCAATAACCTGAAGGCTTCGAACCCGTTCGGCCTCCGAGCTTGCCGCACCAAACTCTTTGCTTCGCCAGCCGTGTACGTGGACAAGATTGCAAATATATTCGTGTCCGCATAGTCCAGCAACAATGCATCAATGTACTCAAAATTTGCTTTCACCTGCTCGATGTTCAAAGCAATTTTCGGTTGCCGCTGCACTATGTCCTCTAAAACCTCATACACCCCCGGCATGGAACTGTCGCAAAGTGTGATCACAGAATCCGTCCAATCCTGAAAAGATACCTTGCTGTCCGTCGGATTGTACACCAGAGGTTTTGCCAGTGCACGACCATCGACTCCACCTTGCTGAATAGCGTACGCAACTGCAGGGCTCATCTGAGGTAAGCCACCTTGAACTCCTCCAATGTTAAAACTCTGTGATGCGCCACCCAAATTCGGTCCCGCTGGGGGCCTTCCCGGCGGGGCCGATGGCACACCGCCCGCGTTCGCTGATGGTCCGCCCGTCGGGCTCGATCCTCCGGCATCAACCGAAGCACCCAATCCCGTAGGCTGACCTTGCAAACGTCCCCGCACTGCATGTATGGATTGACCAAGCTGTTGTATCTGATCCTGTGTTGCTTGATGTGCTTGCAAAACCTGGACCATCTGATCTCTCTGTTGCTGCTGTTCCTGCGCAAAACCTTGTTGAACTTGCGTCACAACTTGTTGCACAACCGCCTCCGTGATCTGTTGTGTTGTCTGAACAGCTGCGCCAGTGCCCATAACTGCTTGCCCAAGCTCGTCAAGCCTGCCACGTTGACTCTGCTGCTCCTGCAAAAGCTGTTGCAATGCCTGCGCAATCTGTGTCAAATCCGGTGTGCCTCCTTGGCCTTGCAACCCGCCCGGCTGATCTGCCATCTCACTGTGATAAGACTCCACCACAAAGGCCAGAACCAGGGATAAAGCTGCAAATGCCCACGCACACCAATTGCAGGGTCTGAACCGAGTGATTCCCAGGTTCTTGTACCCCAGGATCACTGTGTCAGCAGAGGCTGCCTTCAGGTAGGCTTTGCCTCGAGCTCCAGGCGATCTATGGCTGCTGGTTCCGCGGTCCAGCTCCGCTACCATGACAAACTTTATGGCAGCTAGCTCTTGTTTCTTCTGGCTGCGGATAGATACATGCACTTGATCATAGCCAAAAGGCGGAGACCTGTCAACTCTATGCATCTTTGCTTCGATTCGACTAGACCCGCCTGCCGCAGCCGGAAGCTCTCAGCCTGGCAACGGGGGGCAGAGAGACGAGGGAAACCGCGCTCGCTTTGGGACGAGGCACCCCTGACCCAAAAGGAAGTGGTTGATTTAGCATATTTGTTCAATCTGGGTATGGTTGTCAAAATGTCCAAGGCACCAGGATTGTTTGAACTCATCCTTCAATCTGGGGTATGGTTGTCAAAAAAATCAAGCCACCGGGAATTGGACCGCAGGTTTTGGTGTTGGTCCTTGGTTCCATTGTCAAGGGGGCCCTCCCATTTTGGGGTTAGCCTATGGTTGACCCACAGCCAGACTCCGGCTTAGATCTGTGGCTACAAGTTTTCATGGAGAAAGATCCATCGCAAACAGACAGGCGATCAAGTTCTTCCGTCGTGTACCCATTCTACGACTCTTAAGAGTTGGAACCGCCAACCAAAAGTGGTGGGCATAACTCCAGCCACCGACTTCTGTCCACCAAAGGGTCCCTACTTAAAATTGACAAATGCAACTTTGAGGTTCGTTGACCCGAGTTACGGCGCTGAATCATTGCTCTCATAACCAATGGATAGACAGCCTCCAAGGCCCCGCGCTCGCTTAGGGACGACCCCTGACCCAAAAAGAAGTTGATGTTGAACTAGTCCTTCAATATGGCTCTGGATGTCGAAAATAGGGTAACCCCAAAATGGGTTGCCCTGGTCAATGATAGCATGGACTAAGACCTGTAGTCCAATTCCTGGTGGCTTGAAATCTTGACCCATACCCATATGGCACCTTTTCTCCGCAATTGATTGTGCATGGAACCCCCCCCGGGTGTTGAACTTCCCATGTTGCACAAGCACCCCCCTTACCCGAACGGGACGGGCACTGGCAAATGGTCGCGCAAAATCAGGCCAAAGTCATTTATTTGCACAGGATTGTGATCATCACTTCATCTGATGTTTAAGTACCTGCGACCCCCAGTTCGTGCTTTTTTTCTTCTCCAGTTCCCACTGATGGCTTCTTAAAAGACCGAGCCCTTGGCATCCCGCGGTGGATCACGCCTCCATTCGCCTGACCTCCAGCTGGTGCTGCTCCTGCCAAACCCGAAAGCTCAGCGGGTCCCCCCGGAAAGCTCGACCTTCCCGGAACGCCTTTGGCACGAGAAGTGGTAGCCACTGAGGGCATAAAACTGTTGGAGAGTTGCTGATGGATGTCCCGAAGAATTCATCACTTCATCAAACGGGCCATCCAAACTTGAGAAAAAACCCGCCGCCAACGCCCAACGTGCGGGCTTTGGTTTCTCTCGTCCAAAAAAGAAACCCCCAACATCTGCTGCGGGTTCGCGGAAGCAACTTGAAGATGTGTGTTTCAAGTTGCGGTCGCCCAAAGATCCGGCTCAAAAAACTCCGCTGAAAAAAAGAGAGAGGAAAGCCGCGATCCGACGAACGCAATTGTCACTCCGCCAAGGCTTTTCCAGCTGGGTAACTGGCTCCTCGGTTTTTTATAGGATGGTCCGCTCCTTTGAAACCTTCGGCACGCTGAATCAATCCTTTCGGAATCCCATCCTTTTCCATCGCCGTTCAAGGTTGACATGATCCCAAGCAAAGCCAAAGGATGGCCATGGGAGAGCAGCGAAAGCCAGGACGCCAGGAGCCCCTTCGGTGGACTCCCAGGTTCTCTTCGGTGGACTTTCGCCCCTTCGCCGAAACCTTCGAAGTGCCGCGAGTGGGCCGAAACCTTCGAGTCCTTCGCTTTGAAAACTGGGGACGGGGTTCTACGGCATGTCCGGAAGGCTGTGTGACCTGACACATCCTTCCGGGTGGGGCGGGCAGCCCGAGGCGGTCCTTTTGGATGTTGAGAAGGTTCTCATACTCCAAAGTCGCACCTGACGTTGACGGCAAACCCGAAAGCCGGTTTGTTCATCTCGCAGAAAACCCCCCCGCAACCCAATGGCATCTCCCAAAGGATTCGTCGATTCGAACTCATGTCGGTTTGGGGTTTCGTGTTAGCCAGGAGAGGGAAAAAAAAGCCCTCAGGAAACGCCGCGGGTGGGTCGGTCCATCGAGACAGCTTTGTGACAACCTGCGGCGATTGCAAGCTGGAACAGCTGACAAACAAAAAGCTGCAACACACCAAGGAGCAAGGATGAAACGTGTCCATGCGGCGGTTGCTTGACTGATCACTCATGCTGGTGCTTCATGGACAGAGGGGAGAACATTGTGGGAGTGCTCATCTTGAACCCCAGCTTTCAGCCTCCCTCCGCTTTGTAACACGTAGCCAGGTGGAGCCTATGGAACCTCAGAAGACACGAGCCCTTCAATGAGACGCCTCGGCTGAAAACCTGGCTCCGGGTCGAACGAGCATTCCGGCTGATGAAAACTACGGAATGTCACCCATGGGAAATGATCTTTGGCCAGAAAACTTGCCCCAGGAAGATGTCCATCCTATCTTTTCCGAGTCGATCTTGCGTTCGGAAAGCAACTTGGCCCGACTCCTCGGGACACCAAACCTCAAATATGTCCAAATCCCACTTCACAGTTCGACCCCGAAACCCCGAAACTCCGGAAAAAATACGCTCCAAATCCACATCAAACCCCCAAAAAAAATGAAGAACAAAACCACAAACCTCGTTTTTGTTCCTTCTTCTCTCCTTTTTTTCGTTTTTTTTTTTTTTTTTTTCCGCGTGATCTTCGCTCAGGAAGAAACACCTCCGCCCAAAAACGGGCTGCGCGCCGGGCTCCAGAGCTGGGCGCTGAGCTCGGGCGCCTGCGGTCTCGGCGTCCGACGAAGAGAAGCGACGAGGGAGAAGAGCCCCAACAGGATTCCCCTTTTTGACCCCAAGATAGGCTTAAACCCAGAGATTCCCTTTTTGAGGGTCATGACGCACCCCTGGGTTTAAGTCTACCCTGGGGTAGTCAAAAAGTGGAACCCTGCCCCCATGTGGCTGTGGATCAAAAGTAAACCACCAGCGGACCGCAGGCTTTAGTCTTTGGTTCCATTAGAAGGGTTCCATTTTGGGTACCTTTTTGACCCACTGCCATGTGGCTGTGGGTCAAAACCCCGGTTAGCCCCCAGTGAACATCCCAATCCCCACTAAAATAGGTTCTAAAATGGGTGGTGCACCTACCAACCAAAATGGGATGCCATTGGTTTGGACAACCACCCATACTGTGGATGGTTGCGCAATCCATTTCGCACCACCTAAGAAACCCTGGGAGGATGCTTACAAAATCCATTTCTCACCTAAGAAACCCTGGGAGGATGATTACAAAATCCATTTCTCACCTAAGAAACCCTGGGAGGATGATTACAAAATCCATTTCTCACCTAGGAAACCCTGGAGGATGATTCCCCGGTAATTAAATACCAAAGACAAACGGTTTCAACCATGGTTTCAAAGTGGTGCGAAATGGATTTCGTCCATCCACAGTATGGCTGTGGTTGTCAAAACCGTTTTGGGATCCCATTTTGGTTTGTAGGTGCACCACCCATTTTTGGGGATTGGGATGTTCACTGGGGCTACGGCATTTTGACCCATGGCCATATGGCTGTGCGTCAAAACCCTGTACTGGTGAACATCTCCTGATAGATGGTACATGGGTGTTCATCCGCCCCAAAATGGAGGCTTAGGTTGTGACCCATGGCCATATGAATTTCAACCAAACAGTTTATTCAATTCGGGGGTGGTTTGTGTCTTTAGAATAAGGGACACCACTGTCTTAAACTCGGGGTCTGGTGTTTGGCCCAAGTAGCCTGATTCCCCAAACCCGGGGAGAAGCACCCCCTATGAATAAACAGGGGTTGATGAATATGGGGTCAACATTAAGAAGAAGAAAGAACCCAAAGCCTTGCTTTCATTTGAAAAGGGTCAACTACTGATGCTTGAAACAAATCGAAATCCCTTCGAAAACGAGATGCTTGACAACATTCTTAGCTTTAAAACAAAGAGGGGAATCGAATAATTCCAGGGTTTCTGAAAGGTGATGCCAAATGGACTTCGTCCATCCACAGTAACGTCTCAAAAGATGTGTCTGGGAAGTACGTGTTTACTACGAGGTCAACGAGGGCTCGAGCATCACACCAAAGAGGAAATTCCCTTTAGGCCCAAGGTGATGTCATCCGCCAAAAGAAGAAAAAGGAGGCCCTGCCAAAGCTGCCTCTCAGCACCGAATACTGCCTTTTGGCCCAAACATTTTCCAAGGCTATGAATCTTGACACAGGTGTCCTTTTGGCAAAATAGAACATGTTGAGTGCTTGGCAAACCAACAAATCTAAACCAGTGGTTTACCCATGTCGAAAAGGATACCTATCACTGGGCTGTCCTCAGATCCCCCGCTAAAAGTCGAACTTTTAGTGGGTTAAATGGAAATCCAACCACTAAAAGCCTAAAAGGCTAAAAGGCTAAGGAACCGGATGGCTGGGAGCCACCAAGATTCGGACGCCTTCGAACGAAAGCCTCTCAGAACCGAATCGCAGCCGCCCACCCCGAAGCCACACCCCCCCCCCCGCCGAGTCCGCCGAAGGCGTGGAGCAGCTGTGCTCCGACTGCGGCCAGGCTCCGGGGAGCGACACGGAGCTTTGCCGGGGACGTTGTGGGCCAAAACCGAGACTCAGTTGCCCAAAGGAGCCAGAACCAAAAGGTTAACCTTTTGGCACCTTTACTAAAGATGGACCAAAGTGGGGAAACCAAAAGGTCAAAAGGTTGGCTTTGGGCAACTAAGGATACCTAGATAGCCAAGTGGCGGTTTTTTTTCAGTCACTGTTGCTGGTGTTTGGGGTAAAGTGCATGGAAAAAAGAAGAAGAACAACAGCTGGCGATCCAGGTTCCAAGTATACAAAAAAAAAAAAAACAAGGCGCCAGAAGGGAGGCAGAGGCGGATTTGTGGAGATTGGGCTTCTGCGCGGATCTCTGGAGGATTTGTGTGGAGTGTTTTTTGTCTGTGGGGATTTGAGTATATGGGATCTAGAGGTTCACCCCACATGGCCGTCCCGTTTTGGATATGGCGGCCATGTCCATGGCCGACCGCCGAAACGGCAAGTTGGTGTTCGAAATGGCAACCCAAAAATAGAAGACAACCAAAAGGATGTCCGGGGAACCAGCCCTTGGTATGCTTTCCATTTAACCGTTTGGGCATCATTTGTCATTTTGGTTGGGTTCGTGTCCACCAGTTGAGAGGGTGTTCCCCATTCAAGTTCGCCAAGTGCTCACGTTGGTATCGTGATTCTCACAGGCTGCTATGGCTTCCGTTGGTTCGAATATACTGAGCTCACTCATGTGGGCTGCGCCGGGGTCACTCGTTCCCTTGTCACAACTGCTTTAGCAATCCGGGAACCAATTTAGCTACTGGTGGACGTTACCCCCTACCAGACTACAAGAACCAGGGCTTCAAATCCAAGTCCAAACCATCCAAACCACCTCACGGGTTGCCTGAAATTTGGCTCAATTCACAAACCTGAAGATGAGTGCATTGAACTAGGAGCCTTCTTTGCCGCCCCCCCCCCCCCCCCCAGGCAGCCCCAAGTCATGAGGACGCCAGGCAGCTGCAAAGCCAGTGTCGATGCCGCGGACCCAGCCCATCAGCGGGCATCCATAAACCTTTTGGGCCTGAGGACACTTTTGGACCCACTAACGATCTGGAGTTTCTACTCCGAAACCTGAAATTTGGTAAAGGTCCTGCAGGTAAGAGACCTACATGAGCTCGCACCCACTACACTCCAAAATGCCACGACTTGGTTTTCCCTAACCCGAGCATGGACCCCAAAAAACCCTGGCTTATCTTCATGATTCCCAAAAGATGGCCACAAGAAAGTCCAACTCAGACACAAAGCAGGTTCTCAGGCGCACACACACACAGGCTCATACAGCCTCCACGGGGGTCTGTGTTCTTTTGTAAGGTTGTAGTTCCATTTTGGGGCTGCTTAAGGAGAACTAACGGGGAAACCGTGATGGCTGTTCCCCTCATTTGGAGACAAGCCCATTCCAGCGCCAAACTTAAACCTGAACCAAACATATGATCCGCTGTCGTTGTTCGGTCGACACATCAATGAGGGTGCCGCAACCGTTCTGGGTCCCCCCTGGCATAATGAACCGCGTGTACCCGAACAACCTCCAACATACGCCCGGAAAAACATCGGAGAAAAAGGATCACCGCGCCACGCTCGCCATGTTGGCGGCCCGCACACCGACCACCCCGAGGGTCGAAGCAAGTCGCGCCTGGGTCCACCCCTGGCCTGGCGATGCTAAAGGATGCAAGGAGAGTTGTTTATCAGATATGGGTGGATGTTTTCCAACAGTGTAAACAAAACCCCCATGTGGGGTACCGTTGTTCAAAAAAATCTAGTTGAGTCAGCCACCGTGTGACACACAAAAAAAAAAAAAAAAACCTGACTCAGTTCGACCCAAAGAATTCAAGGGAACCCTGGGGAGGTTATGTGGGAACCAAAGATATCTGAAACCTTCACGGAAGGTCAGCAAAACACGCCGCACCAAACTCATAGAAAACCTTGTTACAGGATGCTGGCTGTGGCTCAATAAAACGGTACCAAAATGGCTTGCCCTGGTAAGTGGAAACATGGTTGCCAAAACCTGCGGTTTGCCCCTGTGTAATTTTGGTTGCCACCCCCAAATGGCTCCTGTTCGAATGCGGGAAGACTGAGGCGCTGCCCAGAACCGAATGCTATGCATTGAAGCCACTTTCCCAATTTCAGAGGGGCACAGGTTCTCGAGAATTCATTGTGTGGGGTGAATGGTTGTTTTGCGTTGAGGATATGTCTTTGCAAGCTTGGTCTAAAGGGAAAACAATGGGACTACCTATGTTGACACATATCTGTATGATTTGCAACTCTTTGGTGGGCATCATTTACATGGGGATCGTTGCCCTCCAACCATCTGAAGTCCCGCACAAGTACTTCAATGTGAACGTTGGACTCGATTGTCCAAGACTTGGGTTCGGCAGTGGCAGTGTTCTTTGTTTTGGCGGAAACCAAAAAAGAAACTGAGCATTCACTGTAAAGCCCCCACATTCTAACAGGCCAAGTTGGAATATCAAAAAAGGCGGAACTCCCAAAATGGCGAGCGTTCCTCATGGTGGCATTGAATTTTAATGGGGAACCCTCATCTTGATGTCCACCACCGTCGGCTCCCCCGCTTAGGGAGTGAAAAGTCTCTATATGCCTATCGAAAAGGTCGGGGGTGTCCAACGGACCGGCCTCTGCGGCGTTTTTTTTGGGGGAGAACTTCTTGGAAGTCCAAACTGTTCCACTAAAAGAGTGACCAAAACCCAGGGACTTGGGGAGTGACACTTTTAGGGGGGGCCAACTTTGCCTCTGTGGAGACCCCGCTTGCCCCGTCTTTGCAGGCCTTCGAGCTTTGGCTCGGGCGAGCCTGAGAGCGACGACTCGCGTCGGAAGAAGCGAAACCGCGGACCAAGAAATCCAAAACCGAACCGAAACAACCAAAACCACACCAAGTTGATTGGTTTCTAATCAACCAATCGGTTTCGAGTGAACCAATTGGTTTCTAGTCAACCAAAAGCAAACATTGGCTTCTAGTCAACCAACACCAAACCAACTTGGTTTCTAGTCAACCGAGACCAAACCAAGCTGGTTTCTGACTCTAGTCAAGCAACACCAAACCCAATCGGTTTTTTACATTCCGGCGTGTATTCTGCCGGGGGACTCCAACAAATTGGGGGTTCCCTTTTGGTGTTGCCGGAAAAACCCATCTTCAAAAGAAGACACACCCAGGGGGCACCAATTTTGCTTGGACCCTTTGCTCCCCGACATGAAGTTATGTTCGGACCCATTCGGGGTGTTCTCGCAAGGAACCAGGCGAAACCCTTCGTTTGCCACCGTGCGGGGGCTGGTCTGGAGCCCCTCGCATTACTTGTTGATTGCCCATTCCACAGCATAGTTCCCACATGGTCATGCTAAAACCCATCATGAAGGCAGTCTTATCTTGAGACCGTCCTTGCTTTGCTCGTAGCATTGGCATTGATACCCAATTTGCCACAGGGGGGGTGTCTTCTTGTGATGGTACCCTGTTTGGGGTTGGTTAAATGGAAAACCAGAAAATTACCTCCATTTATTGGGGTGTTCCCGATCCCCAAAAAAAGAGACACGACTTTTTCTGTGTCTGTGTCAACTCCTAGCTGTACTCTTACATGTCACAGGCCTACCTTTGGCTTTCCGTATGCCAACCTCTGAGCTGCGGACGCCAGGGGTCAACCGTGAGACCGAACGCGACCCCCTCAGCCAACCAGCGGCGGCCACAAAACCCCGCATGCATCGAGGTCGACCCCGGATAGAAAGCGTCACCCAGAAAAGTGATCCGCTCTCTTTTTCTGGCTAAACGCTCAGACCCTGAGATCAAATTGAACCAGTTCGGCGGAATCCGGGCTTAGCATTGAAATGGTCGCATGGAGGGATCCAATGACACAAAGCAAAGAGGACAAGGAAGCTCTTGTTTTATGATTCAAACGTCATCTGTCGAAGGATGCCGCCTTGGCGATAGAAAACTTTTTGGATTGCGAGCTCATCTGAACGGTAGTTCAAGTACTTGTCTGCGTCTTTCAATTGAAATTGAAATGTTGTTGCATACTCTCATCGTGGCCGAGGCCAACAACATGCTTGTTCAAGTCATTGCCTTGAAAAGGAACCCACCATGTCCCATCATTGACTATTCATGGGGTTTCCCCCCCTGCTCGCATTCAAAGGTAAAACCCGGAGCCTTTGTGTCGAACCCTCCCCTCCCTTCATCCGGATGAGAGTGTCTCCCAAAAAGTGCAGGATCGATCCCCTCTGAGTTGGACGATCCCGTTTCCTGAACAAGCAGCACAATATGAGTATCTCAAATTCCCATGTCCCTCACTTTGCTCCCCGAACAAAGGCAAAGGAACCTGACCAAACTTACGCATCTCCTTACGCATCAACTCTTGGGCCCATGTTGGGACCGGCTGCCAATCGCTTTGCATCCGACGAAATCGACCCATGGGAAGGTGCCGAACCGGAAGAACCCTGCGAAAGCAGCCGCGTCAGGCCGGCCTATGTTTGTCATCGGGTTCGAGGTACTCCAAAAAAAAGAAAAGAAAAAGGAAGAACCTGACCCATGGGTGTGGTTCAAAAAGGGACTCCTCAGACACTTAACCTTCATGGGTGTGGTTCACCAACTCCTCAGGCACTTCTCAAAAAACTTGGCTTCTGCACCCCACGGCCCAGCTTTGCGACCACGGGAGTCCCTGGGACTGAACTCCACGAATCCCGAGACGGAGGGGCTGTCCTCTTGGCTTCAACCTGACCAACCCGAAAGGAGTTGGTACCAATTCACGGCGGCTTTGGTGAAACAAACACACGACAAAAAATCGACCGAGCTTCATTCGAATCTCCTCTCAGAAGCCACCCGCCCACATCCCTTCGTCCAATCACCCCCTTGTGCGCCCCAGCCGGACGCATGGCGACAGATCGGCAACCCAAATGCAGATGATTGGCGCTTCGGGTGTTTTTCAGGTCGCCAAAAGGTGAAAAATCCTGAGTAACAGAATCTGGGTTGCTGTTTTTCTGCCAGCCCCAACCACTGCCTTTGTGGTTACCGTACCAAGGGTATTTTGGAAATGGTTGAAGAAGCAGTTGGGTTCCACTCTCATCAGAAAGTTGTTAATTACTACAAAAGAAGCAGTTGTTGGGGAAGGGGGTGCTGGCTTTGAGCGACTGGAAGCCAATTCAAAACGCCCACAGACTCGAATACGAAGTGGCTCCCAAATGGGGAGCGGAAAAAACAAAAAGTGTTTCCCTTGGCTTCCCTTTAAAAAAACATCCACCCTTTCGGTGGTTACCAATCATTCGGAGTGCCGGCAAATTGAAGGTCAGTTTCGGGCGGCGGGGGGGGGGGGGGTCCGGGAGTGCACTGCTGGAGTTCGGTTTCAGTAGCCTTGGCTACACCCCCCGACTCAGTGAACTCAGTCGCAGACTTGTGCTGCGATGCTCGAGCCCAAGGCGCGCAGGTGTGCGGCGCAGCTGGAAAGGAAGGAGTGCAACGTGTCCAAATGAGGAAAATGTATTCCCCTGCAATCATTGCCCCACTCCAATTGTGTTGGCTTCTATTAACTTGTACTCCAAATACCAACATTGAAGCGGCCATATAAATGAACATGGAAACAACAAACAAACAGAAAAACAGCTAAAAGTTCTAACATAAACACAAAAGCACTACCTGGAGCCCAACAGCAAATGGACCCCCACCCACACACACACTCTCCCCGAGCTTCCTGGCAAGATGGCCAAAGCTCGCCGGATGTTCTTCCAAAATCGGGAGACTGGGCGAGCCTTGACACCATGGGGTGGCGTGTTGATTTGTTTTTCTTTTTGTTTTGCTTTTTTCCTTTTCTTTTATGTTCCCTTCGGCCATAGGGGGGTCCAACCTGAAGAAGGACTTCACGCGGTGCACGAGACAGCAGCTTGGTGTCAACCCTTCTGTCAGCACTTCCACAAGCGACTTGTCCATCAGGTCCACTCCCCGCATTTCTTCCTCAAATCTGCTGGAGATGCCTCAAATGGATTGGGTATATAAAAGAAGCGCGGCCTCCCAAAAGTGGGCGGTCTCCTGTGGGCATTCCTTCAACATAATCCCAGGGCTGAGACACGCCCAAACGATGCTTGTTCGCTTCCTTCTGAGGGAGGTATTCCCGTCCAAGTGGTTCCCCCGTACAACCCAAGCGGCTCACAGTCGATGATGTTCCTTTCATCTCTCCCTCCGCCAAAAAAAACTATTTTTCGGACAACCCCCCCACTCACCCGACATTCCAACAAGCCTCCATGAGGTTCACCCTCTTCTCCTGCCGCAGCTTTTCCTCGGTGCAAACCGAATCCGCCCCCGAGGTGGTTCGGGAGGGAAACCGTGTGGGATCGATCTTCGAGAATGCTTTTTTGGAGATCGTTTGGGGACTGGATTTTGGCTTGGGGATTTGGGGATGCAGGGAATTGGCTTGGGGATGGTTTTGAGGATCTGGGGGGGTTGCTTAGCTTGAATCTGAAGGAGGGGGGATGTTTGGGAGCAAAGGGGGAGGGTGGCTGGATTGATGCCCAAGAGACATCTGATACACGGATCTCTCGGGCGCGTCAGCCAATTGGGCCAGAAGGGACCTGCAAAACAAATGTCATGATCGACAGGAGACCGGAAGGAAGCACAAGAAGGCAAACGCTGGTTAAGAAGGCAAGCTAAGTCTGGCAGCGCCAATTGAGGGGGGGGTCTTTGGCAACATGTCTGGCTTTGCTACGTGAGGCAACTGATATTTGTTGGACCTTGATGTCGCCCGCCAAAAAAAAAATCATCTGCGGCGTCCCCAAGAAAAAAGTCCCCATTCCCGCCCAGCGAAATCCCCCTGCGACATTTTGCAAGCAATTCATTTCCCGGCTTCCCGATCTCCACTTTACACCGCCGGTCTGCGGCTCCGAGTGGCTGAGTGGTTGTCCAGGTACTTGTTGGTGACGATGTCGAAGTCTTTGCACAGGAAGGCCGGCACCTTTTTACCCCAGAAGGACCCAAAGGACCCAAAGGAGTTCCATGGGCACGAGTTTGTTTTTTTCTTTTTTTTTTTTTTTTTTTTTATTTTTTTTTATTTAAAAAAAAAAAAAAAAAAAAAAAAAAAAAAAAAAAAAAACATAACATGACCCTGGCACCATGGAAGAAGACCCGAGGTGCTAAAAAATAAGGCAAGGTCTCAGGGTTAGAGAAAGCGCACAGAGCTGGAAAGTTCTCCGAATTCGCCCGAAGATTCCCAGGGCGCGGCTGTTTGGGACATATCACTTTCGTCCATGCTTTTTATTATTATTATTACAAAAATCACCGGCCACTCTCGGTGTCCATGTCGTTCCTCATGCCCAAGCAAATAATGCACGAAGAACCCATTGACCCTGGCCACTTGGGCGCGTCACTCAAGCGCCTGCCGCTTGCCTCAAATTGGGGTTCTTCGAGCCCAGTTTTGGGGCTGGGTTTCCAACCCTGGGTCTACTGTTGTTATCTCCAACCGAAAGGTCGTCTTCGATGTTAGGCCACCCTAGAGAGGGCAGAATCCTTCTGATTCTCCCTCACTCGGGGATGAAGCGCAAGTGCATTAGATGGGTTTCAGAAAATCCCCATGCTTTTCTTTTGAAGTAAAACCCAAAAAAGGGGGCTGCAACTCTCTTTCAAAAGCCATCCCAACTTCAACCTCTCTGCACCTCCGGGCCAACTGAATTTGGTTTATCGGAGCCACCGATTCGAGTGGGACCCGCCTTGCGCACCCGCGGGGACTTCTCCTTGAGGTGCGGCCGCCGGTCTTCCCTGCGCCAAGTTTGACGTCGGCCGGGCATCACTTTTCTTGGTGCGAGCACGGAATGAGCTAGCACAAGAATCCAGAGCTTCCCTGTAACTAGCGGTTTGGTTGGTGGTCAGGGGGTGCCAAGGGTTCAAATCCCCCAACCACCAATCCAAACCACCAATTGGGTAGACTGATCCAAGCATCCTCCGAGGAAAAAAGAGCGAGCAGCCAGTCGACCAGCCGAAGCTTCCTAACAAAAGCTCAGATTGGAAATGCAGAAGCCTTTTGGTGATCAACAAGGCCAGCAACCCCAATGTCCAAGTCCTGCGGGTGCTCAGCAGGGAATGAGCAACAGAATGACCCCCAGAAAAATCATCCCCGTTTTCGTTTCCGGGAGAGTCCCCAAAACCGGCTCATTCCCAACCATCGGGTTTGGGCATTCCCTATCTATCGCACCAGCAAGAAGCTTGCCTGGTGTCAAAAAAGCAGTGGTTGCCAGTAAAACCCAGACGCTGGAAGTGGACAAGTCCCTGCGCTGTGGCTCGCGCCCCAGTAGTTCTCATTTGGGCAAGTAAAGGGAGTTGACTAAACCAAGCTGGCGGCGGAAATATTAAAATTGTGCGAAATATACGTTCACCCAACTGGGAAAAAAAACGCACAGTCCTCAGCTTCGACGCCCAAAAAAAACAGTGCTCTACCATATATACATACATACATATATATATATATGTACTATCATGTTACATGTGTTCCTTCCTTTTCTCCGGAGGGTTTTTCTCAGCTAGCCGTCCAGTCCCTGTTTGCTCCTCCCAACGTCGAGACCGCCGGCTTCACGCCTGGCCCAGTGGTGCTCCTGGAAGGGCATGTTGGACAAGATGTCGTAGTCCACCGCCGTGCCCGGGAAGCCGCCCCTGCCGAGAAAACTTGGGCTTCGAGGCGGTTTGGTTTTGTGTTTTTTGGTTTTGTTGTTGTTTTGTTTCCGCTTTTTTTGGCGGGGGCGAGGGAAGCATGTGTGAGGAATGTTTGTTTTTTTTGTTGTCTCGCTTTTTGTGGGTCGCGGGGGGCGCGAAAAAACGTGTGTGAGGAATGCACCCACAACCCCCGTTTCCCATCTCCAACAAGCATGGAGTCGGGGGGCTGGCTTCTTCTGGAAAGATCAGTCCTTGCATTTGAGGGGAGCCCAAAGAGTTCACCAAAACCCTTGCGATACTGAGAACCAGCCAGAAATCGAGCCGCCGAGTCGCCGAGTCGCCAAGCCACGGAGTTGCCACGTCGCCCCAAACCGAAGGACTTTGAAGGAAACCAAGTCCACCATGGGAGCTCAAAACCCTCTTTATGTGATTCGCTCTACCGAACCCAACATCTGCTCTGAACAACCGGCGAAACAAGGGTGGTTTGTTGGAAGGAAGCCAAAAGCCGAAAGGTTCGTTCACCTTGGGGCAACCGATGTCGGGAGATCAGCTTGCCGAGTGTCCAGACCACATGTCCTATTGCAAGACCGCCCAGACAGGATTTGCCTCAAGCTAAGGAATCTCCAAAATGGTCGGCTTGCCTTTGAAACCACCCCCCAACAAAAAAAAACATGTGTTGTTCAAAAATGAAAAAGACAAACGCAAAACACCCAGGTCTTTTCTTCACCTTATTTATGTGGGAAGACCACACACACACACCTCATCCGGAAGCTGAAAAACTCGCCCAAGCCCGCCTGCCCTCCTTGGTCCGCTCCTTCTGTCCCAAGATGCCAGCGTGGCCCCCCAGCCGCGCCGGGTCCTTGCCTGAAAAACCGCTCAGCTCGGCTCCGCGCGACTTCGCGGCGCGGCGGCGTGCGAGCCCAACGTGGCCCGTGGTTCGTTGTTCGCCGCGCGAAAGAGCCCGCCCTTCAGAGAGCAGGACAAAAGTCTGATGTGTATCACTCTATCAAAAGGAAACCAACACAGGATCCAATTCAATCGACCGCTTGTGCTCAGAATGAGCGGTTCCGGCAACGCACATGGGAAGTGAGTGAGGGATGTTTCGCAAGTGCGTCATCCAGGAAAGGGTAGCAAACTCCCGAAAAGAGGTTCCCGAATTGCCGCTGAGACGCGCGAGTCTGTGAGGCGTCCGAGGAAAAGGGGACACAAAACGAGAAAATGCGCAGGGAGGGGGGGGGGGGGGGGGGCGGCGGGGGGAGACTGGGGGAGCGGGTGTTTGGCTTTAGTGCGAGCAATGTGGGCCAAAGTGAAAGAATCCAAAGGGGTTTTGCAGCTCAAGTTCTCCCAACTTACCAAAGGCAAAGAACCAGAAGCACTCTTCAAAGCCCCCCCCCAACCCAACCACCCAACCACCCAACCACCCAACCAACTCTCCCCCAACCGAACCCAACCCAGCTGCCCAACCCAACCCAACCGAACCCAACCCCCCAACAAGCGAAGGAAGCGAGCCTGGCGCCAGCTTCTCCAGCTTCGACTCCTGGCTCACGATGTTGAAGGGCTGCTCCCGCAGGATCTGGATGTCCTCGAGCTCCGCCCCGCTTTTGGCGCGCGAGCTCCAGCTTAAGCACGAAGGAGCCGAAGAGTTCGCAAAGAATGCGAAGAAGGCATTGCAAAACCACCCGGCTTGCAAAAAAGTCGGGGGGCTTTGCGGGGGAGGGCAAATGGAGTTCGGGGTAGCAAAACCTCCGGTCTTTAGGGCAGAATTCGGGAATGTCGGAACTCGACATCACAACCGTTCCCAACTACATCCCACCTCACATCGTTCATGTGGCCTCGCCTTTTTCTTTTTTTGTAGGCCGCCCTTTTCTTTGGATGGACTTGCTTCGAAAAGGCCTCGCCTTTTGGTGCCCTTGACCCTTCAACAACATGGGTCGCTGGTCGATTGTGGTTGTGATTGGGGGAGAGAGTTGATGTCAGTCACGTGTTGAGAGGAAGGGGGGGGTCCGACGGTTCCGACGGCTCCGACGGCTCCGACGGCTCCGATTCCTCGAGCCCGGGGCTCTCCACTCCGCGCCTTGGCGCGGTTCAGGTGGGCCACCCTCTCCCGCTCCTCATGGTGCCTCTGCTGGGCCTCGCACCGCAATTTAGCCGACTCGCTGCGAGGAGATGGATCGTGTCATTGTTGTTTGGTCAGCTGAAGAAAGGTTTAAAAAACAAAAAACAAAACAAAAGACGGGACGTCTTGGAAAACTCTCCATTTAGAAAAGCATTTTGGAACGTCTTCCGTTGAATTTGAGAGACCCCTTCCGAGGTCCAGGAACACCTGGTCTCGGCGCCAGAAGCCAAAAGCTTCCGATCAGCCGCTGAAAAATGCCCACGGCGTCGAAAATCCAAACGCAAAGCTTCCAAACGAGAAGATCCATCGCTCTAATGGCCTTCCAAACTCGTTGCCGAGAAAAAGTGCCGGTCAAAAAGGTTTCCACGGGCCCCAAACTCGGGGCCGACTCCCCAAGGCTCGCCGGGCGCGGAAGGGCGGAAGCGCGCCAAGGAGGTGGGGCACTTGTTTCTTGCACCCAAAAAAATAAACACAGGGGGTGTTTGGGCAAACAAACGAATCACCAAGTAGGGCCCCCCCAAAAAAAAAAAGAAGTTCCTTCCATATGTCACGCGGCTCCATCTCTCGTTGTCAAGAGATTCAAGGCTGCGTGCTACGGACAGAGTGAAACTCGAAGGCATCGATGTACATGCAGCCCCCCTCCCCCCCAATCCCTCTGCCTTAGGGAGACCAGGAATACGAATTATCCGCTTTGGGATTCCCTCAGTTGGCTGCGCCCAGCCCGACGACTCCGGGCGCTCGAACGCCCAGCCCCTTCCCGAGGCCTCCATGGAATTGTCTCTATACCTGCGCGTCGCGGAGGAGCTTCACTGGCGGTTTCCAGCGAGGAGTCGGGGGATCGCACATCTGCCTACGGATCCCTGGGCATTCCACGAAATCAAACGAGTTTTCTTCACCCCGTATGAAAGTGCAGATATGTCTTGTCTAATCTCACCGCTCTTTCAAAGGAACTCACTTTCTCCAAATTCTGTCCATTTCGCCCATGCTAGGGGAATACCACCCTCTAGCGAAGGGAAGCCCAGATCGGATCATCTACGCGTAAAAAGAGAAATAATCCGGGGCCCGTTGCCGTGCAAAAGGAATTCCAAAAGTTGAAACCGATTTGCCATGTCAGCGATGACTTTTTGAGAAATCCCGCCCCCCCCCCCCCCATGTTTTCGCCCCTGCAAGACTGGTTGTGCCAGTTTAGCGATGACTTTTTTGAGACCCCCCCCCCCATGTGTTTGTCTTGCAGGGCTGGCAGTGGTTGTTCCGCTTGGCGATTCTTCTTGCCCCCGCGCAAGAAAGGGCGGGTCACATCGCGGCCCACTTCCGGGAGGCTTTCCCATTGACGGGAATGATTTGCAGAGCGCAACGTGGTATATAAAATTGGGTGCGCACTTATTTTGGGACTTGTTTTTCTGTTTTTTTTGGGATTCGGTTAAATCGATTGATGTAAAAGGCCTCACAAACCCAGCCTAATGCTTGCAGGCCCTCAGTATGAGGGGAATGACCTAGCACTGAAGCATCCAGCTGGTGGTTGCCTGTTAGAGGGATCCCAAACGGTTCATTCCCGAAAAGTACTTGGCTTTATGTCCGCCAACCAACCCTTTAGGTAGGTGTCCTTGAAAAAGCAAGCAACAAAGGGTTCCATCCCCCCAAAAACCAAAATGGTTTCCCTGAAAGCCAGGCCAAAAAAGGAATCCCCAAAAAAAAACCAAGAGAAACAGCATACCCATTTTTGGAGGCTTCCCCCTTTACAACTCCTCACCTCTTTCGGGGCCAAAACCCGCCTGCCGAGGAGGGGATCGAAAGTGCGCTCCTGAAAAGCGAGGGTTGGGCGCGCTCGGCCCCCACAAGGGGCGGTTTTCTGGTTGGCGTCCCTTTAAAAAGAACGCTGCCCAAAAAAGGTGGCCTTTTACCCTGGAAAAAAAAGGCGCACCTCAAATTGTTACACGAATCTGTTGGTTGAGTCATCTAGATGCGAGTGGATTCACCCACTGATTCCGAGCCGAGTTGCGGGGAAACACGGGAAGTTCATGGCCCTTGGTCTAAATAAGGGTTCTTGGCACAAACAGTCATTCAGGGCTGCAATGGCTCCACCATCATGGGTGTGTCTCAAAAGAAGTGACCTTGCGGAAAATGGATGGTGTTCCGTTCCTTTCCCTTCAAAGTACTCCAGAAAAGGGTACCCTTCAAGGAAAAAATGGAAAAAAGGAAAGAGACACCTTACATTCAGCTTCCCGCTCATTGCTTGGGTGGTGAAACGGAGGGGTGAAACCCATCTACTCTACAAGAACCAGGGACCCGTTCAGCTCCAAATCCAAACCACCGCGCCTGATATTTTTTAGCCGGAGGTAGGACCCTAGCAAAAAGCTCCGTGTTTTTGCCAGGCGAGTGTAAAGCAAAGGGGACCCCAAAACAGCCAGGAAAAGATCTTTGAAAGGGAAGCGAATTCTGGGGAAAATATAACACACATTTTCACCATTTGGTATAGCTGGCTCCCACCTCAGCTTGAAAGGGCCTCTGTCCTGCTTGGCCTTGGTATGCGATATTGACATCTGTAAGCCTTGGATTAAATCCGACAAAACAAATATGTCTTCACGCACTCACCAATTCTCGCATTTGTTACTGGATTGGGAACATCTAAACACCCAGTGTGTCTGGAAAGTAATTTTTAGGCATGTCAAACGAGCAAAAAAAAAATATTCTATCCAATGTCCCGTCTGGAACTTTAGAAGCCGGTGCACACCGAAGCACCGAACTAGCCCAGATCTCTTTCGCTGGCGCATCGTATCTCTCAAGTCACAAGCACTCCAACTCGGCGATTCTCGCAGGGCGGTTCGCCGCCGATGACGCCGGGAGCTCCTTGGAATCGCACGGGACATGCAAAGAGTCGTTGGATATCCGTTCGGTTGACCTCGATTCGCCACCGGTTTAGCTCCACTTCAAACTCTCCCAGCTCAGCTCATCGGAAAGGCCACCCGAAGTCAAAGGAGCGTTTCGCCGGCGCCTCGCCGACAGGCCCCAACCCCCGCCCGCTCTCGTCGCAAAGGATGCGGTGCCCCAGCTGAGCTTCGACGTAGGCCACGCGCCGCAGGAACTCCACTTTGGCCGCCTGGTAAAGAATCTCATCTCCCACGGACAGCTTGGCCACCTTGCTCTTGACGCGATCACTCAGCGTCTCCGCATCGTGTGCCGGGACCTTGTGTGTCTCGTAATGCTGCCGCAAGGCCCGCGACAAACATCTGCAGTTGAGGAGTGGCAGGTAGAGTTGAAATCGCAGCATGCAGACCGAAGCTGCGAAATGTTCAGCAATCCCCACGAACGCCAAACTCCTCATGTTGGCCACCGCTTCGGTGGCGTTCTCCCGAAAGCCCACCGGGTGGTGATGACCACCATGCGGCCACAGATCACGGCAGGTCATGAATCTCACCTGCAGATTGTCCGGGTCGTAACAACGGAAATCGTCAAAACTCCGAATCTTCGGTGCACCTGACTGGTTGGACTCGGACTCGTTGGACGAGTGCAACGATGACCCTTGCAGCGAAAACTCCAACTCGTCGGACTCGTTCCGGTCGGCAAAATAATCCAGCCATCGTTCAAAGGCGGGAACATAGCCCTGCGTAATGTTTTCAGCTGGATCTCTGGGAAAGGCAGTGCGGTTGGTCACACGCTTTCCCCAGTCATCATACTTACACTCCAAATACAAGGAATACACATGACGGAGAGGCTTACGAAAAAGACTCACAACGAACTTCCCTCCTTTTCGATTCAGATCATGAAAGCACTTTTCGTCCTCGCCGGGTGACTCGTACTCAAACTTGAAACCGTTTGATTTGAACTGCCGGTACAAAGACGTCCCGCCCGTTTTGGGGATGTGCACCAAGCTCACAGTAGTAACAAATCTGTTCTTGAATCGCTTCACTGCGATGGGTGCAAGTGTGGTTGTGGTGGTCGTCTCGACGTCCAAGATCTCGATGCCCACATCGGACGACTCGGTCCATTCAGGAAGAATGTTCACAACGTATCCCAGGTTCAGAAGCAGAATCACGAGCCCGTTGATGCCAAGGCAAACTCGGGAGCGTGAGCAGACCTGCATCGCCCGAAAACCTCAGCCAAAAGCTCCGGGATGTAGCCCCCAGGATTGAGGACCATCGTTCACACGCCAAAAAATGCAAATCGGTCTCCTTTCGGAAACAAATCTTCACATTAGTTGACTGCGTCCCACGAACAACGGATTGGATCAGTGCAGATACCTGGCATCCAGCTTCCGGGATTCTGAGGTGCTCGCTTGGGCCTTGCACACCAAAAAGTTGGGCTGCGTTCAAAATGCCTAAGCCTCATCCGTCGGTGGGACACCACTACAACCAGGAAACCCCTGCCATCTGGCATAAGGATTCGGGATTGATTTTGAACAGACATACGTGCGCGGCAAAACTGGGCATCTGTATATAAATGGCTTCACATTTTCTCAACAAAACGCAATACCAAAAGAAGTCGATTTTGGCACAACATATGGCTATCAATCTCAATATGGGATTCTTTGGTGAAGTTGATGTCCACCAACCATTGTTTGCGAGAGTTCCCTAGTACCTTTCATAGCCACAAGTCCTAGTGCTCAATCAGGTTGTGCAAAAACATGCCCGCCCTTTGCCACAAAAATACAACATGCCAAAGACGCAGCCCTTTAACAGGAAACCTTCGAGCCAGAATTTCTGGGGTGACCTTCTCTTTTGACGGAAGCCCTTTTTGGGTGGCTGCCGTTTAATCCGTAATTTCCCTCAAATCGAAGGGATCGGGCCAACTCCCCAAAGGGTATGGGTCAAAACTAAACCACCAGGAATTGGACCGCAGGTTTTAGTACCCATGTTTCCATGGGCACCCGCTTTTTGGGGTACATATTTTTGAACCACAGCCAATTCGAAAAGAACGTCCAAAACTTTCTGATGCATTGGCCACCTCCAAAAGCGTCTGGTCCCTGGCCCTATTTGTCCACTGGCTTTGCTGATTTGCCTTTTTGTTGGATCCCAAAACAGAAAAGCATGTTGTTGACTCTCAAACGCTTCTTCTTGACTTTGTTGGGCAAAAAAAAAAAAAAACGCTCCCTTCGCGACCCCTTCCCCTCGCACCCCATCCCCCCGTTTTCCACCTCGACCCGACGAAGGGCAGACCCAGCCCGACCGAGCGGCGCCTGCGCTTGGAACATGCCCGGCTTGAGCCGCAGCGCCTGGCCGCTCACCAGGCCGCTGTCCACCGCCTGAGTCGATCCGAGAACGCCGCTCGGCCCGCGTGGGAACACGTCGCCATCGAAAGGACCGGAAGAAGAAACACCCGGAAGTCTCCAAAAAAGGCTCGACAAGAAACGTCTGAAGAAAAATCGGCCCCCGAACTTCTGGAGAAAAAAAACGAAAGAGTCCCAAAAGGCGTTGGAAAAAGTCGTTCTTGGAGACGTTTGGAAGAAAAACCGCCAAGTCGTTCCGACCCAAAAGTCTCCAAAAACAAAAACGGATTTCCACACGCCCGGGTCCACACACACCCGAAATCGAAGGAAGACCGGGTCTTTCCAAAAGTCAGCTTTAAAAAAAAAGAAAACGGAGCCTGGAGGTTCGGATTGGGGACTTTTGAACTTTGGCTTCGCGAATTTCTGGAAAAGGAAAGAGCCTGGGCCGAAAAGTGGCCCGAGCCTCAACAAAAGAGGAGAAAACCAACTGGTCGTGTTTGACGAGAGCCCCTCTTTTGGTTGGTCCATTTTAGGGCACCGATTCCTATATCTAGCTGGAGGGTTTGCTTGGCTCAGAGAGCCAATGTTTGAATCAAATTCGAGGTTCTTCTCTCAGCTTCCCAGTGGTCAACATCTACGACGGCTTCTGCCCCTACCCCCCCCCCAACCAGGGGTTTGGGATGTGCAGCTGAAAAAGGCCCCCGTTTCCGAGCGCTCAAACAACGGTGGGTCAAAGGGGCTTCAAATAGATCAGGGAGCAAATATCCCTGGGTCTCCTTAAAGTGGTCACACAAGTCATGTTGTCAACTCAAGTTTAGAAATTGGCCCCGAATGAACAAAATTCTGGGCCAGCCGGACCCGTTTTTCACCCCATGCTAAATAAAGCAAGGCTAATTCAAAAGTTAATTGCACAAATACCAAACCGGCCCCACAGGCCAATCCTCTTGGACTCACATTGCTAAACTACCCAAAAAAACTCACATTAGTAAAACTCCCCAGCAGCTCCGGGGCCAAACATTCAGGAAAAGAAAAAAGAGTTGGGGGGACCTTTACTAATATGAAGTCAACATACATCAAAAACCTAACACACTAAAAGTCTACCAACAAAAACCACTAAAGAATCAAAAGAACATAAAACTTGCTGGTGCGACAGGAATGAGAGTTGGGACGACCCTTGTAAACCATCCAACTGGTTCCGGTAACGGAATCTCAAGGTTCATTCCATTTGACTGTGGGTCAAAAAACAGGTACCCAAAATGGAACCCTGGCAAATGAAAACACAGACTAAAACCTGCGGTCCCCTGCTCCTTTAATTTTGACCCATACCCATTTGTCCATCCCTGCTTATTGCACAGGGATGTCCCTTAAGTCACTTGCTCGGTCTTGGATCGAATCCCTACAGACAAACCAGCCCAAATTGGCTGGGGAAACAACATACATCGGCCAGTTCTCTAGGAGTCTTGCGATGTTTTGCATCTGGGCTTGGGTTGTCCTCCTTGTCAGATGCAAAGTCTGCATGCATTGGCCAATCGATCTCTGGTTGGGTTTCGCAAGAAAAGCCGCCCTAAGCGAAAGAATTCTCATGGCCACCTTGTGGTTTCCAGTCGACCAGGCACTAAACTCAGAAAACGAACACTGGTTTCTTGTTTTGACTCGGAAAACAAACCAACCTGATGTTTTTCTGGGGGGGTCTTCTTTCCTTTGCCTTTTCCTTTGCTTCGCGGGGGAAGGGGGCGGGCTAAAACCTCCTTGGAGTCATAGATGCGTTTTGGTCCTTCCCGACCATCGTACGAACGGCGGGAAGCCCAGCCGCCGGAAAGGCACGTCCGGCAATGATTCACATAGAGACAACCAAAAAGAGAACGAGCCTCACTCAAGGATCGGTCTCCTAGGGGAAAAAGAAAACATTGTGGTTTGGTGTTCTTTCTGGGATTCAAACAAATTATTATTGATAGGGGCTGAAAGTGGTCTGAATCCCTAGAAGAAAAAAAATGCATCAACCAGGAGTTTGTTGACCTGGGGTCAACATGAAAAGGAACCTCGCTGAAACCATTGGCAGCGATTGGTGCTGCTTTCACCCAAAAAAAACGGAAGCGAAAAATCCAGCGACCCCCCGACATATCCTGGCCGAGCAGTCCCGATCGGGGCCCCGGCATGCCGCTTCTCCTGCTCATAGCTTCTGACGTGGTCGCCTCAGGAGCCGCATGCCGCCCCATGTCCGGATCTCGGACAAGCTCCCGACTTTCAGGCGAAGAAATTGGCTTTCTGTGGAAGCAAATCAAGGCTTTCCAGGGGCTTCTTCAGAGATTCATGGCTGTTGAAGCAAAGACAAGGGCGTTTCCAGCAAAGGCTTCATGGCCTAAGTCGATAAGTGCAACTGAACCGAGTCAGGCAGGAGCTCAGACCTAAGTTGGTCAGAAGCCGTAACCTGACAAGGTCCTCCACAAAACCTGGGGGGCGTTTCTGGGTTTTCGATGGTATACCATGGTGAAAACTGGCCATGTTTCACCTTGACACCTTACCTGACACGTTTCCTGTCAGAGGCTCAGAGGCATCCCAACGATGCTGTCACTCCGCGCTGGAGCCTGAAGGAGTGCAAGCTGGCGAAGCTGTGCTCTCTGGCTGGTCCAGGCTTTCTCGGCCGGAAGGTCAATTGAAGAGGGCGGTGCTTCCCTCCAAAATTTCAAGCCCCCCCCCCCCCGAAAACAAAAAACTGAAAGAGGGGAAAGAAAGAGGGGGAAAACACACACACACACACACAACGCCGGGCTTCTTTGGTGAACCCCAAAAGCCGCCGCCGCCCCCCCCACATGCCCAGCGCCGATTGAAAATGCGGCGCTCCGAGCTTCGGACCCCAGGTCGCCTGGGGCGCCTCGCTCGCTCCGATTCGCGGCCCGGAGATCGATCCATGGCTTCCGGGAAAGCGCGGGTCTTTTTTCTGGGGGTGCGGGAGTTTCCGGATTCCCCGGCCGACTTTCCGAGCAAAAGTCCACTGGAATCCAACCCGCAAATTTGTGACGCGCAATGCAACGCAATCCTACGGGAAACCTGTAGGCACAGGGAAACCCTTTTTCCGGGAAAGCTGCGCCCCCTTTTGGCCGGTTGAATCGGGAAGCCAACAGGAAAACCGGTTTGATCCATTTTTAGGGACGTACCCACAAAGAAATTATGCCACAAATCTTGAGTGTGCCGTTCGCAAACTGTTTCATTTACAGTGCAATGCAAGTGAGCTGACAAGGAGCAATGGAGACAGGAAGTTCTGCTTTCCTTGCCAGAATTTGTTGGAGTCACCAGGAAGTGCTTGGTGGCGAGACTGATATTTCCATTTGGCAGCGGATCTTCTCTGAGCAAAACCAGCCACACGTTTGGACAAAACAAAACAAAGCCAAACTTCGCTGGCGGCTTGTCCCGGTCGTTCGGCCTCGCCTCAACTCGTTCGGCCTTTCGAAAAGGAACAAAAACACTTCTCCGGATCACAAGCTCCGTCTCAAAGTGTGAAAAGGGATTCGACACAAAAAGCCTCGGCTTTACTAGGCTTCCGTTGAGCTTTCCTTCAACGGAGAACCTCCCATTGGCTCTGAATGTTTGGATGCCTTGAACAAGAGAGTACGATGGAAGCCACCTGCTCAAAAAGGCGTGGCAGAGCGGATCGCGGCCATTGGGTTCATACGGCTGAAAACTCAAATTCGCATCGCCGAAGCTGGCGGCCAACACGCGCGACGCAAAGCTTGATCCTTGTCCCCCCCCGCTTTGAAGTTCCCCTTGCGAAGGCGCCGTTCGGCGCACTGACAAGGTGCCCGGGCTGGTTGTTGTAGAGGGTACATGGCAAACCTCCAAACCACTGCGGTTTTTTAGACCACAAGATGAGCCCTGAAGAACCTTGGAGGCTTTCTGAACGCTTTGTGGAAACCCCTGGGACGACCTCCCGCTTTTTTCGGCTGCCAGCTGACCTTCCCAAACCAATCCCCAAATTTCCCCTCCACCCCACACCGACCTGCATCCCTCCCCAACGCCCAAAAAAATATGAATGATAATACTAATAATCGCTATTCCTTGGTTCACAATTCGAAAACTAG